GTTTTGCTGCAGTCCTCACACGCTGTTATATTAATTAATTAATATAACAGCGTTATATAATTAATTAATTTAATATTAATTAATTTTAGGTATACAACGTTTATTTATTTAAATTACTTTTTTAACTAAAAGAAAATGTGATGCAAAAGGCGGATTTAATTCTAGTAGTATTGTCTACCAGTCCGTCTTTGAGATAAACAGTGAATCATAATAATGTATACGTATATATATACATAAGTAACATAAAATGATGATTATAATATACGTACATAAATATGTCCCATTCGTGTTTCAACCGTGAAGCAGTTGTGTTTGCATGGCTGTGTTTCGGTTTGAAGGGTGGGATATAGCGTGAATTTACAGGGTACAGAGGAATAACACCTGAGTCCTCAGGAATGGCAACGCATGGAGGGTATCATGGACGAAACAGAATACTCTGTTATGTCCATGGTACTGCTAATTCTCTTTCGTCCATGGTACTGCTCATGTGTATGGTATAGGCGACGATTACCACTTTCCATCAGGTGGGCCGTCAGCTTGTTTGCCATTCTAAGTTGTATAAAAAAAAACATAAATATAAAGAATGATTACTAGCCACTATTGTTGTAATGAGTTCATAAAGTGAGCGTGGACTTTTTTTATAATATCGTAATTTTGTAGCAAACGATTAATTAATTCAAACGATTTAAAACGATACTGTCCCTCCGCTGATACCTGGTCACTAGCCGCTCTTGAATAGGATGGGATGGTTGAACGCTTCGACGTGATTTGATTGTGCATTTGTGTGACTGCGAACGACCAGTCACGTGGTCGCCCGCTGATGGTGAAACGTGGTGACAGCGCCAGCCGATACATCACCCACCGGGTGCGGTGGGCGCGCCTAAGTGATTGCTGCGCCACCCCGCGCCGCCCCGCGCAAACATCACAATTTTATGTCAGCTAGCAATACTATACTTAAAAACCGGTCAAGTCTGAGTTGAGCCCACTCGCCGCGGGCTCCGCACATAGAAAGTCTCTAAAAAGGATTTAGTTAGATAAAAAAAATGTGAGTGATTTAAATAAATGTATGTTCATTGTTAATTTAAAAATACACCGTAACACCAAGAGAAATAAAACCAATTATTCACAACAACACGAACGTCTTAAAAGATCGCAAATACTGTAACATAAAAAAATATTTGGTACAGGACATGAGAAATGTTTTTAAAACCTAATACTAAGATAATTTATAGATAGATACTCTTTATTGTTTCCTCCAAAAGATTACAATAATAAATTTATTATAGATACAAACAATTACAAGGAAATATTACACTGAGAAAACAATGGGTGCCTTATCGCTAAAAGCGATCTCTTCCACGCAATCTTTGGATGGAGAGGAGTAATTATAAACAATTTGATCAAAGGTACGATGAAAATTCTGTTTTTAAAAACATATGATGTAATCCATACAATAATGTAAATATATATCCCTCCTTATTATTATAATTTCCTATAAAAATATCGCGATCTAAATTTGTAACAACCCTATCTATTGGCTAAATATTATATAACATTAAGAATCTATTGGAAAATTAAACATACGTAGATTTATTGTGTACGTGTATATTGTATTTTTTTATATGAAATAGAAACCCAATAAGTTTTACAATTAGGAGTTCCGTATTTAGACCGTAACTGTAGCTAGAAGCCCGACCACAAAATTAACTTTGTTTTATTATTATAAATTCTCGAAATTTGTTGTAATTAGAAACATCGTTTTACTTTTCCTGAAATATTCACGTATACCTTTATATATTATAATTATTTCAAATTTTTTACTTCACAATCTTTGGATTGTTATTTTCTAACATATTCGAATTATAAATCAAAAACAATACGGTATAAACATAAATGTAAATTAAATTTAAAAAGCACAACTGACCTCCTCTCATATAATACCCTACTTGAACCAGTTAATCTATTTCGGAATTAGGATGCCCATTTTGAATGTTCTAACAGTTTTTTTTTTTATTTCTATTGCAATATGAGCTAATAATATGTAAAACCAAATTTCAAGTAATTCCAAATTTCAAGTCGCAAGTATTACTTGTTGCTGAGTTATAGTGACAAATAGACGAACAAAGTCGCACCATAAGGCCTTCTTAGTACGGAACCCTAAAATGTCCCGCGATCCCGCCGCCATCACTACGTTGTCGCTATGTGTTAGTCTGTCTACAGTAGTTTTTGTTAGATATAATATAACCACGCTCCTATAAAATTATTTGGAATTGGCAATAGGATTTCTCTTTTTGTAGCTTCTTAAAAAATATGTTTATATTGTGACTGTTTCGCAATTCCAGCCACATTTCTAAACCGATTTGCACAATACTTGCTTGATGATTGCAAAATAAACTTTACTCCCATGTTGAAAGTGGCCGTTTCTTTTTGCGTCGAAAAAACTTTTGTAAGGAAGCTAAATTTGTATTGTATTTATTTATATTGGCTTTGCTCGCGTACTGAAATTCGGGAATACACGACTAATTCCGCCTTCGATAGGAGCCCTAATTCATGAAAGCGGTTCACGGTCGTATAGCGAGCAGCTTTTCTGTAAAATTTGGTTTTCTATTTCGTAACATGCTTCGTTCTCTTCTTACTTTGTTTTTTAAACTGATATTATATTTAAACTCTATATTCTTAATTTATAATGGATATATATATATATATATATATATATATATATATATATATATATATATATATAATAAACGTAATATTATACGGAAAATATATATAGTCGTACTTACATAAATTGTCACTATCGACATCTGGAAAACTAATCGGTCGAATAAGCATTCCACGTACGCAGCCCCCCATCGCCTAGGTGACGATTATTATCACTAATCTCCGACTAAAGCTCGCTTCTAGTTGGAAAAATCAGACAGGTTACTTATCCATAGGAAAGCTTCTAACTTTTATCAATTTACACTCACTTATTTCGAATAATCGCCATACTTATAATAATCATATTTTCTACCGTTTAACCATTTCGTAATGTATGGCTTCTATACGATACGTAATTCAGAGTTTCAGCGTAATTATTCCGTAGTATTCGAAGGATAAGCGAGCCGAAGTGACAAGTCACATAGCTTGAAGAACGACGACGATAAATGCATTGTAGGACGACCCCCCACTAGATGGAGTGACGACCTCAAATGCATTGCAGGCAGTCAGTGGATGCAGGTGGCTCAGGACCGTTCTTTATGGCAGTCTTTGAGGGAGACTTATGTCCAACAGTGGACGGATAACGGCTGAACCGATGATGATTCGATTGATGTATATCCAAAGGTGCAATACGTCAACTGTCTATCATTTACGAATTAAGCAAAAAATGGATGGCTTACTAAACTCTCTTCAAAGAAATTTCTGTCGCCCAAAATTGCTTACTTTTTTTATTCGACACTATGAGCTGTGCTCGTGAGTTATGTGGAGCGAGTGCTGCTGTGAGTCCTTTACTTCGATCCAGTCACATATTTTGTGTTGATCGACGCCCCAGAATGAATCGGACACATTCAAAATCCATAGCCGCGGGGTGGAGTCACATAACCGATACGGGGATGCGTAGTAAAAGAATCACTGTTTAGGGAGCGTGTTGATGACACTACTAGCGTATTTATCCCGCCGCCACCGGATCCCGTTTAAAGAATAATAAAGATAAAGTTTTATCCCCGAGTTGTAAAATGTTTTACGCGTAACGTCTAATAAGAGGATCGTTTCCACGATAAATCTTATCGGCCGCCGGCGTGTGGGCTGTTGCGAATACTTACGCAACTTGTGCCGCTTATATTGGGCCGCGCGACAGGAATTCTCTATGGATGGTGCGCATCTACTTACCTACCATTGTACGTTGTTAATCCAAAATTTAAAAAAAAAACATGCGAAGTTGCGTAATACAACTTTTATATACGACTCGATACAGCGATGTTATCCATTGTAACCATTGTCTTTGGTCATGCATAGAACCATAGACATCACAGTAAGATGTAATGACTAAATTATGAGAACTATAGTGCGTATCAAACAAATATTTGCGTTTTATTAAATCGAAAACAGGCTGTTATTAATATAGTTAGTATCCTTTTAAGGGAATGTTCCATCCGTAAAACTTAAAGTTTCCCCTAAGGGAGAGTGGAGCGAAAAACTATAAAAAAAAATGTAAAGTTTTTGGTACTAACTTCTGTTAAGTTAGTGCGACAGACTAGAACATATTATTGGACGTGACATATTATTATGCGAGTCTTAAATTTGTTTATTGTTTTTGTCGTGTTTCTTTAAACAGTACAGAAGTGTACTTAATTTTACTGCAAGGACACTGCCTTTTTCAACCAACTTCAAAAAGAAGAAGGTACTCAATTCGTTTGTATTTTTCTTTTGTTATCTTTGTTACCTCATAACGCCGTCAGTTCTAAAACGACTTGAACTTTTTATCTATAAGGATATACTTACATATTAGTCCCATAGAAATAGAAATTTTATCAAAATCGATCCAGTAGTTTAGTTTTTAGATCAAAGTAACTGGTTTTGCCTCAATTCAAATTGTTCTTTTTATGGGATGAATTTTTAATTATTATATATATTCTTTATTGTACTAAAACATACAGTAACAACAATAAGTTAATAACAATGTTAGCAAAGGCGAACTTATCTCTAAAAGAGATTTCTTCCTATCAACCTAACACAGTAGCATAGGAAGTGAGTGGGCAGTAGTAGTGCTAAACAGAAATTAAAATAAATATTTATATAACCATTCATAATACATTATTGTCATTATACAGGATCTAACAATTGTATAATAACAAAAATATTAATTACTGATTTAACATTACGTATTATTTTTACTCGGTACTGTGATTTTTTTCCTTTGTGATCATCTCTCCCCGGATTTGCTCTGCTACGTGGCCTTCCTCAGTGAGAGAGAAAACTCTCTAGTAGTGGATACTCACTAATGTTGTTAATTTCAGTAGCGGCAAAGCGCCGGAGACGCCGGGCTCGCGCTCGCAGTACAAGCGCGCGTCGGCGCCGCCATGCGGCACGCCGCCCGCCGACGAAGAGCCGCCGCCGCCCTCCGACAGCGACGCCACGCCGGTACGTGTACACTTGCCATTTCACGCGTAGCTTACACTGCCACACGGGACGGACCTGATGATGAATGCCTTATGTCCATTATCTCCTAATACAGTAGAGGATTGTCATTATCTACTTAATTATCAATAGTATATTAACTGAACACTCAGGTTATGGAATGAGCTCCCTGCCGAGGTTTAGACTACAGCATGGGGTTCTTCAAAAGTGGGACTAAGAGGTTTCTTCAAGGTCGGCAACGTGCGCGTGATACTTTTGGTATAGCAAGCGTTCATAAGCTACGGTAATCGCTTACCATTAGGTGAGCCGTATGCTTGTTTGCCACCTCAGTGGTATCAAAAAAACTGTGTATATTAATTGATTAAGGAACTTCATCTTTATGTTTTTACAAATATTTATATAAATTATAATTATTGACATTGGTCTATACAAAGGAGGTATTTAAGAAAAAATTATGTAAACGTGTTAATAAGGGTCTTAAAAAGATTTTGTTCTCTTTGTCTATATGTTTATTGCGGTATCACGCAAAACAACCACCTGCATACATCAAATTAAATGCGGTTTTTACAGTATTTTTTTCTAATCGTTCATGAAGATGTAACTCAAAATCGGGTGTATGCTTGTATATTCCATCTAGAAATAGTTATATGTTACTAAATTCCACGCGAACAAAATTAGAAAAGTTATGCAAAAGCAATGCTAAATAAATATTATTAATATTATATATAAAATAAAAAATAAATATAGTTATTCATAAAAAAAATATTTAAATATTTCTGTATAGTATAGCTTAAGTCCATAAAGACTTTGGAGGAAAAAATTCGTATCTATTTTTAATCCCTTTTGTCTCCCATTTTTTTTTTCATAAATTTCCATAGATCGTAATTGGAAACTACTTTTAAATATAATTTTAATAAAAGCAATACCAAATTTAATACGCATACATCAAACATCTAATTGTTACAAAAATTTTACATGAATTGGAGACTCCAAATAAACTTTTCCAATACTTTTTAGACTCATAATGTTAAATGCACCGAGTGTCAAGCGTGTGTGTAGGTAGCGTCTCATGTTTACGTGGTGTCGTTATCAGACGGGCCTGTGCCCCGAGTCCGTGACGCCGACGGGCGGCAGCGCGCCCCCCACCCCGCAGGAGGCGCGGGTGGACCTTCCGCAACCGCGACCCCTGCCCATGCCCGAATACGGCGGTTTCTTCGCGAGACTCACTGAATACCTGCCCGATAGCAATCAGCCCATCTCCGGCTTTCATAGGTGAGTACCTACTTCGCATCTACGTCTACTCATATGTACTGTATAACGTCTGTTAACATACTTGGCAAATATCTTCACACATAAATATTTTTTTTTATATAACAGACCATAAAATAAAAAATAAAACCCGACACACGCTGAGGGCTCCTTATGTAAATATATAAATAGGAAATAAAATTACCTTTATTGCACTTCTTATTTTGGGTCATAATTGTTATTAAAAACTGAACCGAATAAATAAGATAGATAGATAAATAGATAAACACTTTATTTGAGCCATTTATGACACACGTAAATTAATAAATAAATTTATACAATCTGATTATTTACATTTTTTCAAATATAAAACAAAAGATGAATATTGGAGATATGTTTTCACCAAGTGTGTTGCAGTGACCCAAAAAGGCTACAGCTCAGTGATAGTTTCTATCACTGTCACTAGATCTATCTATCTATCTATCAAAAACTTCTTAACAGATTTGAAATTGGTACGCAGTATTTACTTTTAAATTGTTGAAAATTTTGTGTGGCCATTCTATGTATTTCACTGCCCTTCAAATCGAAACACAGTTTGGCTAATCAAACAGCTGTGTGATGGCAAAAACACGAGTGGGGCAGGAGTACCGAAGTAGAACGTTTGTACAAAGACCCCCTGGTTCTCAGGTGCAACGTGGCGGTGATGCTGCTGTGCGACGTGGTGCTGGACGGCGTGGAGATCGACTGGTCCATACACGTGCCGCTCATGCTGCACATCGTCTTCCTGGGCATGGACCACACCAGGTAACGCCAACTTGACACCCGTTTCCACCTTAGCTTATCTCTAATTCAGTAAATTGACAATATCATTATCTATAGTCTGCAGTGTCCCACTACTGGGCAAAGGCCTATCCAAAATGCTTCCATCTTCCACGATCGTCGGCTAAAATATACCAGGTTTTACATAATTGAATCGATTGGGTTTGTCTGTCCATCGCATATAAAGTCTGCCGTTATTTCTTTTTGCATTTACTGTGACCAAAGACATAGAAATAAAATTAATAAAAAAATTAATACAGAGTGAAATTGTGTATATAAATATAATTAAGTTTTCTTTAAGGGAATGTTTTACTCGGGAAATTAAATATTATTTCCAAAGAAACGTGAGTAGAGAACGTTAACAGATTTAGTACTACACATGCTTTCATCATTCGATAGTCGGACGGAAACCTCTTAAAGCTAAAAGTTTCACTGCTAACATTCAAAGGACGCTCGTGTTTACCATATTCGTACTCAGTATTATTATAATTGTATGTGAGAATTAATAATAATAATAAAAAAAAACACAAAAAAACACTGAAAAACTAGCTAAATACACAGATATCTCTATAGAAATAACATCCCAATGGCGAGTTCATACAGTAAAAACAATACCAATAGTTTCATCTACAACGGGTGTTATCCCGAAAACCTCACACACAAGTCTCCATACATTATGTATACAACCCTCCACATGTATATTCCTCCAAAAAATCAGCAGTTTTAAATATATGTCGCCTGGCCCGTAAGTTCCTATCATTGAACTGACATTCCAAAAACACTTGGCTTTGGCCCGTGTCTAAAACTACCTCTAAAAGAGAGATATAACAAATTAAATAAAAAAAAAATCACTGTATGAAACATGCGAGTACGTACTGTTAGTATATATCGATGTATCGCTTGCGGTTGGTGGATGCGATCTGGACGTCGGTGTGGGTCCACGCACGTGGATAATGGGTTATAATGGTATGGTAACCCCGTCCGCGCTACCGGTATACACTGGCGGGGCTCCAGTGATAGATGACTGATGAGGATGAAAGCAGGTCAGTTAGCCCATCTTGACGAATTCAACCAGAATTAGCCACGATGGTTTCCAGGGGGGACCACGTGGAGGTCGACCTGCAGGGTATATTGCTAGCAATGGGCCTATTTGACCTCATTACTAACAATCCCTTCCCCACCCCGTGCAGGTGGATAGTGCACCAGCACTGCCGGCAGCTGCTGCTGAACCTGCTGGTGGCGGTGGCGGCGCACCACGACCACCTGACGGTGGCACGGGTGCTGCTCGCCAGTCGTTCCGCGCACCTCGGGCTCGGCGTGCCGCCGCCGCATCTGCCGCTAGTGCCGCACAACTTCACAGGTAAATCACACTTAGTTTATTTAGTAACATCTAGCGTACATACAGTACTATAGTGTTAAACTACCTTCAGACTATTACGTCAAGGTCACGGTACATTCTCGGCCCGATATCAATGTGGTAACAATAATTATGTATTCATAATTACTTGATAAGATGTTACAAGACCAAGATCACAGTGAAAACAAACCGTGACTCACGTTACGGTGTGAATGCAACTTTATCGACATACATACAGTGTGAAGTCCAAAACAACTTTTAATGAGGCTGTTTCACCAATGAACCCTTGAATATTTTCTCCAAAAACAAATTGAAAAACTACAAAAACACTCACGTCGCACCCAGCTGTTCACTTAGTACGGGAGTCTTTAAATTCTTTGTCATTTTTTCAGTTGTCTGACTTATAATAATAATAAAATATTTTCTGAAATTCGAAGATCAAAATTGTGGGCATCAATCCGGAATATCTTAATTTTTATAAATTTTTTTTTTTATTTTCGTACCAAAATTTAGTATTAGAATATTCATTATGCCTATCCAGTAGAGATCAGTAATGATTTTTTTTTATTTCCTACTATGCACTACCACTCGTAGCCACACATGAACCTAATCCTAAATTAACACATAAAATAATAACGATCACTCTCGGATTCAAACTTAATATGATTTGCATATATAATAAATAATCTTGACACGTCTTACTGTCCAAATAAATCCCTTAAAAATAGCATAGAAGAAAAATAACAATACGGTCGGCGTAGTTGGAAAACTAATTTTCAATTTTTGAAGTTGGTTAGATAGTCGCCATTTTATATTTTTTCTTCGTTTTGTACTTATAGTCGATGGTTGTGTAATGAATTGAATCGACGTTTAACAATTGGCCTACAACTAAGTATTAATACGAAATAAATATTAATATATATAATATAATAAATAACAAACAATGAAAATCAAAATAGAAACGGAGAGGCGATATATTTACTCAGAACGTGCAGTGGTAAATTGAAAATATTAAACCTCCTAATAAACAAGTTCCTTGCTGCACTGCACACATTAACGTGTCTACATGACTCTAAAGATACAATCTCCTGTAAAAAAATACGAATCACGTCATCGATTGCTTGGGTACCTCTGTCCCATTCGTGTTTCAACCGTAAAGCAGTTGTGTTTGCATGGCTGTGTTTCGGTTTGAAGGGTGGGATATGGCGTGAATTTACTAGGTACAGAGGAATCACATCTGAGTCCTCAGGAATGGCAACGCATGGTGGGTATCATGGGCGAAACAGTATACTCTGTTATGTCCATGGTACCGCTCATGTCTATAGGCGACGGTTACCACTTTCCATCAGGTGGGCCGTCAGCTTGTTTGCCATTCTAAGTTGTATAAACTAACATTTAAATATACACAAAATTAATAAATTCTGTTTACACTTGAAAATGCACAGTAGCGCGAGATTGTAACTTTGAGGTTGGCTATCGTATGCTACCGAATGACATTGTGGTTCCTCCTCACATGTGATTTCTTCGTCGTTGGTTTGAATTGTGCTAATAGCACGTTTGGTCCCGGCATAGAGCTGGCCACCCCTTCCTTTCCCGTAGGTGTTTTCCATTTCCATTAATTTTGCGAGTTCACTAAATACTTGAGACTCAAATTGTCGCCCTTGATCAGTGGCGGTATAGTCTGAACGCCGAAAACGACAAATCCATCCTCCGTAAACCACTTCAGCACCAATCTCTGCAGTGATATCAGTAACTGTCCAAGATGTCCCGCGGTCGATTATACTAATTAAACACGTGCACGCTCGTGTGTTGTGCGAGGTCATGGTCCTACGACGTCAATATTTACACGTGGGGACGCTTCGCCGGCAAATATACTGCAAGCGACACTCTGGACGGTCGAGATTTTAAGCATGATTCACACCACCTGTTTACATTTGCATTCGTCTTTCACCGAATATTATTTCTTCCAATTAATTACCATGTTGACTTTTTACCAGGACCGCTCAAGCTGTGGTAACCACTGCGAACCTTTTTTCTAAATTGTTGTAGCAAACATAGACGAACGACTTCAACGGAATTATCACAATATATTCTGTCGTTTGTATTCGGTGTTCGAATAAGTGACATACACAACCACTTGGTCTGTTCGAGTTTTTTCTTATACCACAGATGTTACAAGCGTACGGCCCGTCTAATGGTGAACAGTTACCATAGCGCGTTGCCGACCCTGAACATGTTTTTTTTTTTTTATGAGTGAAAATGGCACGGCAACCCCGCCTGCGCTAACGAGATACGTTGGCGGAGCACCAGTGTAACCGATGTGACCGATGAGGATGAAGTAGGTCAGTTAGCCCATCGTGACGAATTCAATAAGAATTGTTCACGATGGATTCCAGGGGAAACCACGTGGAGGTCGATCTAATAGAGTATATTGCTAACAATGGGGCTGTCAAACTTCATTGCTAACAACCCCGTTTCTCCTCCTCTCCTCCGCATACATGTTGTCTATGAGTGCTAAATTGTGATATGTACTCGTAATTCAAGTATCTAATCCTGCTTGGAATATCATTAACCGAAATTTTCTTGTTAAAAGTTAAATGAATGGTTTGTGGTCGATAAAAAATATGAACACTCGATAAATATATTCCCAATAGCTCCTGTCGTATTCAGAGTATTTAGTTTTGTTTGTGCTTCTGTTAACGATTTGGAGAAAAAAGTAAAAGTGTTCCAATCTCGAATGAATCTTTGTTGTAAAACTGCACCAATACTTTTTAAGCTGGCGTCGTTTATTAATGCACTCGTTGTATCGAATTCTTGCAATGCTATAGTTGTTATGCTTCTTGATTCTTCTGCCGGTGAGGTCCACTTTTGGAAGCCCGGTGGAAGTGTGCATAATGTGGAAATGTCCTTAGGCAAACAGCCTTCCGAAGAATGTCTTCTGGCAGTTTCGATCAGTGAGGCAATAGTCTCATCGTTAATAACTGCAACGGGTCACCACCATGAGTGTAGAGGGGAGGGGAGATATTGTTAGTAATGCGGACTACCAGTCCCATTACTAGCAATATACTTTGTCAGGTCGACCTCCACCTGGTCCCCTTGGAAACCCTTGTGCTGAATTCCGGAGCATTCATCGCGATGGGCTAACTGACTTGCCTTTCCATTTTCATCTATCATCCCTCACTGGTGCCCCGCCAGTGTATACCAATAGCGCAGGCGGGGTTATCATTCCATTATCTTGTCACGCACTGTCACACAGGTTTAATAAGTAAACCATTTACTTAGTGCACTGCACGCACTCTATATCGATCTTTACACAAATATCTTGCACTGAAATTGTTAATTACAAAAAAAATAATAATAATAAAGCGACTATCCAAAATTTACAAAAATTGAATATCTCGTGTTCTACCTACGCCTGTGAAACCTTCATCCTATAGCCATTTGTTTACTGTATACCCCAGGAGTGACCAACCGGTCGATTGCGACTCTTAGGCCAGTCGATCGTGGCGAGGCAAAAATACCAGAGGGAGACTTTGTACAAAAGTCGATTGCTTGGGTACCTCTAGCCCAATTCGTGTTTCTACCGTGAAGCAGTTGTGTTTGCATGGCTGTGTTTCGGTTTGAAGGGTGGGATATGGCGTGAATTTACATGGTACAGAGGAATAACACCTGAGTCCTCAGGAATGGCAACGCATGGGGGGTATCATGGGCGAAACAGTCTGTAATATCCGTGGTACTGCTCATGTCTATAGGCGACGGTTACCACTTTCCATCAGGTAGGCCGTCAGCTTGTTTGCCATTCTAAGTTGTATAAAAAGAAATATTTTGCTAATCTAACGGAAGATGCTCAGACGTAATGCTCACACTAATATAAATAAGTAGTTACTAAGAATAATGTGCAGTTTTATGTTTTCCCTCTTAATAAAATAAAAAATACTACAATACTACATAATTGTGTTTCAATTTTATTACAATATTCGTACTGACTGTGTCCCGCAGCATCGTCCGCGTATATCCTGTGTTCTAATTCAAATCTTTTCACTAGTTTTTAAGTGAAAGACTAACAAACATACTTATAAACTTTGTAATTATAACAGTAGTAGGATTTATAAATTAAAAGTTCTTTATAAAACGAAGTTAATATAGAATAAATATAAACGTATATTAATGAAATATATAGCGTTTTTTTGATCACACAAAATTTTATAATGCAGTTATTCTGAATAGAAATATTGAATATGTCGCTATCGTTAGTTTGAAGCATCCTGGACGTTACGTTTTACTCGTATATGAAGCTGACTCTACTGTACGTTACGCACTCCGCCGTACACTTGCACGCAATTGTGTTTGCACGTACACACAGTAATGATACTAACTGTACCTTAATGCTTTCTACACTTATGTACTTGCACCAGAGGGAGACTCTGTACAAGAGGCGTCTGCTGGGGTCCCTCTCAGTCAGCCCTTGTCAGCATTTCAGTTTTAGAGACGAGATGTGAGGCGTAATATCTTATTCTTTAAAGATGGCTTCCCACGAGGAGCCCTATGCGGTTGTCGATATGTCTAAAATGGCCACGGTCCTGTTCATGTCTATAGACGACGGTTACCACAGTCCAACAGGTGGGCCTTCTACTTGTTTCCGATTTCAACTCACATAAACTACCAGTTTTTAAGACAAATCGTACATAACGTGAAGCAAAAATTAGGTCCTTTAAAAATAGATTTATTTTAAATAAAGTAGTATACATAATAGAAAAATAACAAAGGTCAGTTTGTATTAATATTAATATAAGGAATAACAATATATACAATTGTATATGACACAGACATAGTTGGACTACATTTCTACAATAACAATTTTCCGGAAGGACTATAAATAGGTTTTTTACTGTTGTCAATCAACCATATTACAAGCAAGAGAAAAGAAAACAGATTAAGATAACAGATTGGATCGCCATAAGATCTGTTCATTGACTACTTTCTTGAAAAGTCTAGCTTTCTGCCTATATTCGCATCCTTTCACTTCCTCCCAAAGTTATGGTTGCAAGAATTGAGCAAATTTATTCTATTTTTTTCTATAAATTTTCTTGATGCAAATTTATTACACTTGGATAGAGAAAATTCTATAAATGCTTCACGAAGGACATTTTATGAAAAGAACGTGTAACGATGTTACACACACGATGCCAAGTTGTCCGGTGGTAGTGGTAGTGGTAGTGGTAGTGGTAGTGGTATGAGAGGGCAAGTGGACGGCGTACCGACTGTAAGGCTATGTTTATATACAGAGCCGGACGCGGCATTGGACAGTTACCCGCAGTGCGCGCACTCGCCGCGCTGGCACGCTCGCTCGCTTAGCTCAGACCCGCAGCTCACGCCCGAAGGTAAACGTTACTAACCGAACACGACATGCGCACGCGCACGCGCACGCGCACGCGCACGCGCACGCGCACGCGCACGCCCACACTACACCATCGAAACTAACCCACCAACACTATGTTGCACTCACTGTGGATTGTTTGTTAGACCGCTTATTATTGAATTTGTAATTGCAAATATAGAAACTATTTCTTATTTGGCCAGGTTATTGTACAGTATATACGAATATTTAGATTTGAAATTAGATACAATAAAATACAAATGTGAAAAAATTTACCTAAAACCTAACTGCGGTTGCCAACAAGCCTGCCAAGCGTGGCAACATTGACAAAACCTCCCGAGGGAGAGGCCTATGTTCAACAGTGGACGGTTAACGGCTGTTATGGTAATGATGGTATAATAACTATATAAAAAAAATTAAGAAAATCGTTTACTAAGTACTTTATCGGCACACATATATTATCATTTGTTTTTTTTTTACATATAATAACTACTCGTCTGACTATTAGATAGGTAGAAAATTTATTAGCTTCTGTAATAAACTCAAAAGTGCATACAAAATAACATTGTTTTGTACGATTCAACTACACTATGTTAGACTGTGTATTGAATAATTCTAAAAGTGCTTATTTCAAGTTGGAAATAATTATTAAAATATTAGAATGGCCAATGTTTAATATATCTGTAATTATATATGTTTTGTATTGTATAACTTGTATGTAAGTATGTGTTGCACTATGCAGGCGAGGCGGACAACTACCCGTCGCTGCCGGTGATTGTGACGGGCGAGGCGGAAGGCGAGGGCGAGGGCGCGGCCGACCCGGAGCCCGAGCCCACGGACTTGCCCGTCGCCGACGTCATCAAGTCGCTCGTGCACTTCCTCGCCAACAGGCCCACGCACATGCCGCTCTGGCAGTACGAGGACATCACCGCCAAAGGTACTACCGACTCGTACGCACGCCACGGTGCCTTCAAGAGCAAGAGAGTTCGTTAATTCAATTAATTGAATTAATAATTCATTCGTAATATTGTCCAATATTCAAGCAATTCTATTTAATAATTATATTAATTTAAAAAAATCAAGCAATTCTAGAATACCACTGAAATGTTCATATCTACGAATATGGTAACAAAGTACTAGTAAATTAGTAGACATTAATTCCCGTAGACCAGGGGTGACCAATAGGTCGATCGCGACTATTAGTCCAGTCGATCGTGGCAAGGCAAAAAATATAATATTTTACTAATCTAACGGAAGATGCTCAGAGGTAATGCTCACACTAATATAAATAAGTAGTTACTAAGAATAATGTGCAGTTTTATGTTTTTCCTCTTAATAAAATAAAAAATACTACAATACTACATAATTGTGCACTGAACTATGTTGTTTCATTTGAGATTTCAAGAAGTATTTAATTGGTACATCGCACAGGGTTTCTTCGCTAAATAGTAGACCTTGGATCTAAACAAGTCAGCCACTCCCGCCATAAACAGACGTCAGATTCGCAAATGTTATTAAAAAAAATGTCGGCCTCGTCGCCCAATATATTGTATCCGTTGTTGTCTACTAGCTACGTAGCTTACTTGTCTTTGAAAACGTATATTTGCGTATAGTTTGTATATTGGTATACATTGGAATAACACAAAAATATTGTTATCTTTATATATGTGGTAATGAGTGTATGTTGTGTTGTGCGTGCGTTAGTGTGGACGCTGCGCAGCTGCCAGCAGATGGCGACGCTGGTGCGGCACGTGCTGCGCGTGTTCCGCGAGTCTCTGCCGCAGGCACTCATCTCTGAGCGTTGGGCGCAGACCGCCCTGCAGCTCGGCCTATCCTGCCCGTCCAGGCACTACGCCGGCCGCTCGCTACAGGTACCAGTATATACTAGTTTCCCCTGTCCATCTATCACAAATAGCAAAATTATAAATTTTTCAAAACGCGATGATTAATTTTATCCTTTATGTCAACCTTGTTTTTCCACAACTATAAGTATAAATTTTATATTTATATAGTCCTTTGAGCCGGATCAGCATAAACAAATTGATACAATTTGTTAGTGTGCGTATATACCTCCATTCATACCTATAATAGTGAAAATTCGACATATCACCTACATGTCATATCCCTATACCCTCCCCACTCTACATATTTGTTGTAGTCAGCTATCGAACTATCAAAATTGTTTTCAACTGTAAAAAATATATGCATATGGCCTATTCAAAACACTAAGCTGATCTTTGACTGGTTTTCAAAACCATAAGTGGTTTAAGCGTTTTGTTAGTGGGCTCGTTTTCTGACGAGCGTGGTACGTTGTCGGGCGCAGGTGTTCAGGTTTATCGGCGTGGCGATGACGGGCCGCATGGTGTCGGACATCCTGTCGCGGCTGGTGGAGACGGTGGCGGAGCAGGGCGAGGACATGCAGGGCTACGTGACGGAGCTGCTGCTCACACTCGAAGCGGCCGTCGACTCGCTCGAGTCTAACTTCAGGCCTCTGGACTACATGCGCGACATCTTCAAGTCCACGCCCAATTTGAACAATAAGGACGGCGGGCCGCACACCAACGGCGGTGGCTTCGCGCCCGGTCTGTATTTTATATTACATTTGTACTAATAGCAAGTACAATATATCGGCTTTTACTAGTTGTATTGTATTGTAACAACTATTATTTTATTGTCCAAACCTTTATCCCCTTATTTTAAAAAACTAAAACCTTGATATTAATGTATTTTAATTCTTAAACTGTTTTGCCATTAAAAAAGGAAATTTACCTAAATGTTAGTAATCATGAAAAATTATGATGTCTAATGAACAAGGTTGTTAGGAATTATTCTTTATAAAACCATCCCGTGTGGTCCCGGCGTAGAATAGGCCACCCCTTTTATAACACCCACAGGAAAGGATCCTGTGGGTGTCATAAGAGGCGACTAAAGGAGGGTGAGGGTTAAGCAGCAGCGTCCCTCTTGAGACATCTCTAAAGCCTAACTGCGGTTGCCAATCCGCCTGCCAAGCGTGGCAACTACTGACCAAAACCCCCCTAGGGGGAGGCTTATGTTCAGAAGTGGACAGTTAAAAGCTGATATGATGACGATGAAAATCCATCTTGCAATATTTTAAGGCCACTCCATCGTGACTCTATCTCTGGAGATCACGTTTACTAAAATATGTCGAATGTTTCTCTTATTTATTCGCAGTGTATCATTCCATCGTCTCTCTTATTACTGTACCTATGCGTGTACGTACATGAATGGTCGTGTATGAATACGTGTATGACGGTGTGTGTATGTGTGTACGTGCAGGCAAGCGTTCACCGGGCGTGTGCGGCGGCTGCGTGCCGAACCACACTCGCAGCACCAGCTACTCGGTGACGTACTGCGTGCGTAAAAACAACACGCCGCCCGCCGCCGACAAGCACCAGCACGGTAACTACTTAACGGTGCTACATAACACACGTCACACCCCACGCTCCACACACCACATTCTATGCGCCACACGCAATGCGTTACATGCCACACGCCATGCGCCACATGCCACATGCAACACGCGATGCGCTACACGCCATGCGCCACATGCCACAAGCCACAAGCCACGCGCTCTCGACACTTGTATCGGACCTACAAATACGTTAAACAGTTATAATACTTTGAGGTTGATCGACCTGTTATAGCTATCTAGGTATGGTTTAATGTATTATATTTATAGAGCCCTTTTGTAATTTGCATCCCTCTCTTGGAAAATGTTTATAATCGAAATACTGTAAAGATTCGATTAAACGGCCTAATTGTTGTCGGAAGGCATTCAAATCATTGAATAAATGTAAAAAGAAACAATTTGATTAAACTGTAAAGGTATTTTTGTATCTCAAAAATTGATATTCTCTTGTGGAATAGATATGCTTCAGGTACCCACTAATAATTGCAAATATATTTAATTACTTTTCCACATTTTCGCAAGAGACTGCCTCTAAACCCTTACTCGTAACCAGTTTAATTTCGGTTTGTGTTATTTTTTAATAGCACCCTGGATTGCGTTACAGATCAGCGTGTGTCGTTGTTTTATGGGTATTTGATATCCCGTAGACTATTATAAGTTGGTGGGAGAACACCCCTGTATAGGATCAGTAGTGTCACCGCATGGAGTAACTACATACACGCCCCACCATCACATTTTTTTTTTCAAACACTAAGATTACACACCTTAGTTGGTTCATGACGACCTAAACTTGTCCACCAATATAATTGTTTATTAAGATATTAGAAATATATTTTTATAATTATCAATGTACCTACATATTTTGTTACATGGACTAATGATCCGGATGATTATCCGGATATTATATTGGTGATTACCAATTCGTATAACTAATGTCCGGATAAAGGAATCTTTAGTATAAATATTATCAGATAGTCTTAGAAATCCAAACTATAACTGTACCTATGTTTATGCAAATAAATTATCGAGCTACATAATTGTAATACGTTTGTTCGTAGAGCGCGTACGAGCGGGCAGCGAAGCGGCCAAGGGCATCTGTTCGAATTTATGCCGTTCTCGGTCCGCGCAGTCGCTCAAGCTGCTCGGAGATACCGCCACACAGGTAGGAAGCCTGATGACTCGGAGAACCTAAAGAAAAGGAAAGGGATCGTTAGTGATGCGAAGTATCAATCCCATTGCTAGCAATATACCCTGGCAGGTCAATCTCCTCGTGGTCCCGTCTGGAAATCATCGTACTGAATGTCAAGATTATCATCACGATGGGTTAACTGACCTGCTTTTTTATTTTCATCTTTCATCCCTCACTGGTGTCTCGCCAGCATATACCGTTAGCGCAGATGCGGTTACCGTTCCATTATTATTCAATAAAAAACATCGTAAACCTGTCGTCTAATAACCACATTAATTAATTATATGACATTATAAAAAAATATAATCTACCCCCAACTGTACATCCTGTGTAACGCTCATCATTAACCGTAACGTTTATCGCATTGCTACATGTATTTGTTTATTGGTGCAGGACGACAAATTGACGATCCTGGCCACGCTGTTCTGGGTGGGCGCGTCGCTGCTGGAGTCGGACTACGAGCACGAGTTCCTGCTGGGCGTGCGGCTGCTGGCGCGCGTGATGGCGCGGCTGCCGCTCGACCGGCCGGACGCGCGCGACCGCCTCGACCGCACGCAGGCGCACACCTCGCCCTCGCTGCACGCGCTGCTGCTCAAGGTTGCACGCGCACACACGCACACACAAGCACAAACAACACACGCACACACACACGCACGCACGCAAGCACGCACGCACGCACACACACACACACTTACGCACGCACATACACACTTATGCACGCACACACGCATGCAGACGCACACACACACACGCACGCACGCATGCACACGCACACACACACGCACGCACACACGCATACAGACGCACACACACACGCACATACAAATGCACATACACACGCACGCATTCACGCACACACTCTCCGCTCGATATGACCTAATTCCGTATACGCAACCGACTGCAGCCACAACAAAACTTAAAATAGTTACGAAGGAAGAATTCTTTCGAATTACCGTGATTAAACGTGTTCCGTTTTTCATTTGGTATTTTGTCTAAATTAAGTACTTAGTTGACATATTTATTTTTCTCTACGTCTAGTACGATTAATAAAAATATTTTTTATGCAACTTAAAATGGCAAACAAGCTGACTGCCCACCCTATAGAAAGTGGTAAACGTCACCTAAAATCAAATTCCCACCTCAATCAAGTAACTTATCTAATATTTTTGTTTTAATTTTGATTTTTTCTTTAATTTAGCTTAGAATTTCAAAAAAGCTTTTTGACCTATTGTTTCAATGTGCTGATCGTCGCCTATTATTACCTCCATGCTTTGCCATTCCTAGGAACTAAATAATTTATATACTCATAATACTAAACTTTATAATCAATTACATTATAGACTCTATTGTCATGTACTAAAGTGCATATTGCACATGCAGGGCTGCACACACCCGAACACCTACGAGCCTGTGGTGGGCGTGCTGGCGGACATGATCCCGCTGCTGGAGCTGCCAGTGATCGACCCCACGCAGTCTCTCGCCTTCCCCATGACCGTGGTCGCGCTGCTGCCCTATATGTTGCTGCACTACGAAGACGCCAACGAGCTGTGCGTACGCGCAGCTTGTCACATAGCACAGGTGATATTACTGTAATTATAAACAAACTTCGCAACTTAATCCATGCATATATTTTTTTAATGGATGACAATGAAATGGTACCCCAGCCTGTGATAGCGGTATACGTTGGTGGTGCATCAGTGAGAGATGATAGGTGAGAATAAAGCAGGTCAGTTAGCCCGCCGTGATGTATATAACAATAAATCAATCACGATGGTTTCCAGGAGGAACCGCGAGGAGGTCGATCTGACAGGGTATATTGCTAGCACTACTAATCCCCTACTACTAAGAATCCCTTCTCCCCCCTGATCAGGTAGCCCGACGTGATTAATACATCTAGATTTCAGCACGATGGTTTCTAGGGGGGACCACGTGGAGGTCGACCTGATAGGGTGCATATTGCTGACAATGTGACTGGTAGTCCGCAATACTAACAATCTCCCCCCCCCCCCCCCCTTCAATGCACAATTAGAATTGTTTTCTCATACTTATTTCTTGGGCTGAACGCTTTAGTTTGTAATTAAAGTCCCAAATAAGATGTGTGTGTATCCCTACCACTTTGGATTTTTACTTATTCGATGAAATGAACATGGTTTCTTGCTAATATTTAAATATTGTGTTTTATGTTTTGTTACAGTTCACGGCGGAGAAGAGCAAGAAGCTAGAGAACCTAGGCACGGTGATGACGCTATACTCGCGGCGCACGTTCAGCAAGGAGAGCTTCCAGTGGACCAAGTGCGTGGTCAAGTACCTGTGGGACACATACTCGCATCTGTCGCTGCACATGATCGCCTTCCTCGTGGAGGTGCTCGAAAAGGTAAGTAGCTGACGCAACTAATAGACGGGTCATTGTATTTCAAATTAACTATTATATTAATAGTTCGAATATAATAAAAAGGTCATCGGATATTCACGCATCTCGTTCCCTCAATGGCGTCTCTTTCTTTAGACCTTATTGCTTTTCTGACCTCATTGAAGCTATTAATGGAAATGTTTGGGTTTATTGTGGCATAAGATTGTTTCTTTGGCCGTGTGGTCCCGGCATAGAATAAGCCCGTGGGTGTCGTGAGAGACGACTAACGGAGGGCGCAGGGTAAGTAGCAGCGTCCTTCTTAAAACATGTCTAAAGCCCTGACTGCGGTTGCCAATCTGTCTGCCAAGCGGGGCAACTAGAAAAAACCCCCCAAGAGGGAGGCTTATGTTCAGCAGTGGACAGTTAGAGGCTGATTATAATGATGATGATAAAGATTATTTCTTGTGGGATCTGAAAGGGTAGCCTATTTTTACGATGGGCAATTGAAAGCTGACAACATGATGACAGTGTACCAGTATAAGTAGATACTGTAAGAAAAGTTGTCAACTAGCAGAGATACAGTGAAAATTTAGTTCTTTAAAAAGTTTAGGAGTTCTCCGGAAAAAAAATGTGATAAGCTTCATAGAATCATTCTGTTATTAACGTTTTTACTTGAATGTGTGTGTGATTGTGGTGCAGGGATCGGTGAGCCTGCAGCTGCCGGTGCTGTCGATCCTGCACTGCATGCTGTACCACGTGGAGCTGAACGCGCCCGCTGCGCAGCCCGTCAACGCGGACCTACTGCGCGCCGTCGCCAAGTTCATCGACGTGAGTCGCTCTAACACACCACACCCGCAACACTCGCACGCCACACTCCCGGGGGAAAGGGATTGTTAGCAAAGGAGTTTAATAGCTCCATTGCTGTCAATATGCCCTATTAGGTCGACCTTCACGTGATTTCCCTTGGAAACTATCATGAACAATTCTCATTGAATTCGTCACGATAAGCTAACTGACCTGCTTCATCCTCACCTATTATCCTTCACTGGTGCCCACCGGTGTATACCGATAGCGCGGGTTACCATTCTATTAACACCTATTAAAAGAAAGCCACACTCCCTCACACTACACCCTCAGCGCCTACACTCCCTCACACTACACCCTCAAAGCTCACACTCCCGACTTTCTCACTCAACCCCTTCCTCTCCCGCACTCCACACACGCTTATGAGTCTGACTTGTTCTTACTGCATGTTACTTCACAACCTAAACTGCTGTAAATTATTTATCCGGGGGGAAGGGATTGTTAGTAATGATGAAATTAGTCCCTATTATTATCAATATACCTTTTATCAGTTAATGTCATCTCTATTTTTAAAGTTTTATCATGAAAAAGTTGTTTAGGTATCTATTCTATTGGACGCCACATTATAATTATGAGAGAGTCAACATGTTGTTATTTTTTAACCAATGTTATTTGTTTCCTTATGGAAGTGATACTAACGATTGTGTGTGTCGCATCAGGACGGTAACAACTACAAGGAGGCGATGAAGATCCTGAAGCTGGTGGTGACGCGGTGCTCGACGCTGGTGGTGCCGCCCTACTGGGACACGCACGCCTCCTCCATCCTCGACACTGAGCTGCACGGCAAAAAGGTAGCCACCACGTGGACACGGTATAACAATGCCGTATGGCACTGTTCTTTTTTATCCTCAGGATGTAACTGGTGATTAGTTTACAAGCCCAGACACTGATACAAGAGAAGGGAAATTCAGAGCGAATATTAATTGTATATGCAGCGTGATCTTTAGTAGGCTAATATTAAACTGTTTTAGAAATACTTTAAACTGTCCACTGCTGAACATAAGCCTCCCTCTTGGATGGTTTACTTCCCGCGTAAGGGGTTTTTTTCTAGTAGTTGCCACTATTGATGGTTGGTTTGGATATGTTTTAACACGTTCACGCCGGGGCCGACTTTAATGTTTTTTGCTGCGAGACGGCGATCTAATTGATGCTACGCTACGTATACGTATCACCAGTGGTACGCGCTGCCAGAAAAGACAGTCTAGTGCGTACCGCCGGTGGTACGCACCGCCAGATAAGACAATCTAGTGCGTATCGCCGGTGGTATGCGCCGGCTTGAACGTGTTAAAAGGAATGCTGCTGCCCATCCCTCGCCCACCCTTAATCGCCTCTAATGACATCTACAGAAAAGAAAGCAGTGGCCTATTTTGTGCCGGAACCACACGGTTATATTTGTGTCACAAATACGTGTTCGTTAGATGATATTTATGACATCAGGTAGAAGGAGTTTTGGTAGAATTTATTTTTATTTACAACGAGCGAGGGGAAGTGCTAATAAAAGTTTCAGCTTTTTATTGTTCAAAAATATAATTCCCACATTAGGAGGAGAGTATTTTATCATAGTTCAACAAATTCGTTTAACAATATGGTCTTGTGTTCGATGAGTGATGTTACTTATTACATGTATGTTTATGTATGTGTGCAGGAGCTGCCCGGGCGCACGATGGACTTCACATTCGACCTGTCGCAGACGCCGGTGATCGGGCGCAAGTATCTGCCGAAGGCGGGCGCCGGTTCTGGCAGCCAGCCCGCTACCGGGCCAAGCTCGCTTTCCAATGCCTCCACTTCCACTACCACACCTGACAAAGGCTAGTAGTAGTACATATACTCACTTAATATTTTTTTGCACTGCTGTCTCTAATGTCTAATCGAAACTAGTCTCTATAACCAATATCGAAAGTTCAAAAATGCTCGAAACAGATACTGAAATTTCGGCCTGATATATTGTTGAATGTGCGGTGGTGGGCATGCAGGCTCGTCGGCGTCTGCGTGCGGGTCTGCGTCTGCGTCGGCGTCGGGCTCGGCGTCGACGGTGGTGGGCGCGGAGAGCGGCGCCAGTGCGCAGCCGCAGAGCGCCGCCTCGCCGCGACGTTCGCTCTCGCTGTCGCCCGCGGACGCGCTCGCCTCCGGCTGGAAGCGGCCCTGGATGTCGCAGGTACACCACCCTCGCATTAGCACTAGTCCACAGTAGTCGTAGACGTGAACTGGATATAATAGTTGTAACTCAAAAAATACTTCTAATAATAAAATTTAACATGGTTTGATTAATTTACTTTAAAAATTATACTTTTATTGTAATCTATTTAAAAAACAGTCTCTGCAGTCAATTTTTAAAAAAAAACTATATTTTTAACAATATTACACCTTTTTCAATGTTGCACTTCCTGCATATATAAAAAAACCGATTAATTTATACGTTCATTTACCATATATGTATTACCATATAATGTACGTAACTCTTATAGAGTTTAGCTCGCCTTTGTACATTTGATTTCAAATGTCATATTTCTATAATATAGTATATAACTGACTACCCATCACGTCAGTGTTGTTACTAAATCATTACTGTTTGCAACAGAGTCGCGTCCGAGAGTGTCTCGTGAACCTGCTGACGACCTGCGGCCAGAGAGTGGGCCTGCCCAAAAGTCCATCTGTAAGTAACGGGACAGACATCTGCACTAATGTACACTGTATCTCATATACTGTTAACATGTAATACGCGCACGCGTGTACATACATGTGCACACAGCGCTGCGCCAGCCGTGCTATACAGTGATCAGACAATAATGACGTTAATTTCTATCCATCGCTGCGTATAGGACGATTTAATAACCACTTTATGTTCTAAGGTAACTCGCATACGTAACGTATTATGTCGCAACCGCTTCCATGCACACTCGCACACGTCACACGTCACGTGCCGCGTGCCACCCGCGTGCGTGCGTGCGTGCGTGCGTACGCCGCCGCGTCGCCGAGTACGACACCGTGACGTTACACGTCGTACGGCCGCATCGCCGCAATCATTCCACATTAGTTTTGCTATCGCTTCTTCTTATATGTTTCAACGCATCAACGTGTCATCATTGTTTCGCTAACACCGCCTTGTTTCTGCTTGTTATACATTATGTCGTTATGTATACATGCATATAATTACACATAAATAACACATCAATTACTCGGTACTTGTCCAGACAGATGGTTAATGGTAACTCAATCAATTTATACTATAGGTGTTTATATATATATATATATATATATATATATATATATATATATATATATATATATATATACAGGACTAGGTATAAATACGACGGCACGCACGTTAAGTCTCCTAGTCTAAACGAATCCTTCCATATGGCACTTGACGTTATATTTAGAAGAAAAAGATATACTCCTTTGGCGTACTGTGATTTTGTACTCTGTATATATTATACAGACAAGAAATTAAGTGCAGTGTGTCTACCATGAGGTGAGTGAGTCACTAGAGCCTGCGTTAACTATTGATAAAATGCTCTGTTAGCAGTACTTTTAAATTTCATGTTACTTATGTAAAAACTATCTTCAATACGGACATAACGAATCGACTCTCATGGTACGCACACACTGATTATGAATATTTAAACGTTCAAGTTCTTATACTATTCGGTTTTTCAAATTCACATTTGTGTAGTGTTCTCTTTGTTTAATGTGGCACATATACAAGTGTAGGTACAAAAAAAATGTTTAGGAAAACCGTGTACACCTAGACAGCCACATTTTTACATGTATAACAGTACCAACTCCGTACAATGTTGCCACTTTAAGTCACTCGCTACTCTTCTTCACCCTTTCTATGACACGTCGAATCAAAGCTCTCCCCCCCCCCCCTCCCTCTCTCTTTACATATTTAAATCTGATCTTTTACTGGTCTGTTTAACATGTTTCATTTAATGGTTCACTAAGCAATCTTGATTGCCAAAAATTGACAAAATACCTTTTCGACTAATTTGTTTAACATGTGGTGACATGTGTTGACATGTGATGACGTGCGGTAACACGTGGTGCGGTGCGATGTGCAGGTGATATTCAGCCAGAGCTCAGAGCTGCTGGAGCGCGAGTCGTCGATGGCGTCGTCGCTGGAGGAGGTGTCGGGCACGCCCGGCAACGAGCCGTCCGCCGCCGCGCCCCCCACCGACCACTTCGGCGTCTTCAAGGACTTCGACTTCCTCGAGTACGAAAGCGAGAGCATCGAGGTACGCATCGTAGATGTAGCAGACTGCTTCATCAAATATACATATATGAATACAATAATGATTGTTCCAGTATGTAACATTTTCCTATTTTTTTATTTTAAATTAACCTTTGATTTCGTAACTAAAAATCGATGCAAATGGTTCAAGATTAGTATAACATGGTGGTCATCCTCCGTATTGTACTACAAGGATGATGAATAGGTTGAAGTGGTGATGAATGATATTTATTTAATTGATATAAATGTTTATTTGTAGGTGTATTTATTTTTACTTGAGACTTGGTTTTTGTAAATGAAATTTGTTGATTAATTGGGATTAATGGTGGACTATGTCCTTCTTCATTACATCATATTATGTATATTGTACTAAATTTTATTGGAATGAATTGAGCTATTAAGACGCTACAAGGTAACAAATAAACTCACTTTTACATTTATAATGTACGTAAAGTTATTAGGATATTGTAATTTGTTTGTAGATATGTATTTAATTTTTTTATTTGATGCTATTAAATTAATTCCTGAATAATCAATTGATGTTGATTGTTAATATTATGTTTGTTATGCTAGATGCCTATTGGGCTCATCAAATTGGTCACAGTAGTAATGCAGTTCTTTGTTTCAAGCTACATATATCAAAGTACTCGGATTCATAATAATATATATTTTTTATACCACTGAGGTGGCAAACAAGCATACGGCCCACCTGATGGTAAGTGGTTACCGTAGCCTATGAACACCTGCAATACTATAATATATATCGTAACCTAAATATATATACGTGTATATGTAAATGTTTGCGCTTCGTCGCTGAGTTCGACGACGCGTCCCCGATGCCGGCTCCCCGTGGTGTGGTGGTGCAAGTGAAGTAAGAGTGTGCTTGCTGTTGCAGGGCGAGAGCTCGGACAACTTCAACTGGGGCGTGCGGCGGCGGCCGCTGAGCGAGGAGCGCGACGAGCGCGGCGGCCGCGAGCGCAGTCCGCCGCCGCCGCCCGCACGCCTCGCGCCCGCCGCCCTCGCCGTCCACCAGGTACTGCACGCACGCACGCACGCCCGCACGCACGTACACGCACGTACACGCACGTACACGCACGTACACGCACGGACATGCACGCACGCACACGCACGTACACACACGCACACGCACGCACGTACACGCACGCACACGCACGCACGTACACGCACGCACACGCACGTACACGCACGCACACGCACGTACACGCACACGCACACCGGCCCTACACGCTCTTACATACCGTCGTGGTTCATTCCTGTTGAATTCATTACGATGAGCCCACTGACCTGTTTTCATCCTAACCCATCATCTCTCACTGGTGCCCCACCAGTGGATACCGATAGAGCGGACGGGATTAACATACCATACTACCTACTAATACAAATTGATAGGTGGGAAAGAAATTGTTAGCAATGGAGTTTGACAGCCCCATTGCTAGCAATATGCCTTATTAGGTCGACCTCTACGTGGTTCGCCCTGGAAACCATCGTGAACAATTCTTGTTGAATTCGTCACGATGGGCTAACTGACCTGCTTCATCCCCGCCGGTGTATACCGATAGCGCGGGTGGGGTTACCATTCCATTATCATCCATTAAAAAAAAATACAAATTGATCTTGCGTCCTTATATATAGGTATAATATACCTATCCACTCACAACCCACATGTATTCCACATTTTAATACTATCAGATATTAAAACAAATCTATTGTATACATATATAGGTACATACCTACACCTCGATACTAACACTAATTAAAATGCAATTTTAATGCCTCAACACTAAGAGAAGGTAGAGATTGTTTGTAACGGAAACGAACAGTTCTATTGTAAATAACAATACAATACTGTCCGATCGACCTCCAAGTAATCCTTCAAAAACCATCGTGCTTAATTTCTAGTAAGTTGGCTACGATAAGTCAACTGACCTACTTTCATGGTTACCTATCCATCACTAATACCCTGCCAGCGTGTACCGATAACACAAAATGGGTTACCATTCCATTATCATTAAAAAAAAAACTACCACAAATTAGAATATATATATTTTTTTATAAAACTTAGAATGGCAAACAAGTTGACGGCCCATCTGATGGAAAGTGGTAACCGTCGCCTATAGACATGAGCAGTACCATGGACATAACAGAGTATGCTGTTTCGTCCATGATACCGCCCATGGCGTGAATTTACTAAGTACAGAGGAATAACACCTGAGTCCTCAGGAATGGCAACGCATGGGGGGTATCATGAGCGAAACAGTATACTCTGTTATGTCCATGGTACTGCTCATGTCAATAGGCGACGGTTACCACTTTCCATCAAGTGGGCCGTCAGTTTGTTTGTCATTCTAAGTTGTATAAAAACAAAACAACATCTGATCATATTTTAATTTCATTGTACATTAATAGAAGGAACTTTTTGTTTTATTTATTTATTTATTTAATTTTTTATTGGACACGCCAGTTGTTTATAAGAATATGACAGAGGTAATCAAATGTACAAAGGCGAGCTTAACTCTAATAGAGTTCTCCTCCAGCAACACCCAAACTGGAAAGGAGCATCAGTGTCAGCGGGTAGAGCGGTGTACAAATATTGTGACAATTTTTAAACAGACAAAATTAAATTAATTACATTGTATTTAATTTACATTATGTTTTAATACAAATTGTAATAACAAGGGTGGTCACGAGGACTCGTCGGACGAGGAGGGCGGATGGGAGGAAAGCGCTGGCGGCTGCGGCGGCGGCGGCGGCAGCGCAGGTGGCAGCGGCAGCGGCAGCGGGGCGGGGCACTGCGGCCGCGGCGGGGAGGGGGACGCGTCCGTCGCAGCCGAGCACGCCAGGACGCACTCCTTCTCCAGCGCCTCCAGCGGGGAGCCGGACGGTTTGTACTATTATTTCTCATGTACAAGAGATGGTTACATCATCATCTTCCTACCCTTATCCCAATCATTTGGGGTCGGCGTAATATGATCTTATCCATATTACAAAAATATTTGATTTTTAATTTTACGACCGGCCACCTGCCTGACGTCAACCCTCTTTGGGAATGCATTTGTTGGTGCTTTCCGCCACCTACGGTATGAAGGAAAGGATTGAGGAAAAAAGGAAGGGAACGTTGGAAATGTGTAAAGGAAATTGGTGAATGAGAGGTATAAGGGACTTATGTGGGAAAGGAAAGGGGGGGACACTGCATTTGCGGAAAGGACTGGGACACTGCAGTGGCTCGGGAGGCCGGGGTCGCATACCCGTATGCCCTTATTCTAGAATCGGACAGATTTCTAGAGAAGAACACCCCTGACGCTGAAAAGAGATGGTTACATGAAAGACAAATAGTCTAAAGATATTAACAACAATTTTGCTCTTATTTTCTGGTATAAGTTCAATTTTGAATGTTTACAGAGCAAAAACTAAATGTGAGAGAGTAGCGATGTCATTTTGATTGACATCGATTGAGGCATGGCGACCACTATTGACAAACACAAGGAATTTACTGATTTTAACATAGAATTACTTACTTTATGTTTATTAAAATGATTGTTATTTTTATGTTTTTGTGTAGATGTTGTTATGTAGGGACACCGTTGAGCGGTGGAAATACGTTTGTCCTTACTTCTGATAATGAGGATGAAGCGATTACAATATTTAAGAAGGTACGTGCACTTACTTGATGGATTCTCATGCGCCGCACTGCTTTCCACCTTTGGCTGGATGCTGTTATAGATTCTTGATTGGTAGGCTTACACAAATCTTTAAATACACAATATTTTATCTGTAATTTGATCATCTCCTAGATCACTGTTCGGTTATGCTCTTGATTCGCGACGGTACGTGATCTCGAGCCGAGTGCACGGACGAGTTCACTAACTGCCCTCCAACTTAATAATAATGTAATCGCTTCATATCCGCGAGGTACCAGAGCTACCAGAGGGAGACTTTGTACAAAAGTCGATTGCTTGGGTACCTCTGTCCCATTCGTGTTTCTACTGTGAAGCAGTTGTGTTTGCATGCCTGTGTTTCGGTTTGAAGGGTGGGATATGGCGTGAATTTACTGGGTACAGAGGAATAACACCTGAGTCGTCAAGAATGGCAACGCATGGGGGGTATCATGGGCGAAACAGTATGTGTGTGTACTGTTATGTCCATGGTACTGCTCGTGTCTATAGGCGACGGTTACCACTTTCCATCAGGTGGGCCATCAGCTTGTTAGCCATTCTAAGTTGTATATAAAAAAAGAGGTGTGTGGACATTCGATTAAGAATCGAATAATCGATCGATTGAAGCGCCGCTTGGAACGATACATGTTATTTCATTTTCAACGACATCATTGTCTTAAACATAACATGCCTTTGTATAATAATGGAAACAGGAGTAAGATTTCTAAATAGATGATAATGAAATGTTAACGACGATTGTATCATAGACTAGCGGCCCGTCCCGGCGTCGCACGGGTGGACATTTTTGCATTTTAAAAAGTGGCCATTAAGGCTGCACACGCGACAGAAGTTTAAAAATGGAGTAATTTCTCCCGTTTTTCCAACATTTCCCTTCACAGCTCTGCTCCTATTGATAGCAGCGTGATGACAAGTATACTATAACCTGCCCAGGAGTATGAAGAATAATTGTACCAAGTTTCGTTAAAATCCGTCGAGTAGTTTTTGTTTCTATAACGAACATACAGACAGACAAAAATTTTACTGATTACATTTTTGGCATCAGTATCGATCACTAATCACCGCCTGATAGTTATTTAGGAAATATATTTCAGTACAGAATTGACCTCTCTACAGATTTATTATAAGTATAGATACACAGTGCCAAAGCTATGATAAATAGAAAGAAAGAAAGAAAGAAAGAAAGAAAAATATTTTATTCAGTGCAATGTAAAAAATACAATATAAACAACAAACGAGAAAAAAAATGAGCAAATAAAATGTACATATAATTAAACTTAATTTACCATAATTAAAAATTAACATAAAATAATCATTTTTACATCCAAAAATGCACTGAAATGGCTCCACTCAGCTTTAATGTATGTCCTAGGTGAACATACAGCTGGTTTTCAGTGGCACCAAAAATATATATATAAAAGGGGGGGAGAGAGAGGGCACTATTTATAATATTCATGATAATAATTAAAACAAAATTACAACTAATAAATACAAACCAATTACATATACTAGAAAGAACAAAATAGAATAAAATAACATTAATAAATATAAACATTAAACATATATATACAACTACTTTGCCGTAAGATTTATAGGTTAAATAGTACATAGATAATTCTTGTATAGTTTTTTAAAGGTGAATAATGATTTGGCGTTCCTAACTGGCGGTGGAAGATTGTTCCAGCATTTCGTAGCAGCGTACTGGAAGCTACCACGAAAAACAGCTGTTCTGTATCGTGGACAAAGTAAAAGAGAATTTATTCTTATGTTACGCTTTGAAAAATTTAATTTATCATACAGATATGAGGGCTTTTTACTGTGTATTACGCCAAAAAGCAATGAAGCAAAATGTAAATTTCGACGTGCTGTCATATTTAACAAGTTATTCTGTTCCAAAAAGGGAGTGATATGAGCACGACGAGCAATAGGAAAGCAAAATCGAGCACATGCGTTTTGGATACGTTGTATCATTTTCTTAGTTCGAGCTAAAAGGCACTCCCCAAACACATTATCAGCGTAATTAAACTTAGACAACACTAACGCTTCGCACAGTTTGATTCGAATATCAACAGATAAGAATTCGCGCAGCCTGTACAGTACTTTTAGTCTGTAAAAACAATTACGCATGATATCCAAAATATGTTTTTCGAATTGTAATCTCTCGTCCATAACAAGACCTAAATTTCGTGCATATGTCACTTGTTCTATATGATTTCCAGACAAAACGATTTGTGGTTTACGTGCATTAATATCAGTTACTTGACGTTTGGAGCCCAATAATATGAACTTCGACTTACTGGGATTAACAACTAAACAATTTTGTTCACACCAAGAGGCTAAGCGATTCAGATCTTCATTTATTCTATTTACTACCGACTCAGTTGTATCCGGTTTTACAGATATGTATAATTGAAGGTCGTCAGCATATAAATGATAATTACAATTTTGAATAGTGTAAGTAATATCAGTCGTATACAAAATATTCTACCTAAATAAATGAGGATGTATTTAACTCGGTTAGCTTATCGTAACCAACTGATTCAGATTGACCATAACATAACATTACCATAGAGAATTTTAGTAAAGGTCGAATACTATACTATTTTAGGAAAGGTCGGTAATGGAGTTACTAGTTCCCTTTATTGTCATACTATTAACACTTTTAGTGCCGGGTGAAATAGAGGTGCCTGTGCGAAAAAAACCGGTCTAATTTCACAGTTTTACAAGGAATAGGAAAAACGTCGTCCACAAAGAGTTCAAACAAAAAAAATTTTTTTTTTTTAAATATCTTGTAATGAAATTAGATAATTAATAACGCATTACAAATTTATTTTGAGATAGAGTTCTCCCGCAATGCGAGTAGTAAACCGCTACAAGGCGCGAGCCGATATATCGGCTCTGGCATTTTTCGCAAGTGTAGCAGGAGCTAATACATCAGCTCCCGGCACTAAAAGGGTTAAACATCTGCAGTTGGTTGGAGGACTATTTGCAATAAGTCGTTGTCTGCATTACCTATTACATATAAAAAGCAATTCCCTCCTCCTCACATCCTCCACTTGATCGATATACGTGTGCAGGCGAGCGCGGCGACGTGACGCCGGTGCCGGGCGCGGTGGGGTGCACGATCGGCGTGATCGGCGCGATCGGCGCCGGCGGCACACCAATTCGCGACCAATGGCGAGCGTCGGTGACGTCGCTGCTGCGCCACGCCGCGCACATGCCGCCGCTCGCGCTGCTGCACCGCCTGCACACCGTCCTCAAGGTGCGTACCGGCACACGTTCATGTTCATGGCGATACGAAGTCACAAGTACTACTCGTAACTTAATGGAGGAAAGGAATCGACTCGGTTTAAGGACAGACTAGATAGATAGATAGTTTATTTACATTGCGTATAGCACACAAATAATGATACAAAAATTCACACGCAATACAGACGTACACGGTTAAAGAAATGAAAGACTGAAAAACAAAAATTAAGCAACAAAAGAAAAAAAACAAATAGCAAAATATATAAAACACTGAATTGTCGACGATTCCCAGCCCACTAATGGTTTTTTTTTTTATTGTGGGTGAAAATGGTATGGTAACCCCGCCTGCGCTAACGGGATACGCTGACGGAGCACCAGTGAAGGGTGATAGATGAGAATGGAAACAGGCCAGTCAGCCCATTATGATGAATTCATCAGGAATTAACCATGATAGTTTTCAGGGAGAACCGCGAGGAGGTCGACCTGGTTGGGTATATTGCTAGTAATGGGATTCTTAGTCTCCATTACTAACAATCCCTTTCCCTCCGCCCACTAATGGTTAGGAGCCTTTAAATTTAAGGCGAGACTGACTTCTCTTGCATTTTCTATTGCTAGTATAATGGATTGTTTGTTTGTTTTTTTTTTTATATTATTTTTATTTGTACCTTTCCTGCACTAGATTATCTGTTAATTAATTATTTTTTCTTTTATTACACTGGGTTGGCTGATGGAAATCTCTTTTAGAGAAAAGTCTTTCGTTGCTAACAAGTTGTTAACCCTTAAATAGTTGAAGTTTCAAATTTGATACCGGGCTTTGCATTGTTTCAATGTTAAATATTTTTTTAATAAATAAGTTGACGTGTGGTGTTGCGCGTGTGCGCAGGAGGTGGGCCGGCGCACGGCGGCGCTGTGCTCGAGCGCTGCTGGCGCTGCAGGTGGCGGTGCAGGCGGTGCAGGCGGTGCAGGCGGTGCAGGTGGTGTAGGCGGTGGCGGCGGTGGCGCGGAGCTGGGCGCGCTGGCGGAACGCGCCGGCGGCGAGGAGCCGGCGCTGGTGTGGGCGGGCGCGGCCGCCGCCGACTGCGCGCGCGCACGCGACGCCGGCCGCTACGCCGCGCTCGAGATACACGAGCACCTCGACACCTACTTCCAGCGCCGCGACCACCTGCTCGAGGTACAGTACCTGGCCGACCACACCCACTCATTCACTTTTGTTGCAGTATCCGGCCGTAATGCTCCTCAAATATTGCATCTAAATTGCGTCCACCATGTACCCTCTTGTATAGGCATTCCGTCACCCGTATCCAGTAGCGAGGGCGGGATGCCTTAAATATTGCACCGCAAAACATAAAAAAAAAAGACCACTCATTCACAAACCAAACCACTCACCCGATTTACATAAGACTCCTACAGAGTGTATATGTAAATACACCCTTCCAGATAAAAGAAGAACTCTCCAAATCGGCTCACAACTAACAAATATAAAAATACAAGCAAATTAATTAAACCTCCTTTTCAAAGTCAGTTAAAAACAAGTATTTTTTATACATGTAATAATAATAATATTTAATTAACACCACACAGAGTAAATCAATATAAAATCACATTTTTCCTATATATTTCCTTCGTCCATTATTTAATATATAAATTGTAACAGACTATTTTTTTTTAATGAATGATAATAGAATGGTAACCCCACCCGCGATGATAGGTGAGGATGAAACAAGTCAGTTAGTTCATCATAACGAATTCAACAAGAATCGTTCACGATGATTTCCAGAGAAAACCATGTATTAGTCGGCCTATTAGAGCATATTACTGGCAATGAGACTGTCAAAATCCATTGTCAATAATCCCTTTCCCCCTAACAGACTATATTTACATACATGTACATTTCCATCAGCTTCCACAAACAAGTCCCACTAATTAAAACATTCTAAAAACACCTCAATCAACAGTTTTTTTTTTATGGATAATAATGGAATAGTAACCCACCTGCGCTATCAATATACACTGGCAGGACACCAGTGAGAGATGATAGGTGAGCATGGAAGCATGTCAGTTAACCCATCGTGACGAATGCAACAAGTATTAATCACGATAGTTCCCAGGGGGAACCTCGTGGAGGTCGACCTGACAAGGCTAACAAGCCCTTTCACCAAACAATATTGTTACAGACATAAATAAACTACAGTAACCGCTTACAATCAGATAAACTGTATACTTACTTGCTACCTACACAATACCACCAAAGAGAGACTTTGTACAAAAGTCATTTACTTGAGCACCTCTGTCTCATTTGTGTTTCTACCGTAAAACAGCTGTGTTTTCATGGTTGTATTTCGATTTACAGGGTACAGAATAATAACTCCCAAGTCCTCAGGAATGACAACGCATGGGAAGTATCATGAGCGAAACAGTACACTCTGTTATGTCCATGGTACTGCTCAAGTCTATAGGCGACGGTTACCACTTTCCATCAGGTGTACCGTCAGCTTATTTACCATTCTAAGTTGTATAAAAAAAATACAAAAAATATCATTACAACACTAAATTGTATAACTAACCAATGACTACTTACCTTAAAATTAAATAAAAGGCCCCAAGAAAATTAGACAAATTCGCTTTTTTAAAGACACTTAATTATAACTTGTGCCTTACCAAAAATTTCTTTTGCCATACCTTATTGCAAATATACCAAATTGGGTCTAGCTACGACCTTCTCGACACAGATATCTGACCTGTTTATCCATCAAACCGCCTGACTATTACCAACTTTGACAGAGGTTATAGATTTTTATTAAATACATTTCAGTCTTAAGTAAACCTACACAATATAGAAAGAGCACTAACAATATGAAATCGAAATGAAATAGGTTCATCGTTGATACCTACAGGGAAAATAGACTAACAACCATATATATATATATATATATATATATATATATATATATATATATATATATATATATTATTTTAGAAAAAATAGTTCAAAATTCAAATTGAAAAAAATCAATTTGATTAGAGAAATTTCCAATCCAGTTACTTGCAACTTTACAAAATAATAAATGACTAAAAAAAAATGGATGAATCAATGTGCTTGTTTATTTATTTATTTATTTAAAGGAACACCAACAGCATATTGCATTATAACATATATAACAAACATTAGATACGATACAATATCTATGCACATGCTTATTAAATGTATTCACAGCGTTTGCTTTAACATTTAACAATTATAATGAATTAAATAACACTAGACTACAAATATTTTAAAAGTTGCGTTATTAGGTACAGAAATATACGTGTTATTAATATGACTGCAGACGCTGGAGTGGCGCAGCGGGCTGGATCCGCGCGGCTCCTCCGAGGAGACGAACCGCAGCCTCTACAAGCTGATCTTCCAGCTGCTGCTGCTGCTCGAGACCCACAACAAGATGGTGGTGGCCGTCTACCACGCCGCCCTCGACAACAAGGTGCGTCACTACCGCAAGTCGCAAGTGTCAATTGTCAATTTTCAAAAACAATTGAACGCTTTTCGATGTTTCATACTGATTATTTAAAAAGTATTTCGCAAATATATACCAGAGGGAGACTTTGTACAAAATTCGATTGCTTGGGTACCTCTGTCCCATTCGTGTTTCTACCGTGAAGCAGTTGTGTTTGCATGGCTGTGTTTCGGTTTGAAGAGTGCGATATGGTGTGAATTTACTGGGTACAGAGGAATAACACCTGAGTGCTCAGGAATGGCAACGCATGGGGGGTATCATGGGCGAAACAGTTTACTCTGTTATGTCCATGGTACTGCTCATGTCTATAGACGACGGTTACCACTTTCCATCAGGTGGGCCGTCAGCTTGTTTGCCATTATAAGTTGTATAAAAAAAAGAAAAAATACCAAATTTACAGTAACTTAGTAATAATCAACATCGTCGGATTAGCTGTTAACTATCCACCTCTGAACATAGGTCTCCCTCTTTGACATGGTTTCGTCAATAGTTACCACCCTTGGCAGGCGGAATGACAACTGTAGTTAAGCTTTGGTGATGTTTTGAGAGGGACGCTGCTGCTCATCGCTCGCCCTCCCTTAGTCGCCTCTTACGACACCCACGGGATAGGAGCAGTTGCCCCATTCAATGCCAGGATTAGCTACATACATTTTTACTACACTGAAACGTGATGGATTGATAAAAAACATTGAAAATTGTTTTTTGAAAATTGACAAATTTTTAAAACCGAGCACACTTCGGTGAGCTCTTAATATTTTTCCTACGGTTTTTTTTTTAATGGGTGATAATGGAATGGTATCCCACCCGCGCTATCGGTATACGCCGGCGGGGCACCAGTGAAGGATGATAGGTGAGGATGAAGTAGGTCAGTTAGCCCATCGTGACGAATTCAACAAGAATTGTTTACGATGGTTTCCAGGGGGGCTACGTGGAGGTCGACCTAATAAGGCATATTGCTAGCACTGGGGCTGTCAAACTGCATTGCTAACAATCCCCCCCCCCCCCCCCCCCCCCCACCGTACGGTTAGGCTTGGACCTCCCCCTATAAAAGATATAAATTTTTCACTATTGAATTCTACGTTCTGTAAGTTTAAATTATTGTGTGTTGCAGGGTAAAGATATGAGCGGTACGGTGTGCAGCGTACGCAACGCGCTACTGGCCAGCATGGCCGACAGCTGGGGAGAGGTGTCCCCCGCGCCGCACGACGACGCGCGCCTCTTGCAGCTGCTGCAGCGGCAGAGGTATCCCCACCACACCACCACACGTGCACACATTCGCACATATACTCTCACTACACCGTGTCTACATTTACCTTTTTATATTTTTACTTGTTTTTGCAATGGCCAATACAATTTGCTATGGCAACCCAGTTACTAGCCCATTCAATGGAAAGTGGAACTGTCGCCTATACACATGAATGGCTTCTGATTGATATCACAGAATATACTGTAACGTCCATAGTACTCCGCTGTGTTGACAAATATCGCTGCGTTATACCTCGAAACTGTAATTTTCCTGTCGTTTTAAATACTCAAATCTCCATACAGTTTTCGAGACCCCACGAATACATTCTAGAATCTAATAATAATATTAACGTTTATGATTATCCTTCTTCTTTTAATTTAAGAGTTTCCTCTTGTCGGTGCAACTAATTCATGTATCTTCTTCCAGCCAGCTCTATCCCAGCCCTTGATCCATCCTTGATCTCCCTATACGACATGACACCCAGTGTTTCCTTTATCTGTCCCATGTTATTCCTCGGTCTTCCTCTTCCTCTTTTGCTCTGATGATTATGGTGAATGATTATCCTATCAACTATTAATTGTCACTGCTAAATATAGGTCTCCCAATTGGGGGGTTTTGCCAGTAGATATCATGCTTGGCAGGTATGTTGGCAACTGTAGCTAGTAGTAAGTTGGTGATGTTTTAAGAGCGACGCTGCTGCCCAATACTCGACCATTAAGTTCTTTTGTCTTCTTACGACATCCACGGGAAAGGCAGGTGTGGCCTATTCTATGTCGAAATCACATTGCCCTTAATTAATACATATATTACAATGAAAATCTACAATCGGGATTCTGTGACGCCATTGCACAAGTAAACAGTGTCAGATTAGGAATATTGTAAACACAATGAACCCGTTCGCTCTAGTTTTTTTTTTTTTTTGATAGGTGAAAATGTAATGGTAACCCCGCCTGCGCTATCGGGATACGCTGGCGGAGCACCAGTGAAGGGTGATAGATGAGAATGAAAACAGGCCAGTTAGCCCATCATGATGAAATCATCAGGAATTAACCATGATAGTTTCCAGGGAGAACCGCGAGGAGGTCGATAGGATTCTCAGTCTCCATTACTAACAATCCCTTTCATCCCCGTTCGCTCTGGTTGGTGTTCAACGTTTTACAATTTATTAAGACAGTAAAAATGACATTTCAGATGTATAATTTTATGCAACTTTGACGAGCAGACAGGCATTATTGGTTGTTTAGTTAAAAAGCCAATACTTGATAAGGCTATAGCCGTCCCAGGCCAGTAATGTAGTGCGCACGGTGCGTGTACGCAGGTGGGGCGCGGCGCTGGCGATGGTGCGCGAGCGCAACGCCGAGCGGATCCTGGAGCGCGGCGAGCTGCCCGACGATGACGTCACCAGCTTGCTGCACGTCTACTGCAAGGGGCTCGCGCAGGCCAACCCCGGTGCGTACCATTCCTTATATATAGGAGATATCATTCAGCGAAGATTTATTCCATTGGCCATACAAAACAAGATAATATTTTCCAATGTATTATGTCCAAATTTAATGACTATTTAATGGACTTCGATAAATGTAAATTGCCAATTTAACTGTGCATGGTAATCTACATAATAAGTATGATGTAATTTATACCATTTGAAATGACAAACAAGTTAAGGGTCTGTCCAATAAGTTACTATACCATTCCACTTTGGGAACATTAATTGGATGTTTGACGTCTTTGCCATTTGCACTCGTGTTGAGATACATTCTGTTCGTTTCATTACGAGAAATTAATTTTAAAATGATATCAATAATATGTACCATTCCGTTGGATCAGACATGGTGGCGATATCCCGTCCCGTGAACGAGCTGTCGCAGAACTTGTCCTTCATGATGGAGAGCCTGTACAAGGTGTCGGTGGCGCTGCAGCGGCAGGAGTACGGCTGATCACCCCGCTCGTCCCCCGTGTCCCCCGGGCCACCCCGCCGCCGCCCCGCCCCCGCCACGCCCCCGGCACGCTCGCACCAAAGCATTCCCCACCCGCACGCGACTGACGTGATGTTGTTAAGCGACTGATGTCAGTCGTGTCCCCACTAATTATTTGTATTGTTATCAAACACCGGCTAACGAATTGAACACGATCCTCATATCACGCTAGCAGTTTTATATAAAACCCCCTTATACGAATAAGGAGGTAAAATAAAAGATTGTTTATTTTCATTAATTGAAATATTTTTTTAACGATTACTCTGTTTTGTCACTCTTTCCATCTGAGAATTCAGTGTAAAAGAAAGAGACAAAACCATTTAATAGCTAAAGTTTATTTGATGTTCGTCGTTTTAGGTTTATAAAGGGAAAAATATGTACCGGCAGATGTAGAATAGAATTTACGTCTTGCATCACATAACCAAATATTTTTCCCATTCTGATATATTGCAATAAATATTTTCCATTCCGTTCATATCATTTTGCACTTGCATTTCGAAAGTGATAAAATGAGTAGTGTACGATAGCGGACGGCAGCGCGTGTGAGCGTGAGCGTGTTCAAGTCGTTGTCCGCGCAGCGTCTGCCGAGCGGCGGCGGTGTCGGCCGCGCGCTGGTCCTCCGCGGCCGGATACTGCACCCTCGCATAATTGTATAAGCAACTATGAAGTACATCACAAATATTTATATGTTATATATTTTTTAAATGAGAACGTATTATTAGATATATATTTGTAAATGCATAATACTGGGCGCCGTGCGACACTCGCCGCATTTAGACACCGCGCCCACCGAGTCGGTCGCCCGCATACTGTCATAATTACGTATTAACTATTATATCAGAGCTCGCCGCTCGCCGCTCGCCGCTCGCCGCCCGTCGTCTGCTAGGCCCACAGCAACAAGGTGCTGTCCCCCACTGAAATAGAGCGATCGAACAAGAGTAGTATTGGAAGCACGAGCCGAAGGCCATTAGCTAGTTTATTGCTAAAAAATATTTCTTTTTTTTTATATTTTGTTTTTTTTTTTTTTGTATATGCATTCTTTTATCTCTTATTACTGTCTTTGTCTTTTGTTATTTGTTCGCTGTAAGTAATGCAAATAATTTATATATCTATCTATCTATCTATCTATCCGTCTGTCCTATTTCAGCGGAAACTTGTACTTTTCTCAATCGTCGAAGTAAAATAATAATAGATTATTTCAAGATACAACAGTTTAACCCATACAGTACTTGTCTACAGCTGACCTTGACACATGACAGCAAAATGACAGATTTTTCCCGTCTACCCACCATAAAATATTTACCCGAGTGTATGATTCCATTTATTTTTGAAAAGTGCCAATTATCCACCGTCAATCGTGTGATCCTCGAGCTAGGATACCTTGTGGTATGAGGAACCAGGTAATAGATACTGCGACCCGAACCGATTCAGAAAAGTTCGTTTCTAAAAATTGTCCCGACCGGAAATCGAACCAGGGACCTCACTAACGCAGAGTGACGCGTCCACCTCTGCGCCACGGAGGTCGTCAGCTAAACTATTTTATGTGTAAATAATGTTACATTTCAAATTTATTCGTCGTCTGCACCGGAGGCGGCGGCGGCGGCAGCGGCGAGCATAGCGAATTTAGTGTTTAATTTAGTTAATCCCATTTACTAATAAATAATGAACGTACTGACTTTAGTTTTCAAATAACTGATCTCAGATAGTGTATTAGGAGCGCGTCCGGTGCTGCGACGCAGTTCCGCGCGTGAACATGAACAAACTAGAGGGCGCCGTGCTCCGTGCTCCGTACCAAATACTTGATTCGTAATAATTATACGCGATGGCTTGTGACGCGGAATGCGCGCAATGCGCGGAGGCCGTTTCGTGCACTCGCCGTCCACCGTTACAATGTATGATACACATCGATTGTATTATGTAAACGAAATGTCCTCTGCGCTCGTTTGCTATTTGTCTATGGTATATGTCGCGTTTGAACAGTATGCCACTTTCTGAACTGATTCATTGTGCCCTATTTTTTTTTTAACGACGTTTACTCAACTATTGTTTGTGATATTATTGCCTTTGTTGTAGTGGTTGACAATATTTATTTTGTAGTATAATTTTTTGTCTCGTGCAAAACATACTCGCGCTGCGACGCGACGCTGCGCCGTGTCCCGGGCTCGCAGGCGTTCGTGCAGCACATGTACGACGTACACTGAGTACTCACGCGAGCATGTCAACACTGACCCCCTTAGCCATAAAAACCTCATATACAAACCTATTTTAGCTATTGAACTGTTTTGTCTCTTTCTTTTACACTAAATCCTCAATTTGAACGAAAGGGACAAAATAGTGTAGTAAAAGTAGGTTTTAGTTTTTATGAATAAAGGGGTGAACGTATACGAGCCAGGTTACAGAACGCAGCGCTCGCGACCAGCCCCTTAGTGAAATACTAATGTTTATAACCAATCTTATTTAACTAAATAAATAAATAGATCCTGATAGCCACTTGTTTTATTACGCGCCCTCTACACCCGTGCTAGGACACCTGTGTTATGGAAAACATCTAACGAACAACAATCGGAGCACCCTGACTAGAGGCAATTCAGAAGAGTTCGTTTCCCAATTTGGCACGACCACGTCTTCGAACCCGGGCGCTCAATTACGCAAAGCAACTTACCCACCACTACGCCTTGGCGGTCTGTATATATTGTATCGTGAACGACACAGCATATTTTGTTATGACTATGGTACTGTTCATGTCTATAGGTGAAAGTTACCACTTCCCATCAGGTGGGCCGTCAGCTTGTTTGTCATTCTAAGTTGTATAAAAAAATACTCATAGCTTAGTTTTGGTCACAAGAATTAACATTTAAAACATGCCGCGGTAAAGGGCCGGGCCAATATGTCCGGTGGATTGTTTTTGTACTCTAAGACCGTTTAAAACGAGGCAAATCTTGATGCATCGTCGCGTCGCCCTTTGTCTCGCCGCCTAGTCTCCCTGGATTTTCACGTTACCTGTTTTTTTTTTAAGAATGAAAATGGAATGGTAACCCCGCATGCGCTAACAGGACATGCTGGCGGAGCACCAGTGAAGGGTGATAGATGAGAATAAAAACAGGCCAGTTAGCCCATGACGAATTCATCAGGAATTAACCATGATAGTTTCCAGGGAGAACCGCGAGGAGGTCGACCTGGTTGGGTATATTGCTAGCAATAGGATTCTCAATCTCCATTACTAACAATCCCTTTCCCCCCTCACGTTACCTGTTAAAATCATCATGGCACCAAGGATAGGAAGAGCGCACCGTTGTGTTTGGCGAGGACTTCAACAATATTAGAGGACAGAATTAACGCCAATTTCAATATAGTAATTTCTAAATATGGCTGCGTTTGATTTAAAAACCGTGTTATTCTTATTTGCATTAGTTAACTATGAAAATATATAGTAAAACATTTATTAGATGTCATTTTAGAGGACAATTGTACATTCCTTTGTTACTCGATTTTATGTTAAAAACTAGATAGATTTTCTGGCAGTGCAATATTGAAGCTATAAACGAAATACGACACAATCGACCAGTTGATGGGTGATATTAAAACATGGTTGTCACGAAAAATCTTATAAATTTATTAAATCACGCTTACAGAAGCGTAAAGAAGGTAACAATTCAATTTTAAAATTGGGCAATAAAATAGAAAAAATATTATTCACTGAATTAACAATGACTCAGGCTGCAGCTTTTAACGTTGCTTATAAAGTATTCTTACCAGGAAACGGAAAAACTTTAATGCAGTTTGCGAATGGACTGAATTTTAATATTATTATTTCAACCGTTAACTGTCCACTGCTGGGCATAAGTGCTTCCCTATAAGCGGAGTTTTGACAGTAGTTGCCACACTTGGCAGGCGGGTTGGCAACCACAGTTAGGCTTTCAGAAATGTTTTAAGACGTACGCTGCTGCCCATCCCTCGCCCTCCCTTAGTTGAGTCGACAACCGCGGGATAGAAAGGGTGACCCATTCTATGCTGGGACACACGGCTGATTAATTAATATTCAATAGATTGAATAGTAATACATTATCTACGATCATAACATATCGCGAATTTACACACATTTACACCTAAATTTACACGACTTTATTATAACATTAATAGAAGAAGAATTGTCAATTTCACGGACGTCTGAGGCGTGCTATAAATTTCAGGCAGATAGGAAGTTTTTTGAAAAGAAAAACGGACGATAAACGTAACTACAAGCCGCGAAATTTTAATAGGCGCAAACAAAACACAACGCAGTGTTATGATCGCGACGCGCGTAGTCAGCAATACCCGCAAATGCAAAGTAAGGAAGGTCGCGCATAGTATACTTGCAGTAATAAACAAGTGCATCAAACGAATTTGCTGACAATGAAAACGATGAGGCGAATGACACTACAATAAATGATCTTCGAGAATACGCGCCTAACTCTATTGATACTTTAACTTTTAATACAAATGATTTGGTTAGATATAATTAATAAGATTATATATTTGGTATCAAATTTAAGTGCCTTCATATTAATGTTAGAAAACAACTAGTTGAAGAGGAAAGGGATTGTTAGCAATGGAGTTTGACAGCCCCATTGTTAGCAATTTACCCTATTAGGTCGACCTCCACGTGGTTCCCCCTGGAAACCATCGTGAACAATTCTTATTGAATTCGTCACGATGGGCTAACTGACCTGCTTCATCCTCACCTATCATCCTTCACTGGTGCCCCGCCGGTGTATACCGGTAGCGCGGGTGGGATTACCATTCCTTTATCAGCCATTAAAAAATAGTTGAAGAATTTTCCGTTAATTAAAAATTTGTTATAAGAGGTTTGTAGAAATTTACAGTCTGTAGGATCTTTTATATTTCGGCCTCGAATGTAATAAACAAACATTTAGTTAAAAGTTCTATATATTCAAAAAATTGCAATGTACTTCCTGTGAATTTTTTTTTTATGGGTGAAAATTGTATGGTAACCCCGCCTGCGCTAACGGGATACGCTGGCGGAGCACCAGTGTAGGGTGATAGATGAGAATAAAAACAGGCCAGTTAGCCCATCATGATGAATTCATCAGGAATTAACCATGATAGTTTCCAGTGGAAGCGCTAGGAGGTCGACCTGGTTGGATATATTGCTAGCAATGGGATTCGCAGTCTCCATTACTAACAATCCCTTTCCCCCCTCCTGTGAAATATTAGGTGAGGACCATTGGAAGCAATTTAAAGGAATTATTAATTACGCATCAGGATATTTGAATGTTCAATCTCATTCGACTCAACGGACACGAATGTCTGGTCGTCACTACTGTGCCCTGTCCGCCTCCCAACAAAACTTTATATGGTAACTTAACAATTGTTACTTTAAGGACCAGGATCAGATTGCTGGAAGATCCACTCCTCAAGAAAGGAAACTATCATTTATGGTGCAATAAGAGATGTTCTGATGCCGTCGCAACAAAAAATGCGGTCCGTCACGTCTAATTTGGGATCCAACTTACCAAAAAGCCTAATCTCCATCTCCTTAAGACTGCCTCAAAGTTCTTCAGAAAGAGTTTGTCAGAGCAGATGCCAAGTGTACACATGTATTATATTTATCAGGAACTCCTATTCACCCCACCCTACATAGCCAATTTTTTTTATGCAACTTACAATGGCAAACAAGCTGACGGCCCACCTGATGGAAAGTGGTAACCGTCGCCTATAGACATGAGCAGTACCATGGACATAACAGAGTATACTGTTTCGGCCATGATACCCCCCATGCGTTGCCATTCCTGATGACTCAGGTGTTATTTCCTGTACCCTGTAAATTTACTGCCATATTTTACCTTTCAAACTGAAACACAGCCATGCAAACACAACTGCTTCACGGTTGAAACACGAATTTAATCATTTGGAGCAACTTCTGTCGGTCATCTCGGCTTCCGTTACGTTTACTCTACGGCTCTCTTACTCACAGCGCTGACGACTAAACTGCAGCGAATTCGGGACTCGACTACAGAGGAAAATCACCACCTTGTTGTACTATGATCAAACCATAGACTTAGTAACGTACTATGAAATCTAAGGAACAAACCATTCTCCATTCACAGAAGTACTGAAGTAACTCAATTCGCTCGATACCCTTAGTGTGCCGGACGATAATTCGATTGTTTTTTAATCATTGTCATATTCACATACAGTCTTTGACATGATCTTACAAGATCGACCGCTCACACTCGTGTGCAAAATACATTCCTACATTTTATAAAATGGCCTTTCTCATAATCTGGTTCTCCTTCTTATAAGCTCGATTCTTTCAAACGTAGCGTGGAAAAATATTTAATAAGCCTACTTAGAGCGAGCAACGGTCGAAAGAAAACTCTCTTTTCGACTCATACAATACTCTCTATACTCATAATTAGTAGAACTTACTCAACTTAATTACACGCAAATTAAACTGGTAGCTACTACATTAAAACACACTTAAAACCATGTGTCCATTTTTGAAGTCGGTTGAAAATGTATGGGCTCGCCTTGAACTGCTGTACGGACATTCGTGGACTTGCATGACTCGAGTCGAGTCTGGCCAAGTGTCGTCCGTAATACAGACTACTCCCTTGTCCAGTACATATGCACACAGTCACCAACTCTTTGAATTTGGTTTAGCAGCTCAAGTGATACAGGAATAATTTAAATAAAAAGCTCTTTAATATAAATATATCTATTTTGCGAAATATTTAAAACGATTGATTGATTACAAAATAAATATATCAGGAAAATAAAATCGATTAAACATTTATAGACATTCACTACTAAAAGTCCACAGTTGATGATATATTACAGCGGTGTGCGCAGCGCGACACATCCATTGTACTCCAACGCGTTATAGCATTAACTATACATGTGGTAGAACAATACAAGGTCGTGACACATTCACAAGTACAGTACGGGAAGTAAAATAAGTGATATAGACGTAGTGGGGAGGGATGGTCTCCGCGGAGGCGGCGAGGGTGGCGGGGCGGTGTGTCGGCGGGCGGCCGGTGTCGCTGCACTGAATAAATTATCATTATATATCTGTATCACAATAGTTATTTACAATATATACACGTCAATTTTTAATACCACATATACACTATAAGCGAAACGCGCCCCTTACGAAGCTAGCCGCAGCGAGACGGCCGCCCGCCTCCACGGACCGCGACCTGCGCGTGCACACGTTGCTTATCTTATAATTGTTTTCATTCATTATTATGCTAGTGTTACACACGACCACGCGTGGACCAGCCCCGCGCCCCGCGGCCCCTGCGACGCTGGCTGCTGGACGCGGGCTCGTCCGAGTGTGTCTTACAATACAATTATTTTCATATGTCCAGATTGTAAAGTTTGTATAAAATAAACATAGAATGAAGACAAAACAAGTTAACCTACTAAAATCTACAGAAAATGAGATATCAATGTATAAAATAATTATGCACAATAGGACTAATCTTATATACATCTCAACACGAACTCCAATCTCTATTATGTATAGACTTAAATCGTCGTAAATCTCAATCAATAATAATTCTTATACACATGTAATAATATTGTAAATACATTAAAAATTTAAATACATCTGTGTTCTAATTTAGCTAAACAAAAATAACATCTCCAACTCCGCTCCACGAGCACGAGCGACCGCCCGGGCTCAGTCCACACGACACGACACGACACGGATACGTGATTATCAAATTATTGAAACTCATTCATGCAATAAATATTGTACAATATAATAATCCATTTATAAAAACTGACAATAACATTACAAAACTGTATATCTAATTGTTTAGTGTGGCGTCAGCACGCCGGTGTGAACCGATTGCCAGTCTATTCGACAGTTGCCGCCGCGTCCACGTACAACGGACGACCGATATATACAATAATTATTTGCTAGGAAGCGGCTCGCTCGCGTAACGTACGAAACAACAATAATTGGCTCATACGACTTGACATGTTCATAGCTACACTACGGCCGGCGCCTCCCGCGCCGTACTCTAAGAGGAATTATTCAGCGACGTTGCAGCTGCCGCGCAGTGGTCCACTGGGCCCACACACACACACACTAACATTGAGCAGTGCGACTGTACGCGACTGTCGGCAGCCGACAGTAGGCACGTGGTAAACGTGCGCTGTCGCAACTGTATCAACCGCATACACACCGCACTTTACGAGTATACCGCTAACAGGATGTTAGCCAGTTGTAGGCGTCGACGCACGCGTGTAGTGGGCTATGATGTCGGCCTCTAATATTATTTGCAGCCTAACCTATAAATTAATACCATGTACGTAATATCCGAGGATGTCCGTGCACTCAGTATGATGCGGCTCAGTGCGCGCCGCCGTATCAATTGAAGAGCACCGAGTTGGGGTCCTCGTTGTCCATCTGCTTCACGTGGCGCAGCACGTCCTTCTTGGTGATAACGCCGAGCAACCGCCTGCCAACAACAATAACAACGCGTCAGTCTTATGACTTGAGGCGAAGCCGTACCAGAAGCTACGTGTACTAAAGTGGCCTTTAACTATACATATATTGACTTTGAATGTGATGGGAGTTTGATGGATGAAAATTAGTGAAATAATAACAGTGGCAGTCAATGCATAAAACACGATTTACACCTTTAAAGGCTGTGGACAGTTAACTGTCCACTGCTAAACATAAGGCTCCGCCTTGGGAGGCTTTGCCAGTGGTTGCCACAATTGGCGAGCGGATTGACAACCGCAGTTAGGCTTTAGTAATGTTTTGAAAGGGATGCTACTGTCCATCCCTCGTCCTCCCTTAGTCGCCTCTTACAACACCCACGGGAATGGAAGGGGTGGCCTACTTCATGCCGGGATTACACGGTCATGTTCAGTTTTGATTATTTGGATTGACAAACAAAACGTCAACCCATTGACTGGAAAGTGTATCTACAGACACAAAATGCACTATGAACGTGCCACAGCCCTAGCACCAGCATAGGAATAAAATAATGCCACTGTACATGGCGTGTTAATCCCAAATCCACTTTGCACAAAAGCAAAACAGTAATATAGGCAATGAAGAATATTTGTTTATTTATGTAAACTTTAACGCACTGTAAAATTCTATGTCCGGACTTAACACCGGACGGTGTTCTCTTCCAGTCAACCATTGGACAAACCGAAAAATACGCAGGCGGTACATTGTTGAATAAAGTAAAAATAAAACAATATATAATGAGGTACGCTTACCCGTTGTGTGTGACGAGCGTCTGCCGCAGGCCGAGCTTGCGGAACATGTCGACGACAGTCTCCATGGGCGTCTGGTCGGTGACGGTGATGGGCGCCATGTCCAGGATGCGGTTGAGCGGCAGGCACGGCGGCGGGCCCGTCGGCGGGTTGCCCGCGCCCGCGAACACCACCACCGACTGGCCCGTGATGCCCTCTATCGTGCGCCTCGCGTTCGCTACGTTTTTAAATATTAACAATAGTATTAATTAAACGGATCACAAATAATTTGAAGATAATACTTGTCCCATATACTGAACATACATTTTTTGTTTGCACGATGGCTATATTGTTCAACTTATAAGAAAAAATAGTAACGTATTTCAATTTGTATTGCATCCATTCACCTAGCAGTAGAAAAGGCAACGGTAATAAGAATAATTCACTACGTTTACTTTTACTAATACATCCAGCACCCTACAGTACTGCCTGATAGCTCGAGCATTGTCAATACTCGTGAGTTGTGTCCCAACCCAATCAAGAGGACTAAGCACAAGTATAATTTTTTTATGCAACTTAGAATGGCAAACACGTTGACGACCCACCTGATGGAAAGTGGTAACGGTCGCCTATAGACATGAGCAGTACCATGGACATAACAGAGTGTACTGTTTCGTCCATGATACCCCCCATGCGTTGCCATTCCTGAGGACTCAGGTGTTATTCCTCTGTACCCAGTAAATTCACGCTATATCCCACCCTTCAAACCAAAACACAGCATGCAAACACAGCTGCTTCACGGTAGAAACACGAATGGGACAGAGGTACACAAGCAATCGACTTCTGTACAAAGTCTCCCTCTGATAAATTGCATTGCAGTATGACCACTTAGCAACATCTCTGTCTGCAGTCCGCAGATCCTAAGATTGTCTAAATCACGTGAATTTTCAAAAACATTTTGGGATCATTTGAAAATTATTGTCTCTTGCTCCATGCTTCAGAAGGCATGTAAAGCCGTTATCCTATGAATCATTCCAGAGATTGTCATGTAGACCACCTTCCTACAAATGTTCCATGCTTTACGTCCATTTAAAACAAGGACACTATTCATCAGACCAACCGTATGCTTGTTTGCCACTATAGTTAGTTATTGTTAGTGGCCGTAGTGTACCGTACCTATAGCTAAGTTGAGATCCCTGCGCAGCACGAAGCCGACGAGGTACTGCGACTCCTTGGACACGACGACCGGGTACCCGTTGTGTTCGGTCTCCTTCAGCAGCGTCTCCACGTCGTCCACTGTCATCGAGTCCTGGGTTATCACCGCCAGCGTCTCGTTACGTCTGCACACGAGACACGTTACGCTCACATTAATACCATCACACAAGCTAATTGTAAACTCCTTTAATTATATCAGATATTCACCATTTGCAAGAAAAGTTGTGATTCTCTACAATATACCAACGATTCACAATACATTACGACAGAACCGTAATGAAAGCGGCTGAAATTATATTTATTTTTTTTTCTGAATGTTATCGCTTTCAAAATATATCCGTCGCCGACATGCTGAAATTGCTGGCCTGTTATCATAGTATATTCTTGCAAATGTTGTATCAGAATCCAGCGGGTCCACCGTGAAATGAAATTCCGAAATTTCGGACTCAATTTCGTGTTTTTGTTTATACCAAAATCGGACCAATAAATGGAGTTTAACATTTCGTTCGTCATACATCCTATCATAAAAGTCCAAAGGAACAATATTTTAACATTTTTAATATTTCCAGCATGTATGATGTAATTTTAACATCAAATTTCTGTTTCGTTTGACTCCGAGACATCGGAAAACATTTCATGGTAGGCCGTCTGTATTAAGACCATAAGTGATTTACTTGTTTCTACACGTATTTTAATATCAATACTGATAATAATAAAGTAAATCGCCAGCTTTGTATATTTATATATTAAATTATGTATAACTGTATATTTGAAAGTAATAACGGTTAAGAAATTCGATTATAGCTTTTTTATTTTATATATTTGTTTATTTATTTCAGACAACTTGTAACACAGCTTAACAAACACAACAGCTTCACGGTTGAAACACGAATGGGACAGAGGTACCCAAACAATCGACTTTTGTACAAAGTCTCCCTCTGGTGTATGGACAAGGGCGCGTACAATATGAACACAGTGGCCTAACATTACGTTATTTTTTCAATGCGACAAAGAATGGTGGACCAGCTGATGGCCCAACTGATAGATAGTGGTAACTGGCACCTATAGACATGAAGACATCAATAGAACATACACTGTGATGCCCGTGCCACCCCTCATGTACCATACCACCATTGCTGAGGACTATGGTGTTATGGGCTCGCACCCTGTAATTTCACGGCCATATTTCAGTATAACCCTTTATACATGCCCCCCTTCAAACCGAATCATCCTCATTGTCATATCAGCCTTCACTCCCCTTCCTCAGTTCCATCCCTCGCCCTCTTCAATTACCTCTTACGACACCCAAGTTCTCATCTCAGTCTCATGTTTATAATATACTTAAAATATTTGTATGTATTTTATTTGTTTGACAGATTCATTTCTTGTTAAACAAATCGCATAGCAATCGCATCGCATGTAATGTAAATTTTAAATATAATCTACTAACGTTCGGCCCCGGCTCCGCACGGGTGCAATGCTCATACTAAATATATTACAATTTCGAATATATATTTTCTTTTTATCTTAACTTACAAGGACGATAAAATTATCAGTGTTTCTTATTATACATATAAACCTTACTCTCGAATCACTGTTTCTATTAAAAAAACCGCATCAAAATCCTTTGAGTAATTTTAAAGATCTAAGCATACATAGGGACAGACAGCCATATTGCGACTTTGTTTTATACTATGTAGTGATAATAGTTTTATATATATATATACTAACTCACAGTTCGCCTTTGCAACATGAAACATTACTCTGCATTCACAGATAAGCCCGGTGTTTGCACAAGCGGCTAATCAAACAATACGCTTCGCTGCGCAAACAAACATGTTCGTACATACATAATAGTACCAACAATGATTAACATTACAAAACTAGAAGTTACATTTGTTTTATATTGACAACACATTTTAATTTCCAACAATATCTAATAATGGCTTCTATTCCTGTTATCCCTATTATTATTATTCCCAATATCTTTTTTTTTTAATATTTCCCATGTACAGACATCGTCTAGCTACAATATCATTACATCAATAAGATGTTACTGGGGGGAAAGGGATTGTTAGTAATGGAGACTGAGAATCCCATTGTTAGCAATATACCCAACCAGGTCGACCTCCTCACGGTTCCCCCTGGAAACTATCATGGTTAATTCCTAATGAATTCATTATGATGGGCTAACTGGCCTGTTTTCATTCTCATCTATCACCCTTCACTGGTGCTCCGCCAGCGTATCCCGTTAGCGCAGGCGGGGTTACCATACCATTGTATATTAAATCATTTACCAGTATTTAATCTGAGTTATGTACAATAAAGATTTTTACAACAACAACCATTTTCACCCATCAAAAAAAAGTAAGATGTTAGTTTGCAAAGGATTGTTAGTAATAGGGTGGGTCGACCTCCACGTGGTCCCCCCTGGAAACCATTGTGTCTAATTCTAGTTGCACTCGTCAGGATGGACTAACTGACCTGCTTTTATCCTCATTAGTCACCTATCACTAGTGCTCCGCCAGTGTATACCGATAGCGCAGGCGGGGTTACCATACCATTATCGCCCATTAAAAAAGATGTTACCTATTTTATGTCAACATCGCTAGCGCTTTGCATAGTCACTAGTGCAATACAATATTTATTTTAAAACATTCGTTAGCCACTGCAGCTATTAAATTCTAGTTCGCAAAAGCAGTAAATTGAGCACAGCATTTTCATAATACATATTAATTTGTTAAAAGAATTATTTAAATATCTATTAGGATTTATTATTTATATATTTATATAGTATTTGTGAGCATTCATTGAGTCATGATAAATTTATAATTTAATTTCAGACATATGTTTTTGTTGTACTCATAATATTGTCTCACCAAATTGTTTATAATTACTCCTCTCCATCCAAAGGTTGCCTGGAAGAGATCGCTCTTAGCGATAAGGTCGCCCATTGTTTTCTCATTGTGATTATTTCTTGTAATTGTTTATATTTATAATAAGTTTACTATTGTAATCTTTTGGAGGAAACAATAAAGAGTATCTATCTATCTATATGCAGTAAAATCACTTATGGTCTCCACACTTACAGTAATAGAGGAACATCTTAAACTAAACAATTTTTAATTATTCAATTTAAATCGTGTATATTAATATACATAAGGCTAGCTTTATGGTATAGTTATTTGGTATGATTACTTTATTTCACTATGTTTTACTGGGGAAACATACAGTTATGTATATTAATATAAACAGTCAATGTATCTTTGGTCGCCGATGTTCCGAGGTAGCCGAAACAGCTAACATATAAAAATAAAAAATAAAAAGTACGATGCGTCAATGCCGCTCTTTAGCTTAGTATGACCGAGAACAAATTTTATATCATTTGATATATAAAACGGATGACCGGCGACCGCGGATGTTGCTCGCGTTGTACTAGCTAGTTAATACACCAGTGGGTGCGCATGATACTGACTTGGGCTGCATGACGTCGGCGGCGAGCGACGTGTGCTGGAACTCGTCCTTGCTGTCGAGGAACGGGTAGCCGTTGAGGGCGATGTGCGCGTCGTAGATGCCCTGGCGGCCGAGCGCGTCGCCCACCCACTTGGAGGCCATCGCAGCCGCCATCAGCGGCACGATGTACCGCACGCCGCCCGTCAGCTCGAACATTATCACCACCAACGACACTGCCACGCAAATATTAAAATATGAGACGAGCTATAAATACAGCTGCAGACAGCAGTCCAGCAAAAGCTGAGTTCGTACCTTTTTTTTTTATACAACTTAGAATGGTAATCAAGCTGACGGACCACCTGATGGAGAGTGGTAACCGTTGTCTATAGACATGAGTAGTATGGGCATAACAAAGTACCATGGGCATAACAAAGTATACTGTTTCGCCCATGATACCCTCCATGCGTGCCATTCCTGAGGACTCGGGTATTATTCCTCTGTACCCTGTAAATTCAGACCATATCCCACCCATCAAACCAAAACACAGCCATGCAAACACAACTGCTTCACGGTTGAAACACGAATGGGACAGAGGTACCCACGCAATCGACTTTTGTACAAAGTCTCTCTCTGGTAGAGACAGACTTTGTACAAAAGACCTATTGCCAGGCACACGAATACTGTACATTGTATTTATTTATTTATTAATATAGGTACATTATAATTTCTGTATCATATTTGTAAAGAATGGCAATAAATTTATCATTATTATTAAAAAATACAGCACAGAGCCGCAGAATAACTATGTTTTAAAATAGTATTATGAGTACACCACAAATTTTCACAAATATCATCATTGGCTTACTGGTTTACAGAATATTTTCATACCAATAGAGATTTAAACAAAACAATAAATTTTCTAGTAAAATATGAATAGACAAGCCAATGCAAGTCATACAGACCCGTCATCCTGGTGACGCCGCCGAGCACGGCCGCGGCGCCGACCATGGCGTACAGTCCGGGCGTGATGCAGTCGTCGCCCGTCGAACACTCGCCGGAGAACAGCCAGATCTTAGGGTAGTGGTACGCGAGCTGCTCCACGCCTGCCGTGCACACAATCATGTATCCATTATAAATAAATACCACTGAAATAATCCCCTTATCTATTTCTGACATACATATATAATATCAAAGTATTAATAATTGTTTAATTCAGCCATAATTTCCGACATTAACTTATATATTATGTAATAAAACTAGACAATGGCAGTATATGGAAGATATTTAACAAAAATATATATATGTGGGGCCCAAAAACAATATTTTTTAGAAATTTTGACTGCCTGGTCGTATCTTTGTCCCGGCAACACATAAACATTACTGTACCAAATTGGATGCAGTTGTACAATTGCAAAATTGTATTAGTGAAGGTCTAACTAAAATATGATGTATATTTTATCTTGATACGCCATGTAATATAATAAATACATGTAAATTTGTAAAGATGAAAATTTGGTACTCAGGAACATCATACCCTAACTTAACACATAGGGTACTCTATATAGACAAAGCCGCGGCAAACAAGCAGTATTATTTTTTTTATACAACTTAAAAGGGCAAACAAGTTCACGGCCCACTTGATGGAAAGTGGCAGCCGTCGCCTATAAACATGAGCAGTACCATGGACATAACAGAGTATACAGTTTCGCCCATGATACACCCCCATGCGTTGCCATTCCTGAGGACTCAGGTGTTATTCCTCTGTACCCTGTAAATTTACTGCCATATCTCCACCCTTCAAATCAAAACACAGCCATGCAAACACAACTGCTTCACAGTTGAAACATGAATGGGACAAAGGCATCGAAGCAATCGATTTTTGTACAGTCTCCCTCTGGTGAGGTAGGTAAAGTAAGGTAATAATCACCAATGCCGACGATCCTGCCGGCGATGGCGCCGAGCGCGAGACTGGGTATGAAGAGTCCGCAGGGCACCTTGATGCCGAACGTGAACACGGTCATCACCAGCTTCACGGCCAGCGCGAGCACCAGCTGCCAGATGGCGCGGTACACGCCCGCCTCCGCCGCCGCCTTCTCGATCGCTGAGTTCACGTCCGTGAAGTTGCGGTTGTAGTCGCTGCAAACGTTCAACATAACAATAATATTTATCACTGGTTCAAGTCATACAGTAATAAAAACAACGGTTCAATTTCTTGACCATTCTTCGCAGCTTCTTACCCATTCTAAAAGAATTACTATTAGAATTAATTAATTAATTACACTCCCATTGCTAGCAATATACCCAAGCAAGTCGACCTCCTCGCTGTGCCCCCTGGAAACTATTATGGTTAATTCCTGATGAATTCATCATGATGGGCTAACTGGCCTCTTTTCATTCTCATCTGTCACCCTTCACTGGTGCCCCGCCAGCGTATCCCGTTAGCGCAATAAAAAAAAATAAATAATATATATATATATATATATATATATATATATATATATATATATATATATATATATATATATATATATATATATAACATCAATATGGTCCGTCTCGGCTGATTCTGAGAGTATATCGTTTCAAAGTGTATAACAGCACAGCATCGATCAATTTTATAAATGTTCACATATTGTTTCCATGGTGTATACGTTGTGGTGTATTACCATAGTGTTGCATCCATGCATTGTTCAATTATTAACAAGGAATTAATACAACCGAGTTATGTGACTGGCATGGTGCTCTTCACATAATGATGGTGGATACTTTACATCAAGTGAATATCACCTCATCTACTTTTCTATGTTACATAAAAATATTGAGATTTAAAATTAGAAAAGAAAAAGTCATCAAATACGAGTTCATGATTACATAAGTTTTAATAAGAACATATTTATTTTAGAACAACAAGTGTTACTCTTTATAAAACAAATTGTTCGCAGACTGTGGACATTACACATATAACATAGACTTGATCTATGTTGTTGTTCGTATTACTGATGAAATTTTACTTGTTTCCATTTCAATTTTGTTTACATTCATTTGTCTACCAATGTGCTTGTTTTTGTTTCGTTACTCGATCGCGACTCACCACAGCGGGTCCGAGTTGGAGATGCCGCACTGGTTGAACAGCAGGTATATGAGCTGGCTAGTGTTCATGCGCGTGTACGGGTTGGGGTACGCGATCACGGCGGTGAGCAGCGTCACCACCAGCACCTCGGTCACCGGGTACTGGCCCAGCTTGGAGTACTTGCGGTACCGGCACCAGTAGATGTTCGCCTTTATGAATATTGTTGCTATGCAACCCTGTCACGAAACATTACACACACTTACAAACATAAATTACTGGCATGACCGGGAAAAAAAAATCATCAATTTTCACAGTGATTGGTTAAGCCCTTAGGGTGTTATAAAATAACAAACAAATAATATCATTTTCACATTTATAATATTAGAAAAACTGGTCAATTTGTATTTATTCAGTAATATGTTCAGTGTATGCATTAATAGTCTACTGCAGCGATTAGCAAACCTGGAGGTTCCGTAGAAATGTTGCCAGAGTGACACGAAGTTACTTATTCAATTACTTATTTTTTATTGTTAAACAACACCACAGATACGTATAAATATTATTTTGAAATATCGCAAAATCCGTGATGAGAAGAACACAATATTATAATTCAACTATACTTACCAAGAATTCATACATACATACATATCTGTCACAGGGTAGGCAGACACAATGGAGCGAGAATTTACTACTAAATCTAATAAATACAATATATCTAATAAATTTTTTTGTTCTATTTATAATGTATTTGGTTTCTAATAATTTCATCTGGGGTTCTATAAAATAAAATTAAATTTTAGAAACCCCTGGTCTGTTCCATAGTAAATAACCACCATAGACTATGAATCATGTAACACAGCGATACTTATTTATGTACACTATCAATACTTCTGAGTACCCAATTTTCCTGCTATATCTAATCTGCATTATCTCTGAATACTCATATCTCTCAAATTTATATAAATATTTATAAAGTAATGCAAATATATATACAGCACTAGAGTATGCCACAAACGAATGCCTCACCCCGATGATGCCAAGGCCGACGAAGGGTATAAGCTCGAAGAATATCCAGGGCTTGTTGTACTCGACGAAGAACAGTACGGAGTGCTCGTTGCCGAACGGGTTGATGGAGCGCAGGATGAACGCCGCGATCAGCGCGCAGAAGAACGACCGCCACAGGGTCTTCAGGGGGAAGTAGTACGACACCTGCCAAACACTCACTTTATACATACGATTATATTTTTTTACACAACCTGGAACAATAAACAAGTGGACCAAGTGAAGAAATGTACTATAGACATTATGGAATACACTCAACTCCCCATTGTAACCCCATTCATTGCCATCCTGAAGGATTTTACGTGTACACACAGAGTTCATTATACACTTTTCAAATTAAAACACAAAAATCCTCAAATAAAACAAGTCAACAGTATAAGCACAGCATTCAAATTTTAATATATATTTTGAAAAATTATATAATTCATGATCTCTCTCCAATAAAGAGGGTCCTTCTATTGAACATTTGTTTGTTTTTTTTTATACAATTTAAAATGGCAAACAAGCTGACAGCCCACCTGATGGAAAGTAGTAACCGTCGCCTATAGACATGAGCAGTACCATGGATATAACAGAGTATACTGTTTCGCCCATGATACCCCCCATGCGTTGCCATTCTTGAGGACTCAGGTGTTATTCCTCTGTACCCAATAAATTCACGCCATATCCCACCCTTCAAACCGAAACACAGTATAAGTATTCCTCTTACACTTGTTTTTTTTTTTTTTTTAATATTCTCTTACACTTGTGTTGTGGTTTATTTACAATAATCTAACTAATTGTCTCTACTATAATCCACAAAAGTAGAACATGAAAATAATCCAAGCAAATCAGGGGCACGTCAGTGTAGCTGTCCTGTCAGTCGGAAATTTAAATAGTTTTGATTAATAAACAGTTGATCGTTGCAGCCAAATTAAAATTCAATAGATTTGGTGTCAGCATTATCTGAGTAATAAACTACCCTGCCTTCATTACGACCTAATCGTTTAAAGTACGTGACAATTAACCACTGGTCATACAGTACCTCCTCCAAACTGAAGAGCACGCCGCCGATGGGCGCGCCGAAGGCCACCGACACGCCGGCGGCCGCCGCCGCCGACAGTATCTCACGCTTCTTGGCCTCGTTGCGGCCGTACTTCGGGAACAGATACGATAGGATGTTGCCTACACATCACATACAAAATATCACACGCGTGACACATACAGAAAACACCTTTACATTATGAATAGATATAGACTTGAAACTGTTATTATATGTATATACATCACACATGTCTCCCGTTGTGATAGGCAAAAACAATGGAACGCCAAATGTTCGTTCGTTCGATCACTGAAGAGTTATACAAGAAACTAAATTCCATTTACTTTTAGTCTCGGCTAAATCAAAACTCATATCATTTGAAATCGTCGACAGATCGCTACAAACAATACTATATATATATAATGTGCACGTAAAACTTACCCAAACAGCTGGCAATATGCACCATGGGGCCCTCCTTCCCTAGCGAGAGGCCCGACGACACGGACAGTATGAGGCCGACCACTTTAATGATCAGCGTCCACTTGCCCAGGTATCCTCTGATAATGAACCCGCTTAGAATCGTTTTTATCTCAGGAATACCTGAAATAACACCTTATTAACAATATGTTTCATAATACAAGCATTTGAGTGCATGTTCTCCATTTTTACAGTTTTTCCAATTTCCATATTTTCGAAAATATGTTCACTATAGATACGCACCGGATCCGCACGCGTACGGCGCGAACATTCGCACGAGCGACGCGGAGAGCGCGGCGAACACGAGCGCCCAGCCGATGTAGAAAATGTAGCTGATGATGTACGCGCCGGGACCCTCGCGCGACTCGCCGAACATTTGCGGCCACGTCAGCCACTGGTGCCACGACAACATTGTTCATAAAGTACACAATGAAGAAAGTAAGGAAAAGTTTTCATTGGCAACTAACTAAGTACTTATATAATGCAAAAATATTAATTAATAACAATAATTAGTCGCCAAAGTAGCTAATATTCAGTATATGTAGGAGCAGTTTGGAATTGCTACTACAATGCTGTTATGTTTTTAGTACTACATTCATTATTCTTCATACTTAATATATTTAATTGAACTTGGACAAAGCAACACTAGACCTCATATATAATTCTAATAACAACAAAAAGAACGGTTCTCCTAAAATAGTAACAAGTTTATTAAAAAAGATATCAATTTACCAAACAGATCAATATTACTTTCTCTTTAATTTTAACTTAAATGCAGCATGTGTATATGACAAGCTGATACTATTTCTAGACATCTTAGACTTGTAACCACTGACCTGTGAGCAATTGCCGTGATCGAACGTGGTCTCGTTACTGGACCAGCAGCACTGCTCCCTGTTGAACCAGAAGGCCTGGCGGCAGATGCCGAACTTGAGGTCGGTCATCCAGGAGGCGCCAATGTCGATGACGCCCGCCACCACGCCCGTGCACACTCCCACCAGCAGCACGCACACCCATCCTGACCACGCGTCGTGTGCACCCTACACCACACCACAACACATCTTTATATAACATCACCTGCACAGCATTGTTGAACATCTGACTATATGCATAAATCAAAATTTGACATTTTAATTTTACATTAATATTTTAAGCTATAATTTTTTAAAAACAAGCTTTCTAATCAGTTCAGACTACTTGTTCTACTCTCAACCATCCAATCGCATCCAAACATGAAAACATACAGCATGGAAAGCACACACTTTGCACAGAATTTACATTAACATGAGGAAAAAGAAGGAATTCCTTGAAGACTCATGGCAACAACAACCCCACAAAATAATGGGTGCGAGCAAACAAACCTTGTTAAAGTTGTAACATTCCTTCTCAATAATTCTATAGATAATTATGATAGACACTTTCTAGAGCGCTGACTGAAGGTCATTTTACAATGCCAAGGTCAAATGCAATATCAGTACTCATTTTCCGGTTGCCAATGAATTTTAAATAAGAATTTAAGAAGAACATAACTGGTATTACATTTGTCCTTTTACATTTAATCAATCATGTACTCCTTCAGCACAGGAGCACATCATTTACTCCTTCAGCGTTAAGATATTATAAGATACTATTAAGGAAACAAAACTAATGTAAGAGAAGGAAAACTTGAAATAAAACCCTATAGCAAACTTACTATGTTTGCCGACTATAAACATAGTAACTTCATAAAATTCCCGTTACACATATATTTCAACAGAGTAATGTCAATAGGTTGTTATAGTAATTATATCAGGACCATGAGAAAAAAACAGAATTAGTTGTTGGCATAATCTATAAATCATTGCATTGTTATTATAAGCTATTTTATATGTTTTAGATATTGTATGTTTCCCTTTCAAAGTAAAATAAATAAATAAATTTACACTTCAATGCCTAATCACAGTTATGATTATGTGTGTTACACCTACTTTGATTAAATCCAATATCGAGTCTTGCCTCTTCTTCACAATGTACCTATGTCGCATGCGGTCCCGAGCAATGTCCCTTTGCCAATCAATTGTATGGAAATCATCATATTGACCAATGCCAGGAATGTCATCATCTGTTATGCAGAATACATCAACATATTACAATATAAATATTAATATAACAATATTATCTTACGAGAGATAAGTTTAGAGACATGGCGCCTCAGAATCAAGATAATATCAAGATAATAACACGTTTGGATAAATTATTACTTTAAACGCAAAACACGAATCGGTCTAAGTTGACTTAGTACCATTCATTATTTCTTATACAAGTTATAACACATATTTACTTAATTATACAAAAAAAAATATGCCTGCGTAATCTAAAAATATGCGTAAACTAATATTATTACACATCAGCGACAAGCTTAGATAATAAAGAACAGAATTCATTTACCAGTAGACTTCACAAAATAAAACATATGTTTTTTTTACCAACCAACCCAATGTTTATCAGGGGCAATGAAAATCAATATTAATTTAAAAATATGTAAACAGTGCACTCACCCTGCATACCGGAGAAGATGATTGCGTCCCCTGGAACAATATTAAATGCCTAATTAGCTATAATAAAACACTAAATCCTGGTACAAAGATATCGACACTACGCTCCCGACACTGATAGGATTGTGTTTATACTTTTAAGGACCGCAGTTTATAATTAGTTCATGCTTGACACGACGTTAAAAATATAGGTACTATCAACAGGATTGTAAAAAAATAATAAAAACAAAAGAAACTCAGGAGCGAAATATTAAAGAAGCAAATGACGCACAGCGAAACGTGAAATGTCAAAATTAGGGTTGCCATGCGCGTAGTGCAACGTTTAATATTGGGGAAAGTTATACGGGGGAAAAAGTGAAGTGATAAATCCTTCATATAAAAAAATTTATTGCTGAAATGTTTTATAACTCGTACATAAAATATAATACATATTTATTACATCGAGAATTAATTATATCGTATCGCCGATGTCGCTCAATCGATCTTAATATAATTTTGTAAAAGTGTATTGTTTACTGTAACTTGAGAAATAGGGAGAAAGGAATTCTAAAGGAGTCTAACAGTTCCATTGTTGGAATCCACATCCACCTTTATCAGGTTTTACGTACACGCGGTTTCCCTGAAAACAATCGTAGTTATTTCTTGTGGAATTCCTCAAAATGGGCTAATTGACAAGCGAAGAAGGGAAACAAAAAGAGCAATTTCCTACAATAAACTCTTTCGAGGCGAATGTTAAAATAATTTGGTAATACATGTATATATATATACATTTGGTTTACATTTAAATTTAATTTATACTCAACATAATAGCTGATGCAAAAAAAATTTAAACATATTATGCTTTACTATCCATGCGAAGCGAGGCGCCCGGGCGGGTCGCTAGTATAAATTATAAAAAAAAAATATGGAACACACAAAAATCTGGGAACTGGCATACTTGTTAAATGAGTTAAAAAAATTGAAGTATGTATACCAACTCCTAATTTCAGTCATTATTGCAATATTTATGGTAAAATTGAAAGAAGAGCGTAATCACCATATCAATAACAGATAAGGGGGAAATGATTGAAGATAACATTGGATGCAACGAGCGTAGTGGTCACGTGCTTTTTAAAAGCACTCAACGCTTCGGTCGCTTACGTAGATGAGTGTATCGTCTGTTTAGTTTGTGCGAGTGTCACTAGCCACTGAGCGAGTCGGCCATTACATTCGTCCCTAATCTAGGTGTAGTTAGAGATTCGCAGAAAACAATCTCCATTTAGTTTTACGTATCTACTTTACAAATGACACCTACATTGTTACAAATACTTATATCAATTCCTTCTTAATCTCTGTAGCTAACACACGAAAAAATTAATATATTAAACACACTACTACCTGCGGCTTTGCACGCGCAGTTTCGTATTTGCCCTTTAAGTTGAATCCTTTCTTGTCGTAACGTTTATGTTATAAAATAAAACTATATTTCAAATTTCAACTTCCTAGACTTAATTATATTGACTGTGTGTTAGTAGTCAATCAGGACAATAGATAGAGGATACTACAAAAAAAAAACTTATCGATATGCAATTGTAATTAGGGAATGAAAGGACGCGCCCATATACACTAGACTACAGATCTGAAATATCACCGAACAGAAATAGCCTATTTCTATCTTAAAACTTAACTGGGTAACAGTACATTTTTACAACATAAAATATTTTTCAAGCAATATTCGAATTTCATCGATACATATTAATACAATACAAACTGTATTTTAAATTTATTTTACAATGTTGTATGTTGTTATAGATAAATTTCAGGATTACTTACAGAACATGGCACCCATTTACACCTCAATTCTTTTGTCAGCGAAATCGGCATTTACGCCTATTATTAATATTGCATTGGCTCCCTTTTTCACATTTATAAATTTAATAGGGTACCTATGGGGGGAAAGGGATTGTTAGTAATGGAGACTAAAAATCCCATTGCTAGTAATATATTCAACCAGGTAGACCTCCTCGTGGTTCTCCCTGGAAACTATCATGGTTAATTCCTGATGAATTCATCATGACGGACTAACTGGCCTGTTTTTATTCTCATCTGTCACCCTTCACTGGTGCTCCGCCAGCGTATCCCGTTAGCGCAGGCGGGGTTACCGTACCATTTTCACCCATCAAAAAAAAAAAAAAGGGTACCTACATACGTCAGGTAGATGCGCTATCCACTTTACCGTTGTCATTTAAAAGATTTTTAAAGTAGAATATAATAAATATTTATTGTGAGCTGTACATTATAATTTTTGGTAAGATGTTATTAACGTGTTAAAGGTACATATCGCCCACACAGTCTCACACAGCCTACACATCGTCACAGCCGACCCATACATCGGGCATACAATACAATTAGCTACATAACATTATTTTACAATCATACATAAAAATCGTCAATAAAGTTGAAAATTAAATAAAGCACGTCAATCATCAGTCACAAAGTCATGGTCACCATTGGAATATATTAATGATCACCTCATATAGTCAATTATTTTATATATATATTTTTTTTATACTAAATGAAAGTATTAATAATTGACTGGCGCGTACTGAAATACTTTTATCAACGTTAGTGACATCACTGCAGTTAGTTTCAAGTGTCGGAAAACATTGCGATAAAAACCATATCAGAAGGATATTTTTTTTTTCTAAACAATTTCCACACTACAACAAAACATATTGTTAAATACTATAATAATACAATGTAATGTAATTACGAACGTTGTAATCCAATTTTTATAATAAAACTAAATTATAGAAATATTTATTGTATTTCAAATATACACTTCCGGGGGAAAGGGATTGTTATTAATGGAGACTGAGAATCCCATTGCTAGCAATATACCCAAGCAAGTCGACCTCCTCACTGTGCCCCCTGGAAACTATTATGGTTAATTCCTTCCTTTTTTTTCATTCCTTTCATTCTCATCTGTCACCCTTCACTGGTGCCCCGCCAGCGTATCCCGTTAGCGCAGGCGGGGTTACCATACCATTTTCATCCAATAAAATATATATATATATATATATATACTTCCATGCATTACATTGCGTCATACACGTTTGACACAAGAGATTTAGCAAGCTAAAGCGGCGGTGAGCCGGCCATGTAGCTCGAAGAATTCGATACGAAAATGAGATTCTCGAATGGCTTTTTTCAAATTAAGCCAATAAAAACTACATTGTGATGCCAAGAGTTTACCTACATAGTCGACAAGCGGCACCGCGTCGCTGGCCGTGAACTGCGCCGCCTGCATCATGGGGACGACGTGATGACCACAAACTGTTATACTACTGTCGGACACGATTCGCAAGTCCTCACTGAACATTATAACACAACAAGGATACTCAATCTAATCGCTAATTTTGATAAAATACAATGCGTGTAATAGATAATTCTTTTTAATCAATTCACAAGTAGGAAGTATTATATTCGATTGTGTATATTTACCAGAGACTTTGTACAAAAGTCGATTGCTTGGGTACCTTTTTTTTTATACCACTGAGGTGGCAAGCAAACATACGGCCCACCTGATGGTAAGTGGTTACCTCTGTCCCATTCGTGTTTCTACCGTGAAGCAGTTGTGTTTGCATGGCTGTGTTTCGGTTTGAAGGGTGGGATATGGCGTGATTTTACAGGGTATAGAGGAATAACATCTGAATCCTCAGGAATGGCAACGCATGGGGGGTATCATGGGCGAAACAGTATACTCTGTTATGTCCATGGTACTGCTCATGTTTAAAGGCGACGGTTACCACTTTCCATCAGGTACAGGTTGTTTTGCTATATATAGCTACAGTGACATCGAACTCGGACACCGGACCATACGGCGAGAGAGGATAAGATTTTTTTTGATGGGTGATAATGGAATAGTAACCCTGCCTGCGCTGTTGGTATACACTAGCGGAGCATCAGTGAAGGATGATTGGTAAGGATGAAGCAGGTAAGTTAGCCCACCGTGACGAATCTGACAATACCGCTAGGAGGTCGACCTGACACCCCCGCCCGCCTGTTAAAACCTGTTAACACCTGTTAACCCCGCCCTCGCTATCGGTATACACCGACGAGGCACCAGTGGAAGATAGCTGAGAATAAATGCAGGTCAGTTGACCCACCATGATGAATTCGACAAGAATTAAACATGATGGTTTCCAGGGAGAACTGCGTGGAGGTCGACCTGACAGGATATATTGCTAGCAATGGGCTACTAATCCTCACTACTAACAATCCCTTCTCCCTAACAATAATATTACTAACTACCTACTATTGGAGGGAAGGGGTTGTTAGTGATGCGGACAACCAGTACCATTGCTAGCAATATAGCCTGTCAGGTCGACCTCCACGAGGTCTTCTATGGAAACCATCGTGATGAATTCCTGATGTATTTTTTACGATGGGCTAACTGACCTGCCATTTCATCTCACTTATCATTCCTCATTGGTACTCCGCCAGCGTATACCGTTAGCGCAGGCGTAACTCCACGTGGAGTGAATACTCCACGTGTTATTATTGATAGGTAAACAACAATACGACTAAATAAATATACAATAACAAAAGGCGGTCACTAAACAAAACGAGCACTAAAATTAATAGCACGGCGCAAAAAAATGTATAGAACTATAGATACAAAGAATTAGTGTCAACAAACAATATAAAGCCAAGCTGGTACTTTCAAAATCTATACTGTGGAGGTAATAATATAACGTGAAATTAATACTGAGCGCAGCCGGCGTGAATGGAAAACTTCAATGCGTGCGTATCCGAGCGTTGGAGTTTTCTACATTTAATACACTACACCAGTGTTTCCCAACATTTATTATGCCATGCCCCACTTGAACATTTCTAAAATTTTTTATGTCCCCATACATCATTTTTCCGGGCAAAGTTTACTTGACGACTCTAACCGCCCAGTTGATATTTTGGTAATGTCAAACTAAATTATATCTAATAAATATTTACAGCATTGTTTTTTTAATTACTTTTTTTTTCTGTTAAATTTGGCACCGATATCTACTCGTAGCATTGCATTTAAACGACCCGGAGAAAGAGGATTAAAATCGCTTCGAGTCCATTTTTTTATTGCCCCCCCCCCATAACTTTCAAATTGCCCCCTTGTGAGGCGTGGACCCCACGTTGGGAAACACCGAACTACACTTTACAATAGAATTGTTTTTGTTATAGCTTTAACACCACTCTACACAGGCGTGCTGTAATTTATGGTATTTAGCCCAAAGTATGACCATCATTACGAATACGCTATGTAGGTACTATTATACTTTGGTTTGCTTACCGGCCGACGAGCTGAAGTACTGAGCTATGTAAGCTAAAACAAACAGCAAACAGTCTCATTTAATGAATATATCAGTAGTAACATTGCTAGCTTCAAGGATTTAGGATTTTACGATTCAATATTACTTACTTATTGAGATAAATTATTCACGGAAAGTGTAGAAATAAGATCGACATAAAACTACATCACGCAACTACAGTTTCTTCTTTTTGCTCTAAATAAAAAAATAATTTCAATAATAAAAACAAGAGAGAACAGAAGAGGCAAAATGCTGGGCCATCTTATACAACACGCCGAATATTTAAAGAATATTATAAAAAGAAAAATAGAGGGCAAAAGAGGAAGGGGAAGACCGAGGAATAATTATATGGGACAGATTAAACAAACACTAGATGTCATGTCGTATAGGGAGGACAAGGAAATGGTCTGGGATAGAACTGGCTGGAAGAAGATGCATGAATTAGTTGCACCGACAAGAGGAAACTCTTAAATGATAAATTAAATTAATAATGAAACAAAACTCCGTAAACCCAATCGTACAATTGACGGCGTCATGTAACACCTAAACTCGTCTAATAGTAATCGAAACCGGTCAATTGAATCAGCACTGATAATGCAATAGACGTTTCCCAAGTACAGTCGTAGTTTTCGTAAGCTTATACACGTTATTATTATTTTCATTTAGGGCTCTTACACATAAACACATTATGATCGTATCGTATCGTGTCACGATGCGATGTCGTATCGTGGAATACTATGATGGACAACGTAAATTCATGATACGATGTCGCATCGTGACACGGCGCACGGCACGACGTCGCCGGTATCGCACGGTTTATACGGTGCCGCGAGTTTTTTTTATCATCATATCAGGCTTTAACTGTCCACTGCTGAACATAAGCCTCCCCCTTGGGCGGTTTTGCCAGTAGTTGCCACGCGAGTTTTTAAGCTAGAATACTTTAACGCCTGCTCATTATAATATATTTATTTCTTTAAATGTGTTTAGCACTTCGTACGGAAAAACAAATGAACGCGGAACAGGAAGGCTCCGTGACATTCTACGATATGACGTCGTGGCACTTTGCTCGTCGTAGGTTTTCACGACGCGACGACCCATTATATTTTAGTATAAGAACCCTTCTATCTATCCTATTTAAAAGCTGTGCTCTTGTCGGTGGAGCTCTTGCCACTCACTACGACTTTCAGTGAGTCTCTTCACCTCTTGATACGACACGACACCAACTCCTTCCTTGATCTGCCTGATATAACTATACCTTGGCCTCCCTCTTCCGCCTTCCTTCTACATTACCTTCTAATATAAGGTACGTAAGTACGTCGTGTCGTATCAAGTGTCCCAACATTTTTTCCCTTACTTAGACAAGAGAACCCTTACTTAGACAAAAAAATTTTAGTTATGTATGAAATAATTTTTGAATAAAATGTGAAAGTGTTTCTAGAGAGTCTAACATAGTGAATTATACTGACAGTTGCCAGAGGTCGACCTGACGGCTGTACACATATTGACAACTGGTAAAGTACTTACAGTTCGGACTGGCGGTTGAGTTTCTGCTGCTATGCTCGTACAGCTGGAAGGTGCCGTGGTTGGTGGGCGTGGTGTCAGCAGCCTGCTGCAGACCGGCGGCGCCGCAGCCCGGCGTGATGTCTACCATGTCATCCTCGCTGGGGGAGTGTACGCTGCGGCCATTCGTTGTACTTACTCCCTGCCACAAATCACCGTTTACTTTAAATGTAATATAATAATAAATATCGTGAGACACTGTACTGACATATTTTAGTTATTTATATCGGTACTTCAAATATTAAATTCGGTGTTGCCCGATTAGTTTAGCGCTATGAATTCTAAGCTCTTATCGAGCCTGAAACTATTTATACATAACATTTTTTTTAATTAACCAATCTCGAGGAATTCCCAAGTAACCGCCGTTACGGGACTATCAATTGCAGCTGCCTTACGACAGGCTCAAGACTATGCAAAATGGAGTAACATCATAAGAGAGGCAACGGACACTTTTCAAGGACTTGTCGAAGTGAACGAAGAGAGAGAGATTAGAATGTAATGATTGAATTTTCGTGGGCCCCCGCTCACGAATTGTGAACTCCCATTTTTTAACACGTAGACCCTGTCGAGTCTCTCGTGGACCCCTGGGAGTCCACTTGAATCACTTCGGGAACTAAGGGTTTAGAGGGAAGAAATTTTTCAGCGATGAAGGGTTGAAGAGCGCAATTTCGGCGACAAAAAGAAAACATTTTTTTTCGAAAATATGAATAAATTAATTGATAGCTCTTATAAAATTATTAGAGTTAAGAGAGAATATATTGAAATTGAAAAAAAAAATTAGTTTTACTTTGTATTTTTAACCCTCCGTAGCGCGTATATTTGGATCACCTTGTAAATCGTAGGAACTCGACGCAAAAACCCGATGCAAAAAATGTGAACATATATGCTCTAGTACTATTAAAATAGAAGAATATGTATTAAAAATAGAAGGTGTTCAAAGTAATAAATATTGGCACATAGAATAACAAATAAACATTATTATTAGCTGACAAAACAATATTCGTTAAACTGTGTATTGAAATTTTTTGCATCCAGTAACGCCGTAAAAGTTATTTAATTACCTAAACATCAACTGTATACGAACAAGACATCAAACACATGACCTACAATAAAACGTAACAATGTTTTAACATTATAACATTCTTGGAATGTCTGATAATATTCCCCTTGTTATCTGGACCGCATTCTATTTTCCGTTAGTGTTCTAACGAGCTGAACATTAGAGATAACGCAGGTGCCTTACAATACCTATTCTAAGGGCGGAAGTGCGGCCATTAACGGATGAATACAGACATTGTCCATAAACTGGTAAATCGACAATGCATACTTTTATGCGCCAAGTCCAATAGTTGAGAGCACAATAACGTTTCAGAGTGGACACAACCGAACAGCAGAACGTCTTAAAATAAAATACTTTTATTTCCCACAGTTAACAATAAACGTAAAATATGTTTCTTTTTTCAAATTTATATATTTACATTTATAAAATTAAGACGCTAATTAAGTTGTTCAAATATAAAATAAAAATCATAATAATATTTAGTAAAAATCACTTTTTATATATAAATAATTATTTATATTATGCACTGTTATCTCAATCAAAATACATGCCATAAAGGTGTACTAATTGTACCAAATGCAGAGAAACGTTATAAAAAAAAAGTTTATAAATAAACCTAAGATATAAATCTTGGTGGTGTCAGGCGCAATCGAGTAATACTAGCACCCGTTAGTATAGAAAATTTACGTCAACTTGACGTCCCCTCATTAAATTATATGTTAAAATTTACATCGATATAATTCGTAGTATATATTAAAAGATTTGAATGGAATAGAAGTCCCTGATAATTTTTAACTTTAGATTCATAATAAAATATATATATTTTAAACGAAGAGAAACCCCATTTAGAAAAGGAAAGTTCAAGAATTACACAAATACGAGGATTTTATTTACGCAAATTCTACAGATATAGAAAAAAAAAACGGTTTATTTATTTTAACAATACAAACGGTGGCAATAACAAATCTAGATAGTGCATAACGTTCGACAATTCAGACGTTGCTTAAATTAATATTCACAGAATATAATAATAACTGCAAATACCTATATACGGGGGTTGAATATTACCAAAATCACTTACTTAGAAAACTTCATCACAGTGACACTTTAAACACTAGACATCGGGGTTATTCGACAAACATTCACTGTACGCAAGAATAAATTAACAATAATAGGTGAGGATTATGATGAAATTGGAAGAGGCACGAGTTTAGAATTACAGCAGCACGGCAGCACGGCAGCACGGTACCGTCGCGTCGTGTCGCTCCGTCACCGGCGGGCGGATGCCGCGACGCTCGGACCGACTGTACGCCGGCGGAAAATGGAAAATCAATATTCTTAACTCACGCCGAGTACCGGCCTCCAAAGATCACCGCGTCAACGGTACTCAAAATTGTCATCACACGTACAAATACATAAAATGTAAATCAATTCGTCCATTTAATATTAATATTATTTAGTATTTATTTATATATATATATATATATATATATTACAACTTAGAATGGCAAACAAGCTGACGGCCCACCTAATGGAAAGTGGTAATCGTCGCTTATAGACATGAACAGTACCATGGACATAACAGAGTATACTGTTTCGCCCATGATACCCCGCATGCGTTGCCGTTCCTGAGGACTCAGGTGTTATTCCTCTGTACCCAGTAAATTCACGCCATATCCCACCCTTCAAACCGAAACACAGCCATGCAAACACAACTGCTTCACGGTTGAAACACGAATAGGACAGAGGTACCCAAGCAATCGACTTTTGTACAAAGTCTCCCTCTGGTATATTGACTGTATCTACGAGTATATAAAATTTTGTACACATACAAAAGCCTAACTGCGATTGCCAATCCGCCTGCCTAATATTGTAACTACTGGAAAAACGACTTTTATGGGGTGGCTTATGTCCAGCAGTGGACATTTAACGGCTAACACGATGATGATGATATACATTTTTGTAAATGTTACAATTCTTATAAGTGTGAGACTTTCGAACTAAAAAAAAAATATTATTACTGGTCTTTTTTTATAAGACGGGAAGCAAACAAGTATGTGGCTCACTAAAGGGTAAGTGATTACTGCCGCTCATAGGCTGGTTTAATAGTAACTAACCCAATTGGGGAGAAGGGATTGTAATGCGGACGGAGGGGAAGGGAAGGTATAGTAATGCGGACTACCAGCCCCATTACTAGCAATATACCCTGTCAGGGGGGGAAAGGGATTGTTAGTAATGGAGACTGAGAATCCCATTGTTAGCAATATACCCAACCAGGTCGACCTCCTCGCGGTTCCCCCTGGAAACTATCATGGTTAATTCCTGATGAATTTATCATGATGGGCTAACTGGCCTGTTTTCATTCTCATCTATCACCCTTCACTGGTGCCCCGCCAGCGTATCCCGTTAGCGCAGGCGGGGTTACCATACCATTTTCACCCACCAAAAAAATATACCCTGTCAGGTCGACCTCCACGTGGACCGCCTGGAAACCATTATGCTGAATTCCAGATGTATTCATCACTATGGGCTAACTGACTTGCCTTTTCATCTCACCTATTATCCTTCACTGATGCCCCGCCAGCGTATACCGTTAGCGCAGACGGGGTTACAATTCCATTGCCATCCATTTAAAAAACCCATGGACAACTAACTATAGCTTGATTACTATACCATTGACTCCCGTACTTCATTATGTAAATACATATATAATACGAATACAACAGAATATGCCTGTTACTAATACAATAGTTCGTTCGAGTGTATTAACTCGATAGAGCATCGAACCCACAACTATTAAAAGATGAAGCAATGTGTAAAACCATTAACCAAAGGGTCCCCAAAATATTGAACTGAAATTAATTGTACACAGACCGCATCCTATATATTTGAGCAAATTATGCATCCCACTATACCGAAACTGCGGATTCTCTCAGGCGGACTCTGTCAGGTCGACCTCCACGTGGTGCCCCTTAGAAACCATTATGCTGAATTCCAGGTGTATTCATCACGATGGGCTAACTGACCTACCTTTTCATTCTCACCTATCATCCCTCATTTGTGCCCCGCCAGCATATACCGTTAGCGAAGGCGGGGTTCCATTCCATTATCATTCATTAAAAAAAAATACCGAAACTGCAACGTAGATTTAGGAGCGGCTACTGTAGAATATCAATACCTTATAGATGCGTACACGCAAAAATGTCTGATATGCATGATGAGAACAACTCTCGCAGTACAACTACAATACTACCCACAAAACTTTGATACATACAGCGCAAATAAAATTCTGCACCAAAATGAGGGTAGGTGTAAATTTTTATTTATATCACTGCGCTTACTCTGACGTGGTAATGGCTGCCAGTAGTGTTTTGTCCTCGTAACGTAACGCACTTTAGTAATTTTAAAACCATGAGCTACACCTTCCAATTGGAATTCGTGAAGGTATGTACATTTAAATATATTTTATATTTGTACATAATATGTAATGAACTTGCTTCGCAAAAATATTAACAAATTTTTGCTAGAATTCTTGATTTATTTAATTTTTTCGTGTGCACAATATGGCGTCCATGGCATCAAATGGCAGTAACATCATGTTATATACAATGTTACGTGGCATTTTTCGTTTATTTTAGATGGTAGGGCACCAGTGAGGTGATGATAGGCGAGGTTGGATGCAGGTCAGTAAGCGCCTCGTGACGAATTTCATAAGAATTAAACAAGATGGTTTCCACGAGGAACCACGTGGAGGTCGCCATGATGGAGTATATTGTTAGCAATGGAGCTGTTAGATTCCCGTTACTAACAATCCCTTCCTCCCAGTTTTGTTGGATTTAAAATATTGCTATTCAACATTATGTAATAATATTTATCCATTAATGCAGGTGCACCTAGATAAATCTTTACAGACTAGTGGAATATTCCTACCAGTGCTATTACACTAGTACCTGCATGTAGCTGGCATGATGAATTGGCAAAAATACACCAATTTCTTTTTCGTTTTTAATTTTATAGAGTACACAGTTATGATGATGTTGGTGATATAATCAAATATGAGGAAGAGTAATAAAATGTATTATTTTGATTTTAAACTTATTCATAAAAATGTTATACCTCTCATAATACTATTAAAACTATTAAAGTGTTTTGTCTTTTTTTAAATTAATCAAATTTTGCAAATTAATGAAATTAAGCAATTAGTGCTAATTGCTTTAATTTGATTAATTTGCTTTTTTGATTTTTTTTTATTATTTATAATTTCACAATATATACAAAACACTGTAATAGTTAAAATAGGTTTGTAGGAACTTTTTGTTTTTATGAATAAGGGAGTTAATATTTTTGAAATCTGGTTTTATTATCTTGTACGCAGTAATGTGTTTCAAATCTCATGAATATATATCAATTTATGTGTTAATCTAGTATCATGAATATATTTAAGGGATATTGTAAATGTCTAACAAATATTTTCTCAGTTTATGATATTACTACCAGCTTTTCCATGCCAAAAAAATTGTTTCTTATTAGTTTTTATGATTTTTTAGGGTTAAAAATACAAATAATCACTATCAAGTGACACTACAAGATGAAGGGTTACAAAAGTAACAGCCATCCTAACAAAAGAATTAATTAAAAAGTTTAAACTTACTTTCTTGTAGACCGACTGATATGTGGTGCCCATTTTGGGTACAGATGACTTGAGTGGGAACCGTTCCATGGCAGCCTAAACTGAAACAAAATATTATAATATTGGATTACTTCGAGGGGCTCACACATTACAATTAATTGATACAATTTTAATATTTATTAAGTACATAAAGTAAATAAAGGCTTAAATAGATTAAGTTAAATACATAGGGTAGGCTATTTCAATTAATACACAGTGTATTTCATTTATTATGACTTTAGTCATAGCTACAGCAACTTTGGATGTAATGCCAAGTTGAGGTGTAGCAACTGTTTTTAATTAATCATTTGTAACAAACTCTTAGATATCCCATTCAGGCATTTCAATCAAAGTCAACCGCCAAAAACACAAAGATCTTTATTATCTTTTGTTCATATCCCACATATGGTCAGCATTGTGGTGACCTTTACCTTTATTTTTTTTTAATAGATGACAATAGAGTGGTCACCCCTCCAGCGCTAACGATATATGTTGCCTGGGCACCAGTGAGAGATGATAGGTGAGAATTAAAAGGCAGGTCAGTTAGCCCATCATGATGAATATACCTAGAATTCAACAGGATGGTTTCCAGGGGGGATCACACAGAGATCGACCTGATAGGGTATATTGCTAGCAATGAGACTGGTAATCCGCATTAATAACAAAACCTTACCCTATCCTTTGTTTATAGACAGTAAGGTAAGTGTGTACATTTCGAAATTAAATTTATGGTTCAGTTCCAACCTGATATTTTAAGTATTAACTGTGTGTAGTAAAATTTTGAACAAGTATGGCTCCTAGACACTTTTGCCTGTAACAACATTCCAGATATAACAACAAAATTACAATTTCTTCATGAGTTTTATACCCAAAATTTACTGTAAATTATAATTTACATTTAATAACAAGTAAGTACAGCTGAGATAACATAATCATTAACTTAAATAACAGCTACATCACTTATTTGTAAATGCAATACAATTATGTATTAGGGACCAAATTAGGAATCTTTACTTACTAAATGATAGGTAATTATATATGCATTAATGACATGTCATTAACACTCACTATCTACATTCACACATATGGTAGTAAGCAATTTGGAATTTACATAAAAGTATTTTACAAAGTAAACAAAAGTAAAATAAGCCTACCTAACCTACCTACTAATTTAAATTCTAATTTCATTATCTACTTTATTTTACATTTAGTGCATCTCGGTTAAAAATAGTTTTAGGGGTACGCATGGGCCTGCCAAGGCATGCCCGGCCATGCCAAGGGCATAACTATGTGCTGTTATTTTTGTATTAACCTATTATTCCATTTTACTATTATGACATTAGTACTTATATTTTCACTATTTATTGTATATATATTTATTTTATTTAGACATTATAAATTAGGCGCATTCTTTTCTCAAGGAGCAGTTTATGAAGTCATTATAATATGGAATCATAAAATAAATAATTATGTATTAACATACCAAAATGTTTACTTTTTTTACAAAGTCAACTGTTTTATTTGCTTGGAACATCAAAATTTGCTCACTGGGAAAACATACAGCATTTGTTTCATGTACTTTACATAAGTGATTATTAGGAATGTTATGAGTACATAAATATTACTTCCATGCTTTTTTATCCACAAAAACAATATAACAATTTACTTTAAATAATACAAATTTGATAATAATACGAATATTATATTACGGTTCATAAAGAATATGACAGTACGTTAGCGAAATAAAGAAATCTTTCTGACTTTTACATAGGTATCTGTCTGATCCATGAAAACTGATAGATCCTAATGTGTATTGATAAAAGTGATTCATCTATTTTTATTTGCTCCTTTATTTAGATTGCTAGTTGTACTACACTCAAAATAGTCATGTCAAATGATTCTATTAGCCATTCCATAACAAGGTTTTGTAACGCCCCTTTATGAAATTACAAAAAAAAAACAATACAAACAAAAAGATTCATATTGTTCTAGTAATATATGCTGTAGCCAAATCCATTTTATATTCGCGTGCCAAATGTACTTTATAGATTACAGAATTATAAACACACATACCTAAATTAATTAAAGTAAATCCACTTACGATTTCATATTGTAGTTAAAAATGTAATTTACTAACCTAGCAGTACTTCATCATTTTTTAGTAATAAAAAATATTATTCTCTCTTCTAAATGAATCTTAAATAAAAAATCAAATCACTAGCAAGTATGATGATTTTGCAAAACAAATAAATTACGACACAAATCAGTACAAAATCTAACAAGTTTTTTTAAATAGATAGAGAAATATTATATAGCTAAGTATATTATATAGACATAAATACAGATGCCACAAGCTCAACTTTTTACATCAGCACTGTGTTGCTATTTTAGTTAGCAATTATCAATTTAGTAGTTTTAATCATAAATTAAACATACCATCGAAATACAATACATATTATAAATAATTATTTATAAACAAAATAATCAGAAATAAAATATATATAAAAATTATAATAAATTGCCGAAAAAAATGTTAGTGTATTACTTTAGAAGAGCTGCATCTATTTGGTTATTTATTTTTTTATTGTTTGTAATTATCAGAATAAAGTTTATATAAAAGAAAATATTTGTAGAAATACACGAAAAAGTGAAAATGTGGTTAAAAAAGTCCCATGTAAAAGTTGATTATATTTGTTACAATTAAATGGACCAAGGCATAGGCATTTCATTTCAATTTATAAAATTCATCGAGACATTAAGATAATATTACGAAATAAAGATGAATGCGCAGATTTGACCTTTAATGTCACTATAAGTAGATATATAAGAGCTTTAAGCGGTAAAAATTAACCTAAATTTCTTAATATGCGACAGTTTGCTGCTTAATTTATTAAAAATTTCAACTTTATCTAAATTGTAATCCTACTCCTACTAACCTTTTATACTTTTTTGATCTTTGTATACGTAAAAATAATTTCCCTCTACAGAGCCAGACAATAAGCCTACATGTACTAATTCTGCATCGCCCGTGCCCCTTAATATCATTCTTTGGTCTTACGTAGCGTGTTGACAACTCCCCACTACGTCTTTAAATCCATTGTGTCGAATGCGCTTTGCCACAGTTATAAATGCTCGCCATTATCAGTAGTTCGAGTCCGACATTTGTGTGAGAGTTCTCTTAGTGGTCACTTGTCTCTTTTAGTCTCTCGTAGTCTCACTTAGCTCTCCGTCTCGGTTATCGTGTACGCAAAATTTTTTATTCATTCTTACTGTTAGTATATTGTTTTCATACTTTGTGCTAAACTGTTATTTGTGCTACTAGTATATTTAACAAGTTTGAATATTTTTTTCAACTATGCCACCTCCCAAGGTAAGTACATTACCCATATCGATGGTTAAACTCTTACATTTCCTAACTAACGTGGACATTTTACTATTGTGTGTGTGTGTGTGCGTGCGCGTGCATATGTGTGTGTGAGAGTGTGCATATAATATGCATATTTAAATTTAATCAATAAACCTTGATCGATTACTCTACATCATTATATTCGAGAGTCATTAACCAATTAATCAATTTCATTTTGCAATTACGTAAAGAAAATGGATAGAATGTTAATAACATATTTATATTATTATATAACTTGTTACTCATGTACTTATAATGACGGTTTCACTATAGTTAGCCGACATTTATCAATTTTACAAACTTTATAAGTAATTATTCTGTTTTGAAGTAATGAGGAATCATATGGAAGGAATTTATATTTCCATAATATGGACGTCAGTACAAATAACTTTCTTACGCTATTTATTTTCCTATTTATTCTTATAATATAAACAGATCTTTTGTTGGTAGTATGGTTTAAAATCTATTTTTTTATATCGCTAGATGAGCTCTTTTCAATCTTAGCATTAACGTTTTATTAGAAACTCTCCATACAGTTATACAAAAACCAATAATGGATTGTGCAAGTGCAAAATAAGCAGTTTTCGAAATTTATATAATTTTATATTTAAAGGTATTTTATATTGTCTGCACGTGATATGAAGAGGCAATGATAATCAAAATTGACTCTAGTATTACATTGATGTGCTAATATTTTAAAAAAAATATATCTGATTGAGAGGTCTTATTGGGAAAACTTGGCATTCATGTGACAATTCTCTTAGTGTTTAGGTATCTTATAGTGTTTATCTATCATAATTATCTTCTTTTGTGTACATTTCTTTGTTTATATTAAAATATTGACATCCCTGTGTTCAGTTTAAGATATAGTAACCTTCAAAAGAAATTAGTCTAATTCTAACCAAGTTATTCAATGATGTTTTTACAACTGACACCATTCCAAAGTAACGGAGCAAATCTCATATTATTCATTTCCATAAAAAGGGAAATAAGGATAACATCGGCAATTATAGACCAATAAGTCTCATTTCAAATGTGTATAAAGTTAAAAGTAATGCTAGAAAACATGGCGAAACAGGCGAAATTTGGGAAAAAGTTTAGCACAATAGACCATATCTACACAATCAAGCTAATCTTGGAAAATATAACAAATACCAGAAGCCTTTATATATATGCTTTATTGATTATCCCAAGGCTTTTGATAGCCTAAACCACAAATTTATCTTGCTGAGTAAAGAAGAAGAAGGAGAGGATGAGGCCTATATACAAATAATTTAATCCATCTACAAAGGATCATAAATTAGAATAGTCTCATTAAATTAGAAACAAAAGGAGATCTCTCTCCTATAAATAGAGAAATAAGTTAAGGAGATCCGCTCTCTCCTAGATTATTTAATGCTGTGCTAAAAAGCATATTTAGAGGATTAGATTGGGAAAATACGGTATCAATATCAATGGTCGCCGCCTTAACCATTGGAGATTCGTTGATGATATTGTCCTATTATAAGAGATACACTAATAAACTAAAAGACATGATAAAAACCTTAGCAGAAAAAAGCAGAGCTGTAGGAATAATAATTAATCCAATTAAAAGAACATTAATGACAAACTCCACAGAAGTCAATATATGTGAAAAAATATGTTTACCTAGGTCAGATTATGTCTCCTGAGAACTTTATGTCCAAGAAAATAAATAAAAGAATAGCTTGCAGATGGAAAAAATACTGGCCCCTAAAAGAAAAATGAAGAACAAAAATCCAAGCATGCATACCAAGTAAAAGACTTTCAATACTTGCATTACATATGGTTGCAAATCATTTGCTCTAACACACAAGCAAAAAGAAAGACTATCCACAAAGAGCAATGGTAATGAGCATATTGGACACCAGACTTAGTGATAAAATCAGAAATTCTGAAACAAGAAGAAAAACTAAAGTTACAGATATAATAACCTGTACAGAGCATTTAAAATGGGGTTGGACAGAACATATGCTACGTCGCAAAATTGACAAATAGAGCAAACTAGTAACCTTATGATACCTAATAAAGGACACTGGAAGAACGGGGCTCCCGAAAGAAAGATGGATAGATGAAATCTATCATACCTTGGAGCCTTACTGGATTAGAATAGCAGAAGATAGAGCTCAGTGGAGAGGGATGGATGAGGCCTATGCCAAGAGGCATGCCGAATTACAAGACATATTATAGTAAATAAAACTGGAAAATATGTTTTCCAGTAAAAATTATAGCGAATTCGAAATAAAAGGGCTTTATTATTATTATAGTCTTTGACCACAGGCCTGGTTTAAGCAAGTCTGTGTTCAAATACAATATTTTTGACTACATATGGTTGTAATTACGAGTTTGGTCACGGTTTACAATAGCTTTTTTCTTAAATTCAGCTGCAATAATTTTAGTGTTAATATTAATTTATTTTTTAATACAATAAAAAAAAAAAAACAAAAGTTGCTAAAGAACATCTTTAACAGTTTCAAACTTGCACCATTATTATCAAAAAACCTACAAAAACAAATTTAGTTGTGCGGTCGGTTTTTAACCTCAACTATGACCCAATACAAAAAGTTACTTATTGTAATATAAATAATAATAATAAGTAATTGTCTATTTCGTGTTTACAATACGGTTAGCAATATATTGATGTAAGACGTAAAAAATATAAATATATATAAACAATAAAACAAAATCATAAATCTATTAACTTTACAATTTCTTGATTTAATATATAAAAAACTAAATACTTAATATTTTACGACTATTTAAAATATTATCATTCTGTATAGTATATATGTATATATATAGTATTAGTATTCTCATTCTGTGTAGAAGTTATTGTTAATTGGAACAGTGGCAATATAATCTGAGTTTTGACGTTTAGTCTCCGCAAGTGTCAAATGTGCTTGCTAGGTATCCTTAGGTAGATAAGTAAAATTTCTATATTCTATACCTTGTCCAAGGCTACATTAATCATTAACAAATTGACAGTTACGAATTGTTGCCATAAATGAAATAATAACTTATTTGTAAACAATTGTTCATTTTTATAATTGTGTAGATAAAAAAATATAAAATAAATATACAAGACCACTTTTTAGGCCTGTTATTAATATTTTTCATTATTTATCAGTATTAATATTTTAAAGAGCTTTTAATATGGATTTCAAAATTTGTTCCATCACACCGGTTTCTGAAAACCTTATCTATATCCGCCGATTTGTATAAAATGGCGTCAACCGAGTTTTTAGAACAAGCTTTGTCTACAGACGTTGACGAGAACGCGGTGAACGCCATCGTTGGCTCACTTGAAAACCAATTAGTTACGTCCGTTCCGTCCGCCTCTTTGCATAATAATATAGTGAATGTGATTCCAAGTCAGCTTTCTAACATAACGTCTAGTGCAAGTTCTATTATTGGTGTACAAAAATATAACACGGACCAAAGTAATAATGGAGGAATCGTAACTGGCCTTCACTCACCTGCTACAAACAACAATGCATCCTTTAGTAATGTTCTAGCGTCCGCGCCGTCCACTTTTGTGTCTCAAGCGCTTACTGGAGCTGTGTCAAATTCTGGAGAGCCGCTAAAAGTTCTCTATTCCCAATCTCAGAACTTGCCCAACTCTAATAATCGTGTTACTTTTCCCACCCAGACGTTGACGACCGGGTGTATTGGATTGGCGGCGTCGCAAAATCAAATTATTCATACAGTGCCTGGTAACACTATCATCCCTCAGTCTGTAAACAAAACAATCACCATGCAGAATCCATTGGTGATAAAACAAGGCACGTCGGCGGGCCAAGTTGGAATGCAACCTGGCATGGTCACAGTACCAATGTCGGTGAATTCGAGCCTGCCAGCATCTCTACCTAATGTGATGACATTGAACAAGCCAGGAGGACAAAACGTCGTGGTCACTACACAAAACCTGGGCACTGCACAATCTGCGATCATTCCCAATGTTCAGATATTAAACATGAGGGCAGGGGCCCCCACAGTGGCTGCACAGAAGTCAGTGGCCACTGTATCGCCTCGGGTCGTCATTGGTGCTCCACAAGTTGTTGGAGCCAGAGCTGCTGCCCCTGGGGTGAGTATCTTTAAATTGTACATTTTATTTTAAAATGTTCATAATTATTGTCACTAATCACATGCATCACTCATCATTAATATAGGGTGTCTATTCTTCAATTTGAGGAAGTCGGGGTCAGCTATAGGGTGGGATCTCTATCAGTTGTAATAAAGTCATGATTATTTATGATAATTCATTTTTTTTATGGTTTAAAACATACTAGGTATTTCAGATGTAACTGTACTACTTGTTTAGTTATTGTAACTTTTGGCCGCCGACTTTTCTCTTTAAAAATATTGTAACCGAAATATCTGATATCTATTGATTGATAATATATCAGCTTTATACTTCTTTCCCTGAATGGCCTGAAGATGTGCAGTTTCTATTCAAAGACTTCTATAATCTGATCATTTATGTTCATGGTGCATGTATGGGCATTATATTGCATTCAATATCAATGGGATGCATATCACTGGCATCACATATGGCTCATGCATTGTTATTTACTGTCACTGTATCTGCTAATAAGTGATGCAAAGTAAATAGACACACACTGTTTACTTTGTCTGTATGTTACTCTTCAGTGTATAGCATAGGCAAATGTAAATATAATAATATTAGCTATTAAGGAAGGTGAATCCACTTGCTCATTGTTTCAATGGTTACAATGTGGCTTGACATTTATAATTACAAGAGTCACACTCTGCACTCCTGATTATTACTAATATACCATATTAATAAAGATCAGTGCAAAAAATGTTCACTTTTCAATGCTATTTGGGCTTACTTATTGAACAACACATGCTTGTACCATGCTAACCTTCAACACAGGAATTCACAGGAGATGAAAATTCATAACTAGTTCCCGGCTCTCACACTGCTGCACTTTCATTTTTATGTTAACATTGGACTTCACTGACTGTGTAATATCTAACAAATGACCTGCTTTAGAATCATTCTTTCCAATATTTTAATGTCGGAACCATTTTATTTTCATAATATAAAACAGTCACTTAATAGCAAACATATTGGAACTGTCTGTTCGTTCAGTGGAATTGAAATGAGGCGTTCATTTTTAGATAACGCTGCAAACTCTACAAAGTCTTCAACCAGGGCAGCAGGGTCATTTGTTGTTAAAGACTGAAAATGGTCAATACCAGTTGCTGAGGGTGGGTCCCGCGCCCGCGGCCAACACTCTTACGGCGCCGCAGGCTCAGACCATTCGGCTCTCGACCGTGCCAGCAGTAAGTAGGCACAGCCACTCTGCTAATCACCTGCAAACACAGGAATTGGACAATGGCTTCATTCTTAAACAGTTCCCACCGTTGATAGTGTTGTAGTTGCTTGTCCAATTTCAATTGATCAATCATGCATGTGCAAAATGGTGGAGGTGCATGTCCTGAGGTAATTACCTTGTGTAAGATTAAATATTCTTCTGTATCACTGTGTATCGTACTTGTGAACACTAACATTGGAAGCACTACTGGTAATAATGTTTTGCTGCCTCTCGCCAACCCCATTCATAGTCGGGGAGTAGTGTGCCTAACATAATGTGACATTTTGTAGATAGACATTTAACAGTTTTCTTCCCATTTCCCTCTAAGCTTGAGAATGTCCGCTTGTAATTTATGTACATTTCATTTGCAACATGATACAGATATTAGCATGCGGGCTTTAGTGACAGTACATGAGTGGTCGTCTCGTTGCAGCACCCGGGCGTAGCGACGGTGTCGACAAGCGTGCCGGCGCCCGGCCAGATGGCGGGTCAGATGCCCGCGGCGCCCGTGGCCGCGCCTGTGGTCGCTCCGTCGCCCACAGTGGTGGCGCCCGCGACGCCGCCCCCTCAGCCGCCCACCGTCACCACACAAGTGAGTTTACAACGGCCATCAAATGCCTACTTAACAAAAGCAGCATCAGCTTCATTTCGTTGATACATTTAATAATTTAAATTTCATGCATTATGGGCCGGTGGTCCGTCCATATTAAACTATTTATAATAAATTAACTACCTCTCTAACAACCATTTCTAAATTAATCTTTGTATTTACTCATTTTCTTTTTATAGTAGTACGAGTACATTAAAGGAGTAAATTGTGATTATTCTTCTTTTCACTAGAAACCATCGGACAATACTAAGGAGAAGTGCAGGAACTTCCTAGCTAACCTGTTAGATCTATCTAGTAAAGAGCCAAAGTCAGTGGAACAAAATGTAAGGAATCTCATTCAAGAGTTAATAGACGCTCAAGTGGAACCAGAGGAATTTTGCAACCGCTTAGAACGGCTTTTGAACGCAAGCCCGCAACCCTGCCTCATTGGCTTCCTAAAGGTATCGATTCATATTGTGCATATGCATTTGTAAGGTTTGGTATGTAGATTTTTGATTTACAAACGACCAGTTGTATTTATACATATTGATTATTTTTATTGTAAATTGTTTGAATATTCAATTTGTATTAGTTTTTATATGATGAATGCATTATTTACAGAGGAGTCTGCCACTACTAAGGCAGTCCCTTGTCACAAAGGAGCTAGTGATCGAAGGAATCAATCCTCCTGCACCGCACGTGGCTTTCTCGAACATTCCAGCGCCCACGCAGCAGGTAATCGCCACGTCGAACGTGCAATTGGTAAGTTTTGCTGTCACACCTCTCACTAACCAATAAGTGCTTATTAAATAACATGAATTATATAATAAACTGTGTTCACAAATTATCTCGCATTTATTGTTTTGTTAGTGCAATTTTACATTAGAGCAGACATTAAATACAAAGTCGAGATAGCTCCACTCCAAGAGTTTAGTTGCTAATGCCATAAAATGCCGTCAGATATTTTTGAATTCAGCCAGCTTCCCGGCGAAGTCGCGGTGACTGTGTTGTAAAATAATTTAAAATCGACGTGTCGACAATAAAAGAAAAGTGAAAAAGAAAAATGTCCACTAGCGTTGTTTCCTTCTAGGTATCTCTTATATTATCAAATAGAGACGTTCCCTTACGAGCAATTTGTGCGTATATCAAATTGCTGCACATTAATTGATCCCCATTAATTTGAACTTGTACACCATGATGAGATTCCAACGTCGTCGTTTGGTTGATTATTTTATAACGTGGACCACCACGTGGACTGTACGAATCATTATTCCGTGCCAGCAGTTTTAGCGCCTGTAACGGACTCAAACGGACTGTAAATTTTTATAAATTCATCCAAAAAATAATTTTGAGTATATGTTGAAGATACGTACATCTGTTTGTGATCATTAGGTTCTATTAATTGTTAATTTAAATACGAGACTTATTATCACGGAAGTGAATGTATTATATATGATTGATCACGTTTATTGCATTTAGCCATCGGATCGGGAAAACCTAATGTTAATTTGTGGCTTATTCCCTGCCGCCGCGCGCGTAATATTTACACTAGCGTGCATACTCATAGCTCTGTAATATTCGATATATAGAACTGCACACTACCACCATTAGTATAGGTTAGTCAATTCCGTATGTGATCCTGGACGGCTGACTGCGATACTTTACTGATCCATTGCTTTCTCTCTCTCTCGTTTTATACGTCGTGAGCAGGCGCTGTGTTTAAATTCGTTCAACCTCAACCTTAATTACCGAAATTCAATTGTTTTGCTTTGCTGACCCCAAGTTTGTTTCGCCGTCAATGCAAAGTAGTGGCCGCAGTTTGTATCATTCCATCAGCCGCTAACTTGTTTTATATTCCAATGCAACCGGTGCCGGGGCCGGTGCCGGTGCCGGGGCCGGGGCCGCGGCTCGCCCTCACTCTAATTATAGATGATGATAAGTTTCCACTGAAATTGCTGTTTGTGAAAACGGGGCGTGCCACCGCGCGGCTAACACGCGTTCGCCCGGTGCGTGGTGCACGGTGCACGGTGCACGGTGCACTTGGTGTGTGTACTTGCGATACTAAGTTGGTGATGTTGTGACGTCAGCCGAGCGAGGAGGACGGCTCGAGCCCGACGCTCACGCCGCTCCTGCCGCCGGTGCTCCCGGTAACGCTCACGCCCTCGCTAGGGTCCACCTCAAAGCCTATTAACGTGGTGGCGGCGCAGGCGGCCGCCGCGCAGGTTTGTTCACACCGCATTCCCGGCGCTCGCTTACGTTTGTTTCGAATCATTCACCCGCATACGGCCGCTGCACTCTCAGCCAGCGCCGTTTGCACACGCACTGTTTGGCGTTCCATTACGAGATTTCGCGACAGATCAATAGCAACCTAACGCCGACAGCTGGCGGGCAGAATGTCTCCACTGTGGACACTGCTCGTCAAATGTTGTATGTTGTCCCTTGAGTAATAACTAAACGGTGAACTTTGTCCAATGAATGACTCACTAACTTACTAATGATGCAGCCCAGTGGAGTATTTACAATGTAAAATAGCCTCATTGTGACTAATGTTTTTTTGTTTGTTGATAAAATAAACTGCCACGTCTCGTTCACAACGGATATCTGTGATTTGGAATGGTTCTAAACAATACGAAGTCCCTGTTCTTAGATGTTGTTTAACTCTAGTTTGGAATGTTCTTACTTTCGTAAATGTTATTCTTATATTGTAATTGCTGTTGGCTTCTTGATATTGTGTCTCTTTGGTTTATTATTTTAGAATGATTATTGAATGTCGTACATATTGGAATTAGCTACTGTTTCGCTGCTATAGTTGTGTGTATATAGAACGTATCGCGACATTTTCTCTCCCTGTTTATGGCTATGGCTCACGAGGCGGGTTAACGATCAATCTTATCGTCGACGGTGTTGTTTCAAAAAATAATTTGTCAATTTATACATATATACGACAGAGAATTCTGAAAGAATATTTTTAAATCGATTCTGTACAATATACAGTCCAAAACATAGAACCTCCTCCTTTTTGAAGTCGGCTAAAAATATAGATTCTTAGAAGTTTTGTATATACAAAAAATATAGAATTGTATGTAAATACATTATTTTTTTTTACCAGGGGAAAGCTTGTTTACGATATAGAGAGACAATTGTAACTATTGTTTTGTTGTCTTTCTAGCGATGCATGCTCAAAGTGATATAGTATGCATGGTTGTTTACGAACACGATCACAACTGATATCGTCATTTGTACAATAAACCAATTATGTTCGTACAGCAGAAGCCGAAATCGAGCAGCGGTATAGCGGTGCTGCAAAATGTGCCTTTCCACCCTAAGATCAATTTGGGCAAAGTTAGCGGCAACAAATCCATGACGGTGAACAGCAAAGCGAACTTCCCGCGGCCCGCGGTCGCAGCGCTGTCCACCGTGCTCACGCCGGGCAAATCGCTCCTTAAAGATAAAGAGAAGAAGTCTATGCAGTACGCGTCGCAGCCGTTTGTCGACGACAAGATGGCCGGCGATGATGATATCAATGATGTCGCCGCCATGGGAGGCGTCAACTTGGCGGAGGAGAGTCAAAGAATATTGGGCTCCACTGAGCTCATTGGTACGCAGATCAGGTAAGAACGGACATCATCATAGAGATGATGACTGAAACATCGTTTCTATATATAATATGTATATTTATTTATTTGTTATTTTTATTACTTATAACCAATTACAACTTTACAATATTGCCATGTGGTCCTGGCACAGAATGGGTTGCCCTGTCCTTTCCCGTAAGTGTGGAGAGTGGAGTATGGGCAGCAGCATCTCTCTTAAAATATCTCTAAAAGCCTAATTACGGTTGTCAACCTGTCTGTCAAACGTGGCAACTACTGGCAAATCTCCTCTTATGGGGTAGGCTTATGTTCAGCAGTGGACAGTTAACGGCTGAAATAAAAATTAAAAAAAAAATATATTAAGCACATAAGTATTTACAATGATCAAGTCGTATAAAATATAACTTGAAAAGTAGGCATTTCCTTCATTGTCTAGTAACAGCTATAGTACAAGTTTATTTCTATTTGAATGTATAAATGAAAAATATTGTGTCCAGTTGGTTTATATTATTGTATATTATTGAACAGATCATGCAAAGACGAGTACTTGGTCCCGATGAGCCTGATGCAAGCGCGTGTGAAGGCGGCGACCACGCGGCACGGTCTCGAGGAGCCGTCCCCGGAGGTGGCGGGCCTCGTCAGCCACGCCGTCCACGAACGACTCAAGAACGTCGTCGAGAAGCTAGCCGTCGTAGCGCAGCATCGGATAGACCTCATCATAAAGGTAACACTTCATCAACACTGCCGACTGTTTGCACAGGTCTTGCCTGTAGTCCGCAAAGTCCTCGCAATAAGCGCGAAGCTTCTGCGAATTTATGTAAACAATATTATTTGTGATACATGTATGACAAAGCTGTAATGTTATTCCTTCCGCTGGTGCGAAATTATGCATTTCCGAATTAATTTGTTGATTTGAAAAATACTTTCTGAATATCAGGTGAATTCAGAAATTTTATTTTTGTAAATGGAAGTAGTATTAGCATGTGATGATAGATGAGGGATTAATTATGATACTCAAAACAGGAAACAAGCTGACGGCCCACCTGATGAAATGTGGTAACTGTCGCCTGAAGTCAACAATATGAATGTTGAATGTCACAATACATAAAAACACTACCTATTTCCTATGGCCCCTATCTGTGTTCTAATGAATTAGCCGTGCTCGCGATGTGGCTTATCAATGCGAATTATTGTATTTTACCATAGCAATGACATATTTTATTATAGTAAAAATGATCATGGTATAAAGTTACCCCGTGTACCGAGTCATCATCACACCAAATTTCATTTAAATTCATCCTAGTTGTAGCGTGATGATTTAACGAAATAACTGGCAATCCTCCAAGTTTCATTTAAATCTTAAAATTATTTTTAATGTATTAAAATAAGATATTTCCAGCAATAAACAATATTCTATATGTTCACCTAGGCATTGTTTATTTCAGGTCAGATTTTATCAAATACATCCTAAAATTTTGTTGTTTTTTTTTTTATTTAATCAATGGGCACAATCAATCAGTATCTTAATTACTAAATATAATTTGATTAAATAAATATTGTATGTTTGTATGATATAGTAAGATGGCCTGGTCTCAGTGTTACAAAGTATAAATGTTTGTTACAGACTGACTCGCGTTATGAGGTGACACAAGATATAAAGGGGCAACTCAAATTCCTTGAGGAGTTGGATCGCGTGGACAAGAAGCGGCGCGAGGACTCGGAGCGGGAGATATTGCTGCGGGCGGCCAAGTCCCGTTCCAAGAACGAGGACCCCGAGCAAGCTAAACTGAAGGCGAAGGTATATACAGTTCAACATTGTTCACACTCATTTCAATATTTTTATATATATTACTAGTTTTACCCCGCGGCTTTGTCCGCATACATCAATGTCCTGTCACAATTATCCTGTGTTAAGTTAGGATGTAATATACCCATGTCTCCAATTTCATATAATATACAGTACAGACAGTCAATAATGTTATTATATATGTTTAATTCTTATATTATCTTGTGATAGGCCAAAGAGATGCAGCGCGCCGAGTTGGAGGAGATGAGACAGCGCGAAGCGAATCTCACGGCCCTGCAGGCCATCGGGCCGCGCAAAAAGCCCCGCCTAGAAGGGCCCAGCGGTGCTGGTGACACGGCGTCCAGTAGCGCTGGCCACTCGGCGGGCGGATTTGTAAGTATTGGAGAGCATATTATATCGTGAACAAACAATATAATAATAATTATTATGCAGTACCAGTACCTCAAGATTAATAACTTATTTACTTATACTATTCTACATATTAAAATATGTGTACAGGACGGACTTAATGCCTGATATCATTCTCTACCAGCCAATAGTTAACTGTTCCGTTTGTCTAGTAAATACTAAGGTTTAATGTGAAGTCTTGGACACGAATTTAATCTTAATTTTGTATAAAAAAAAAAAAAATAAATAAAAAAAAAATAAAGTACATAAAAGTGGTTACATAATTTTTCGTGAATGTGCCACAGTAACACAAAATGGTCACAACTCAGTTTATTGCTTTGAATTCAAAAGAGCAAAACATTGATATTCTGTTGTGGCCAAAAGACAATAATATAATAAATCTAAGGCAATATATACTCTTTCTCTGTGTGTATTTATCTCGTAACGTCAATATAGGAATCTCTCTCTAGTGTAGTTATTACAGCTGTAATACAATGTAATGAATTATTGATAAGTTAAGCTTTATTATTATTATTATATTTATTATCTGATGGAGTTCTCACTATTCGTTTAGGCTGGCCGCAGCCACCTGGCCCTCAGGACGCGACTAAAGCGAATCAACCATCGCGACATGGTGTTCCTCATGGAACAAGAGCAGGAGACTGCTCACTCGGCGATGCTGTACCGCAGCTACCTCAAGTGACCTTCCGCGTGGTCAACAAGCAACGCTGCGCAACCAAAAGTAACACTACTTTTGAACTACAATATTTTGTCACTTGTTTCTATGAATCTACTACTACTACTACATATATATAACCAATATGTACGATATAATAAGTACATACATAAAACTCGCGTGCGTGTATATCGTTTGATAAAATGATATATGTAACGGTGCGTGCTTATAAATAGTAGGCATGCATTTAATAGGAAGGAAGTCGCTTATGTTATCTTAACTTATTTTGTTATTTAGTCTTAGATTTTTTTTTTAACTTACATAGTTGTATGGCTGGATACTTTCATTATTCACGCCAACGTTTATGCATTGTCATAATAATGTTGTAAACCATTCACGACGATCACAATCGATAAACTTCTGAAAAGTTTAGTTGTATATTATATTTACTTACTGCACTTTTTCCTAGACACAGTCTAGATTTTTAGTTTTTTTATTTTTTATTATTATTTGCCTGCAAAAGTGAAAACAGGCACGCTTTTACTGGAACAGTAGGTAGTTTGAGTGTATTAAATGTGTTAGCGTTGAGCCTCATACAATTTAAGCTTTAAATATATTTTTTAAGAATTCTAAATGGTTTTTGTTATTTGAATAGTATTCAGTTTTAACTATATACATTATGTCAGAGAGTCGAGCAGCATCACTAGCTAGCACGCGACTCGTACAAGGTGAACTCAAAGCTTATAGAGAACTGGATCATTATATCAGCTGTCAGCACCTGTTCACTGCTCAACACAGACCTACCCGATTGGGAGGTCTTGCCGGTAGTTGACACGCTACACGCTTACCAGACTGGTTGGCAACCGCAGTTAAGCCCTGATGATGTGTTCAGAGAGACGTAGCTGCTCATCCTTCGATCATTGAGTTCCCTTAGTCACCTCTTACGACCTTCAAGGGAAAGGACAGGGTGGCTCATTCTATTCTGGGACCAAACGGCGAAAATAATTGCATTAAATCTTTCTATTTACTCTCTTCAATACTTCGCTAGGGTTGTCACATTTTATTGGAACTAATATTGTGTATTCCTGTTTCCTCATTTTTGGACTCCACTCAACTCGACTAATTCAGTGGAGTGTCGAGTCTAGTCGCGTTAAGCAGCTCAGAATAGTACCAGGCATGTAAATACTATTTACTTGCAACGCGCTGTATAAGTCCCAATAGTGTATATAAAATATTTTATAGTTTGTCTAAGTTAGATTAAATTGTGTTAAATTTGGCTGAATTGGGCTGTTTTTTTTTTAATGGGTTATAATGTTATGGTAACCCCATCTGCGTTATTGGTATACACTGGCGGGGCACCAGTGAGGGATGACAGATGAAGATGAAAGTAGGTCAGTTAGCCCATCCTGACGAATTAAACTAGAATTAGTCACGATGGTTTCTAGGGGGAACCACGTGGAGGTCGACCTGACAGGGCATATTGCTAGTAATAGGGCTATTTGACCCAATTACTAACAATCCCTTTCCCCCCATTGGGCTAAGTTTGATCACTTAAATCGAGCTTGGTATAATTAGGCTAATTTTGTTTCAAATTGGCCAAATTTAGTACAATTTGATCATTTAAATTGAGTCTCATGTAGTTTTACCACTTTGTTCCAATATGGTCGGTCAAATACGTCCAAGTTTGGTCAAACTTTTGTACAGTTATACAAACGAGTAAATTAATGTTTTATAACAATAGATTTTTTTGTTTTCATACATTTATATGTGGAGGTGTAGGCGCGCGCGCTAGTCGCTCAGGCGCCTCACTCCTCCGGCGGAATCCTCCGCGCTGCCGCTTCAATACGACGTGATTAAAATTAAAGTGGCTAAGTTTCATTTTAATCTTACCGTATTGAAGTTGTATGAAAATAAATGTGACAATAACTCGACAAAGCTCGGCCAAACTTGCTTACTAACACACTCCAAAACGTACTCCAAATTTTAAAATATTGGCACCCACCATTTTTTTTTTGAAACCCCAAAATTATACGTTTTATAAATCGGAAAACCTAAAAAACGATACCCAGAATAAAACGTAATTACTCTATTTATATAATGTATAATGTATAATGTGATATAAAAATTGAACTCGTTGGTTAAAAATGTACAAAACATCAAAGACCCATTTTACAATTCAAAAGCATTGGATTGTACCAACCCTACCGAACGAATGTATGGAAGTTGAAACCCCCCCCCCCCCCCCGCGCGCAAGACGAGAATATTTGTTTATACTGTACAAGTTCGCCGCGTGCTCCTGGAATACAATGGGCCATCCCCATCCGTGCTATGGGTGTTGTAACAGGCAACTAACAGAACGCTCGACGGATGGCCAACAATGTCCCTCTAAAAACATGACCAAAGCCTAACTACGGTTGACAACCCGCCTAACAAGCTTGGCAACTGTGGCGACACCCCCCAAGGAGGAGGCCTATGTAATACTATACTATACAAGTAGTAGCGACCATCAAATAATTAATAATTGTTAAATTGTTGGATATCTTTTTGTTATTAACGCACCGAACTGCTCAACCTTTGTTAATACACGTAGTTATAATTTCCATGTGTATTTGTAAAAACTATCAATTCACCTATTGTTTCCAATTAGCGCATCATTTTGTTTATTTCAGTAGAGAATAAAACAGTCAAATTGTTTGATTTAAGAATAGCGCTCATGTGTAGTGCGCAGGATATTTGTAAATATTATGCATGTATATAGTATGCATAGTTTAGGCTTATTTAAGATGTCAACGACATATGTGTTAGCATTAATAACATGAAATCGTTGAATTTTATGTTGTCGAAGATTGAACCAAAGTGATTGTGCATTGGTGTCTGTACACTGGAACGCTACTCGATGGAAGAGATTACATTCCTATACAAGTAATTTGTTTATATTATTTGCGTTGGAATATATTTTATTGTCACGTGTAAATTTTTACTTAGGCTTACAGGAAGCGGAATATTTATTTTAAAAACTTTAGTTGTATATTTAAGTATTAGTTATTAGTGAGAACAAATGGGAGGAGGGTTGAGATCTGTCCTGAAGGGCAGGCCTTTCAATTGCATGGTGCTAGGAACATGTACTAGGAACAACGGCTCGATTGTACTGCCAATACTGAACAAACTATTTGCAGTGCATTGTAATAAACACCATATTATTTATTATTTTTTTAATTTGGTGTAAAAAATTAGATTTAGTTGTTAATGCATTAAAATAATTCCCAAAAATTATGCATTGTAAAGCAGTTACTACTGAAGTAACAACAAGGCGTCAGGTCCGATAATTTTTTATTTACCTAATTGTAAATCCTTTTTTTTTTTTTGTAGGCGTTTAAATACCGTTAATTTTATTTTTAAAATATGTAAATTCTCACTTTTAGTTCTTTAAGTACCGTTAGTTTTATTTTTGAGATATTTGTAAATTTTTGTTTTCAGTACTTGAAGTACCTACTATTATTTTTCTTTCACGTGTAACTAAAAATCGGTCATTCTCACGGTAGAACCGATTCTCTTTAGAGTATATTTATTAATATTTTTTTGTTTTTTTATAAATATGTGGGCTAATTTGTACTTCTTATTATGTTTTAGGTAGTATCTGTAAACATTAGCATGTATATCGGAATAGACATCACAACGCCGCAAGTGCGAATTACAATTCATAGTAACATAGTCTAGTCTTTATAAATTTATAACTCATATTACTTGTTTAGTTACTTATAGCTTTTATTTTACAATAAGCATACATGCTACGATGTTCATATTGATCAAGTAGTGTTATTACAAACCCATAACAAGTATATCGCCACCATGGAAACTCGGTATCTTTACTGGTATTTGTGCGGCTGCAGCTGTACTTGGTGGCCGTATCGAAGGCAATAGTAGTGATCGCAGCCGCCGGTTACCACGTGGCGTGGGTAGCGGGCGGGCCGACGGCTCGGTTGCCATTCCAAATTGCCTAGAAAGTGCACTATATGTGTACATATATTGTGCGTTCATATCAAGTTTCATACCTGCCATGATACATCTATGAAATATATTGTTTTGTTTGTAAGTTTTTAATAAATAACATGTTTTGCGACATGTATTGTTGTAGAAGCCAGTGTTATGAGTTTGTAATGAAGCCCGCACGCAACTTGTATGTAATCGGCCGCCTTTTGTTTATATCACCAGTGACCGTAATATACAAGTGCTCCATTTTATTATTATTTATTGGTTTTGTATACAATGTACATAAAAACAAATCTCTATTTACTGTATTATGTCGAAACATAATACAGTAATTAAACATTTGTTTTCAATTCGAATTGTATATCATATCCAAGGAGTGTATGTAATACAGTAGCGCAGTAAGAGTACTCGAGTGGAATTAGACATACTCTGTGCAGATAAAAACTGCATAAAAATGTATTAATTATGTTTAAGCTTATTAAAAACTTCACGGAGTGAGTTTGGTAAATTGTAAAAATAGTGTAAGGTTCGTTTTGTATATTTAACTTTGTAATTGGCTGATGTCTTAGTTCAACAAGTGTTTGTTGTTATAATGTACATACTTACGTACATATGTCAAAACTAAAATGTGTGTAAATGGAAATGTTCACCACCAATACATGTTCATGTTACTTTATAACATTTTCATTTAAATTTGAGCAAGTCGACAACGTCTATAGTAACTTGCAGTGTAACGATATACATCACACTAGTTCAACATATGTAAACAGTTATTGCCAGTAATTTGTTAATGAAACATTAAGTAAGAAAAGTTTCTTTTTTATTGAAAATATTCCGTTCCTGAATTTCCGTTCTTCCTTCTGTACAGGGCAAAATAGGATAATATGTCATTTTCGAAAAAAGCTTAAGTTATAATATAATCTCTATACCTTTGCTATATAATATATCTACCTGGTAATGTTAAAGTTTGCTAAATATTATTCAAAATGGCAACATACATAGACATACAGGTTGGAAGGGATAAATTGGCCAAAACGAAAACAGCTGGTTAAGATGAATGGTTGGAAATTTTGCGAGAAGGGATTGTTTGTTATGCGGACTGTCGGTCCCATTGGTAGCAAGATATCCTGTCAAGTCGACTTGCACGTGGTCCTCATTCCGGAAGCCATATTTATTTATTTATTTAAACTCTAAAGGCCATTAAAATATGATACGATAGGCCGACATAATTAGAGCCATCGTGCTTAATTCCAGGTGTATTCATCACGATGGGCCAACTAACCTGCCTTGTCATCTCGCCTAGCATTTATCATAGGTAGGCCAGCGTATACTGACAGCGCAGGTGGTTTTTTTAATTGGTAATAATGAAATGGTATCCCCCGTTAGCGCTCTGGATATACACAGTATACTCTCAGTATGTCTGTAATTATTTTGCATTCTGTTTATTGAAGAAAGTTATCCTAGATTAGTCGCAAAGTAAGTAATTTTCTTGAGAATAAATAATATTTATTCATTTTTAGCCTATCAGCCTCCCCCATAGACTACCATAAAGAACGGTCTTCATCCGCCTGCATCCACTGACTCCCTGCAACGCATTTCAGGTCGTCACTCCATCTAGTGAGGGATCATCCTACATTACGTTCACCCGTATGTGGTCGCCACTCAAGAACCTTTCTTCCCTATCGGTTGTCGGTTCTTCTAGCTATGTGACCAGCCCATTGCCACTTCAGCTTGCTTAATATTTATTACTATGAGGTAATTTATGCGGTGTGTTTATAGTAAGACAGACACGCTTCCTACAATTGCCTTAATAATTGTAATGTAAATAATTCCATGGACAAGGTGTTAGTCCACCTGCTGGCGCAGCGTTGTTGCCAAACAGCTGTGCAAGCTGATTATTCGCACTCAATCCCCTCGTACTCTGTGCATTCACAGTCGGCATTACGACTGCTGGTAACACTGAAGTTATTAGTGTAACTAAGTGTTAACCTGCAGGATTTATTTAAGAACGAAAAAGAAAATTATACCGATAGCGCGAGCAGGGTTACCATTACACTTTCACCCATTAAAAAAAAAAAAACAATCTGCTATTCCATCTCACCTAATATCATTCACTGGTGCTCTGTCAGCGTATACCGTTTTTTTCTCTTTTTTTAATGGGTGACAAACGAATGGTAACCCCGCCCGCACTATCGGTATACACCGACGAAGCACTGAATAATTTTTGAGTGATAATTCTGTTTCAAGATTCAAGATTTATTTATTTGTAAAATATGCGTATAAATACATGCAGATGTTGATAATATAATATCATTCGACATGTTTATAATTACTCCCTCCATCCAAAGGTTGCCTGGAAGAAATCGCTCTTAGCGATAAGGCCGCCCATTGTTTTCTCACTGTGACCATCTCTTGTAATTATTTGTATAATCTATAATAAGTTTACTATTATATTCTTTTAGAGGAACCAATAAAGAGTATCTATCTATCTATAATTCTAAATATTTGACACAACAGTTGCTGTTTTGATTTCCGTGTCAATAAATATTGCGTTACTCTTTGCATATTTGTCGAAATGTTGAGCATTAACAATGATTTGGAAGCCCGTTAAGCTATTGGCGTCGAAGCTTAATATACCTTGACATTACAGGCATGGTGTGAAGGAAAAGGAATAAATGCATGTTATTATTGTATGGACTGTATAATGTTATCCAATATACTCTTGCGTCGTTCCACTATCTTTATTGAAATGTTTTTATTACTTACGCGACTGGTTTCGAAACTTCCAGTTGTTATCATAGGTAGTTATCGGTTAACGTGCAACTAAAACACGTTCATTTGTTTGTGGTTTTTCTAATTTTGTTATCTTAAAAGCCAACGTAATTAGGAATTTTTAAATCACATCGTGCACCCACTTATATTGCTGATTATTTATTTATTTATTTAATAACTAGCTTTTACCCTCGACTTTGTCCGCGTGACCGGGATATGTTTATTGACCGGGATATAAACTAGACAATATCCTCCTTCATCCCGCATTTTATATGAAATACCAAATTTCAAAGTGATTAGTAAAACTGTAAAAGGCCCTGTAAAGTAACAAACAAATTCACTTTCACATGTATAACTAGCTACCCCGGCGAATTAATTAACAGCTAATTAATATCGTGTTCGCTTAAAAAAGTTTTGTGAGTTTTTTTCGAAATAATAGTTATTATATTCGGAGCGCAGACGAATCAAACAAATCAGAGATCATCAAAATCCGTCCAGTCATTCTTCAGTCATAAATTTTAATATATATTTTTTGTAAATTTTATGCCATAATTTTTTTTATAGTTTCATTTTTATGTTAATATATAGAATAAATGTGCAAAGGTATATATATAAATAAATAAATGAATTACAGCTTCATATATAATAGATGCACGGAACCCTTGAGGTGTGAGTTCAACTCGCACCTGACCGGTTTTTATATTACTTACATCATATAGAAACATTCGAAACAGATAAATAAAATAAATTTGAAAAGAAGTAAGTTCATTCATTTACATTTCAACTTTTTAATAACCTTAAAGCATACCATTTACTTTATAAGAAATACACGATTCTAAGGCTTGTCTAATTCGACGTTTATGTAAACGTATTTTGTATTTATACATATATTACGCATATATGCTCAACAATTTAAGGTCTCTGTAATAGCAATAATAAATATTAGTTAAAATGTGTACCGTCAAAAGACTGTAACAAATATTACAAACAAAATTTGTAAATCGGTAAATACCGATAAAGCAAGCTCTTATTGACAGTTTTGTGTGTATCCGAATGAAGTAGTTCAGAAAAAAAAAATAGCGAGAGTGACACGTCCACCCACCCTGTCAGATATCCATGGTTTTACTGTTACTGCATGACAATTTTTCATGTTTTAAGTATTAAAAATGGTAAGAATAATTATGATTTCATTCTTATACTTTCAATGAAGTTATATTACTTACATCCGTATATTAGCGTGTTTCTGACCACGTAGTGAGTCGATTGTCAATAGTGTGTCATCGTTTCATGTCGGCGTTCCGTCCGTGTAGTTCGTGTCTGTTTGATTTTATTTGAGTGCTTGTTGGTCTCCGTGACGAGTGGTGTTGTTATGTTTCGACAGCCCTTGCGTCTGGACACCAAGAGGAAGTTGACGGCGAGGTCTGACCGTGTCAAGTGCGTGGATCAGCACCCGACGGAGACTTGGGTCCTCTGTTCGCTGTACAATGGAGATGTCAACATCTGGAATTACGAGACACATACACAAATCAAGAGGTTTGAGGTAAGCATATTTGTGTTTTTACGCTTGCTTATATCATGATGCAAATTAGGATATCAAATGCTAACTCTAGAGGACAATGCAATACAAGTGAGAGGTGTTTGTGTTGCATCGCCCTAAAGTTTTATCTGAATTTCCTTTCTTTTTGTCTTAATTTATTGTTGAGAGTATTAGTTAATGTACTTGTACATTAATAAATTGGGTATCATAGTTGTGAGTGGACAGTGGGCTAGGAAAACTATATTAACTTTAAACAATAGAATTCAGAATTATTATAATATGTACAAATTCATACTCTGATTCTAATAGTATAAGTTGCATCATCATTTCTAATAAGACACAAATAACATTACTATAATTACATTGTAGTATTGCATTTATATGTATATATACATATTTTGGCTTCCTTAGGCTCTTTATTACTTTGCAGTAATAGATTTTTTATTATTTGATTTCAATTTTTGTTGATTTTTATGAATGTATTTGTAGTTTACACACTACTATAGTATATGAAATACATTCATTCATATTTAAAATCTGTTTTTGCACATTGAACAAATTGTCATAATATTTAAAATAGCAAGCGTCATCATTTATAGTTGGTTGAATGTTTTGCTGTTTATGCAGTCTGTTTTGTTTATGTTTTATTGTTTTATCGTCATTATTTATTTGTGGTGTCTTCTTGTTTTTGTATTCTTATTTATTTTAATTTTTATTACATAGTAAAATGTTTTAGCAGAAACTTGAAAGTAGCATAGTGCGCATATGGTTCATGTCTGACAAAGCAAGTGATATTATGTTGAAACATTTTTGAAATGTTCCAATTCCTTGATTTTGTCTAGACAAAATATCACAATTTGATTGATACAGCTTCCAAGTTAAATCAATTACAATACATCATCCTGTTTCATGTTTAGTTGTTGTTGGTTGTTCTGATTGTGGAATGTCAAATATGATGCAATAATTTGTTGATGTTGGTATCAATACTTGTAGATACTGTACACTGTATGGTATATATAAACACATTTAGTCATACAGGGCATATAAATAAATTGAATAGGTACACAGGTAGAGAAATATTACCAGACTAGTATAGTTTTAGCAATGAACGTTAAGGAATATGTATAAGATGGGGAAAAGTAGAAAAACTTATAGGAGGCTTATGCATCAATGGATTAATTACAATAAATTGGTGTATACAAATAATATTTTTAGTAATATCTTATTCTTTTACTAATTTATATGTATAGAAGACATTAAATTTGTAACTCAAGTGTAATATAGTCAGTTATGTTTCTATTTTAGTAGTGGTCTTTTATTTTGAACAGGTATGTGATCTACCAGTTCGTGCTGCAAAATTCGTCCCCAGGAAAAATTGGGTGATCACAGGCTCAGATGACATGCAAATACGCGTGTTCAATTACAATACACTGGAGAGGATACATTCTTTCGAGGCACATTCAGATTATGTCCGTTCCATTGCTATTCACCCCACACAGCCTTATATCCTGACCAGCAGTGGTGAGTTTATCCATGGGTTTGTTCTAATGTATGGATGTTATCATGTAACTTATTGTAAACCAAAATGTGTATCTTCTTATTAAAATAATAATTAGAAATAAAAGAAAAGCAGTTTTTGTGTTACATTTTTTATTTACCATTATAGTGTTAAAAAATAATGTGATGGTAGCTTATAAAGGAAGAAAAAAATACAATATAAATGTTGATATTTTGTAGATGATCTTCTCATAAAATTATGGAACTGGGACCGCAACTGGGCCTGCCAACAAGTCTTTGAAGGTCACACTCACTATGTTATGCAGATTGTGATTAATCCAAAAGATAACAATACATTTGCCAGTGCCAGTCTCGACACTACGGTTAAGGTACATAGTGACCTGTTTTTTAACAACTAGTTGATTAGTTGATCAATTAATTTATTGACAACTGGTACAGACATCAACATCATTTTACATTACAGTATTCATATTTGACAGTATGAGGCTAAATGGTTTGGTGTTTGTGTGGTTTATGTTTTCAGGTATGGCAGCTAGGTTCCTCAGTGTCTAATTTTACATTAGAGGGACATGAGAAGGGAGTTAATTGTGTAGACTACTATCATGGTGGAGACAAACCTTACCTCATAAGTGGTGCCGATGACAGACTTGTAAAAATATGGGATTATCAAAACAAGACCTGTGTACAAACATTGGAAGGTATTATAGTGCTTTTGTAATTTTCATGTAATTTAATGCATAGTGTTGCCTCCTTCCTTACGTAATTGTGACAATGACGTAACTGTTTTGTTGTAGGTCATACACAAAATGTATCAGCAGTATCATTCCACCCCGAGCTGCCCATCCTGCTGACTGGATCAGAGGATGGCACTATAAGAATATGGCACGCCGGCACGTACAGGCTGGAGTCTAATCTAAACTATGGGTTTGAAAGAGTTTGGACGATTTCTTCCATGCACGGTTCTAACAATGTTGCTATCGGGTAAATGCACTCATTTATCTTAAATTAAAATTATATAGAAGTGAACATCAATTTACTGGTTATATTTTTTTTTAGTTATGATGAGGGAACTATAATGATAAAAGTGGGCAGAGAGGAGCCAGCGATATCCATGGATGTGAATGGGGGCAAAATAATTTGGGCAAAACATTCCGAAATGCAGCAGGTCAACCTGAAGGCACTTCCTGAAGGTGAGTCGCTGATAGGAGTCAAGTATTTAATAAATAATTAAACTATATAACAAGTTTATAATCTTTTAGTGTATTTTTTATAAAATAATTGCAAATTTTCATTGACAGGCATTGAAATAAAGGATGGCGAGCGGGTACCTGTGGTAGCCAAGGACATGGGCTCGTGCGAGATCTATCCACAGACTATCGCGCATAATCCCAACGGCAGATTTGTGGTGGTGTGCGGCGACGGAGAGTATATAATTTACACAGCGATGGCGCTGAGGAACAAAGCATTTGGGACCGCGCAAGAGTTCGTGTGGGCGTTCGACAGTTCTGAATACGCAACACTCGAGAACTCCAGTACCGTCATAGTGTTCAAAAACTTCAAGGAAAGAAAGAGTTTCAAACCAGAATATGGAGCAGAAGGTAGATCTGTCTGATTACATTTACTGTTATTAACATTAATCGATTGAACCTTATAATAAATAATGTCCCTAAGTTGTAAATAGTCTGAATCTTGTTATTACTAAACAAAGTCTTGACTATAATATATAATAACTGTTGCAGGCATCTTCGGCGGGTTCATGCTGGGTGTCAAGTCCATCAGTGGCATGGCCTTCTCCTTCTACGATTGGGAACACTTAGAACTAATCAGACGGTAAGCATACATTCATTTGTTGTTTAGCATAAACTATGTTTCATCTTGATTGGAAACTTTGAATAATATATATTGTGCTAAGTGCTTAAGAATTTGAAATTTGTTATTTTAAATAAATTTGTGCAAACAAACAATGCGATATTACAATCATTAGTGTGCTTTTAGGGTGATAGTGTACCAAAGAATTTGATACTATAGAAGGTTTAAAATTATCTTGTTTCTCGTATTTTTTTAAAGGTTTCGGTATCAGTAGAACATGGGTTGTTTTATCATGTTCTACTTAGGGATATTTGGCATTTAATATGACAATTCCATTACATGAAGCCCTTAAAGGACGCTAACGATTTCAGTTTCAAGTTGTACATGTATATTATATTGCATATATTTATATATTTTCTTTGAATATTATTTCCATGATGGAACCATTGCGGTGGCGATTGTATTTTGTTCAATAGGTATTTTATTAATAAACTGCGGATAGAAACTGAAAACGATCTCCAGTGAAAGCCTGTTATAGGACAAGTTAAATTGACAGTATAGTTATCTGGCACGCCATAATGTAATGGTAGCAAAAGAAACTCGTGCACAGGATGTATGGCTAGCAAGGAACGTACGCCCACCCCGCGCCCAATACGTCACGGCGTTATCTTTGCTGGAACATCCGTCGGCTAGCAGCTTGTGTCTGCAAAGCTTCTTTTATTATAAGCGAAGCGAATAGTTGTTTTTTTTTTGTGTGTGATATGAATTGGATCAAACATTTTTATTCTTACTGGACTGATGGAGAATTTATGATAAACTAGCAGCAATGGCAAAGAAGCTAATGTCCCGCCTGATTTTGTTAATGGGTGATAATGGAATGGTACCCCACCCGCGCTATCGGTATACACTGGCGGGGCTGAAATAGGTCAGTTAGCCCATCGTGACGAATTCATCAAAAATTGTTCACGATGGTTTCCAGGGGGAACCAGGTGTTGGTCGACCTAATAGGGCATATTGCTAGCAATGGGGCTGTCAAACTCCGTTGCCAACAATCCCTTTCTCCCAACGGCCTTCCTGTTACGAACTTATGTGTTAATTTAGTACATGGACTATATATTAAACCGCATTTGTTGGACACTTACAAAATGCGTTATTTCTACTGAATATTTTTTTAAAGTCGTCAAGGATTTGTTTTCTATTGGGAAATAATTATAATACTGATATGCTCGTGTTTTATTTACAATGCGAAGTGCGATTTTATAATGCGACATGTATGCAAGGGGCTGATTTATTATTAAGCTATTTATGCGTTCATATGTTTACTTGTTTGGTCGTTTCAACTTTTATATCGTCGTGCACGTATAATGTCTGTTATGCAATATTTGTGTCGTGCTCATACCAAATTTTATACTATTTTGTATATAATAATTTTATTTGGAAAAAACCCTTGATTCTTTTATTCACTCCTGTTTCGACTGGGCTTGGTTTTTGAAAGGGGAGGCCAATATAAATGTTTGATGAAGCGTTCTCTATATAATCAGTTGTGTTCTGTAATAGATTATTCCTATTTCTATTACAGACATTGATGTAGTTTGGAAAACATTTAATAACTGATCAATATTTATATATAAATGTAAGAAATCAACCTTTATGTGTATAAAACACATTTTTTCATGTTATTTTTTAGTTAGATATTTATAGAAAACAGTATTTGTTTATACAACTTAGAATGGTAAACAAGCTGCATCATGTACATTGTAGTGACGTAATGTGCTGTGAAATTGCGTCATTCACTGCCGTTCCTGAGGACTTGGCGTCATCAGTGATCGGACACCGCTGTCGTGTTGCGCTGTTGGTGAGGTATCCTCGGTGTGGTATAACGACGGTGTGTTCTCGCCGGCAGCATCGAGATCCAGCCGCGGCACGTGTACTGGTCGGAGAGCGGCAACCTGGTGTGCCTGGCCACCGACGACGCCTACTACGTGCTCAAGTATAACGCGGCCGTGGTGACGCTGGCCCGCGAGACCAACACCAACATCACAGTGGACGGCATCGAGGACGCATTCGAGGTAAGCGGCAGCCCACTGATACATATACCTTTAAGAGGTACTGCAATACACCTCTCTTAAGACGCACACTGGCCGTACATCTTCCTAGATGTTCGTTGCTTCTGTGTCGAATCTTCCCCCTACAGCTACTAAAATATCCCCAGCTCATCCTACATCCTGTCAATTAACTCCATTATCTTCGCTATAAATTAGTATATAGGTAATTATAATTATTTCTTAATTATTTATTTATTTACACTTTATTGCACTATTTACAGAATAGTAAATACATTTAACTGTAATAGGAAATGATACAAAAGGCTGTCTTATCGCTAAGCAATCCCTTCCAGACAACCTTTGTGTAGGGGACATTGAGAAAAGAAAGAAAAAACAAAGGGTAGGTGGCGCACTATTATATATAAACAAATATATACAAAGATATATACATATACATGTACATATACATATATACACATACATATATACATATACACATACATATATAATATATACACATACATATATACATATACATAAATATACATATAAACAAAGATATAAGTTATTGAAGTCGCTGGCGGAAGACCCAAGAAAAAACCAATTTTATAAATATAACTAAATTTAATTCCTAAATTAATTATTACAATAATAAGTGTCTTCAGATCGATGTGTGATCCGTAAGTGAAGTTATATCAAATCAAACATAAAGGAAATGGGTATTTTTGCTGCGGGAATTGAAATGCTGACTCGACGCAGGTGTCTTTCTCGGTAGCGCACCTTCTCGCGTCATGCTAGGTGGTCCGATCCGATCGCCGTTGAGGGTGTGTCGTAATACTTGATAAGTATCTACTATAACACATACATAAATAAATACATATACAAACTTAAAAGCACACATATAACAGGAGATACTGACACTGGAAGACGAAGATAGAACATAGGAAAATAGTACTTAAAGGGAGAGATAATGGGATTTAACAGAGGTTTTGAAACTAGCGAGAGATTGAGTGCACCGAATAGAGGTAGGTAGTGAGTTCGATAGGCGAACTGCCTGCACAGTAAAGGAATTAGAATAAAAGGAAGTGGAGTGAGTGGGAAATTTGAGACGGAGGTTGTTGACACTGCGTGAAGTTTGGCCATTGGCCTCACTGAGAAACACAAATCGGTCTTTAAGATGTTTAAGGAACAATGGGGTAAAAAGAATCGCGTAAAGGAAAGATAGGATATGTTAATTACGACGAAAACGGATAGGGAGCCACTTGAGTACGAAATTGAGAAATGTGATCATATTTGCGAAGACCAAATATGAAGCCAATACATAAATTTTGAAGACGCTCAAGCTTGTTTAATTGCTCTTCGGTGAAGTCTAAATAACAGAAGCCGGCATAATAAAGAATGGGCAGGAGTAAGGAGTGTGCAAGCGCAATTTTGGTGGTAACAGGAAGAAAATTACGTAATCTATTCAAGGCGCTAGTAACAGCAAACATTTTTTTGCTAACCTCTGAGATTTGCGGAGACCATGATAAAGTACTGTCAAAGATAATGCCAAGATTTTTCACTTTTTTTGGTAATCTATTAGAACCCCATCAAAATCAGAGGCGGGAGACTCTCCAAGGAAAGTCTTGTATTTCAAGACTTGGAGAGTCTGGGGCTACCTATAATGATGGCTTGTGTCTTTAAGGGGTTTACAACAAGACCATAAGATTTACTCCAGGCTGATATACGTATAAGATCGTTGTTAACAGTAGATATCGCTAAAGTGATATCAGCAAGAAGGGCCAGAGAATAAATTTGGAGATCATCTGCATAAAGGTAGTAGGAAGACTGAAGTTTAGAAGTGATAGCTAATAAATAAGGCAAAAAGAAGAGGAGATAAGACGCCACCCTGCTGTACGCCAGCAGACTTATGGCACCAAGAAGACAAAACGTTACTTGTACAACAATTAATCCGTTACTCTAAGTTTGTTTTGAAAACTGTCGTACTGTACTTATACAATTGTGTCGTTACATTTATTGTTTTGCTTATTTTCTATAATGCATAATGTAAAGAAAATACAGTAATTCATTCATAATAGAAAACAATGTCAAGTGTAAGGTGATAACTGCAACGCGCGCGGTCAGCGAAAGCGAGCAGTGCATAGTCAGGAAGGTCGCACGACTGACGACCAGCGGCCGCGCGAGAACTGCGGCGCGGCGCCGACACGGTTGCAATACGCGTGTAGTGATATTAGCTTTTAATGCATATAGCATTATGACATATAATTGTTTTGAATAAAGATATTTAGTAATAGATTCAGGTGCGCTAATACCGGTATTGAAATATGATAGGTTAGAGAGTTTGCTAATTCTAAATATTTATAATGTTGTGATAAAAGGAGTTGGTGGTAACTCGCAGTGTGTAGGATTTGTTTATTTGGATCTTCAATTTAATAAAGTGGGTTTTCCACAAAAATTCTATGTATTTAAACAGTTAGAATGCAATTCCCATGTTTTATTGGGTGAAGATTTCTTAAAGGAATTGAAGGGTATTATGGTATCGATAACCGAAGAAGAAGAAAAAGCCAGTACGGGCAAACGCAGTGTAGAAAAACTCCCTACTAGAAGGAGTGACTATCTCAAATGCAATGCAAGGTGTCAGTGGATGCATGTGGCTCAGGACCGTTCCTTATGGCAGTCTATGAGGGAGACATGGAGACATTAGACAGGGGATGTAAATTATATTACTCTTCCAAATAAAAAGTAAATGGAGACGATTTCAAACTACCCTGTGACAAACAAGAGTTATTCGATTTGTTAAAAAGGTTTCATAATTAGCGAAGCTTTCTGTTTTACAATGTGCGAATTTCTTGAATGAAAATACTTAAAAAATCAAACGGACGTTTTGAGAAGGACAATTGGAGTGGTATAGCCAATTATTATTAATTATATTATTGCCAATAATATTACCAATTGACGTTGTCGTTGGTCAACGGTTCTTCAGGATTATGCATCTTCATATACGATGGTAAAAAATGGGCTCAGCTATTTCAACAAGAAAGAGAGAAGACGACCCTCGCCGGGACGCCCAGTAACGGTCGTGACCAAAGAAAACGTTAAAAAAGTCAAACAATCAGTACTGGCTGTTCGAATATTTAAACTATGGCAGATAGCAGAACTACAGATTGCTAAGGAACCAATTGGAGATATTTTATATGGACATTTATACATGAAAAAAAAAATAGGGCGCGTTGAGACCGCAAATGTTCACATTGCTCGACAAGCAGCGACATGTAATGATTTTTTATAGTTGTCTCAAAGTGATATGGAATTCGCAACCGCATTACCACCGTTGATAAAACTTGGATTCGCCAGTATGATCCAGAGGCTAAACAAGAGTCGATGCAGTGGATAAAGAAGAGAGAAAGGGCATAAAAGATATTTAAAGTGTAAAAGTCGAGTTCAAAGATTATCACTGGACACTGTAGACTAAACAAGCACGCGGCCCAACCAGGCTTATGCCCAAAAAGCGTTTACACATTTTGTCACAATAAGGGAGAAAAGTCGCATCATTGAATTTGTGGCTGTAGTCCTCTCATAAACGATATATCTCCTTTGGAAAATATACTTTATATCCGGAGGAGATAAATAAGATTAGAAATGAACTTTAAAAAAAGGGCAAGCCCATAAGATCATGTCGCAGTGTCACAGGTTTTTGTGTCTGGAAGAAGCCCGTCTTTCAGTAATAAAATAAAAATAAGTCATCTTGACTTCCAAGATTGATTTATTGTTGAATTTGTCACGATCATATCAAGACTTCCATGGCGAACCGCGAGGAGGTCGATCTGATAGCGTTTATTGTTAGCAATGGAGTTGCTAATCCCTTTGACTTTAACTGTCCACTGCTGAACATAAGCCTGCCTATTTTTAAAGTCAGATAAAATACATTATATATATATATATATATATATATATATATATATATATATATATATATATATATATATATATATATATATATATATAATATCTTATATTGTATAAAGTACATAAAATTATTTGATTTTTAAAAATGAAATTTTAATTTACACATTTATTATATAATATGTACATACTACGTACAATTTATTACGTTTGTACTGAAATGAAATAAATATAATTTAAAATTTTGAATTTCAAATTACGAACGAATACAGAACCGATAAATTGTAACGGTAGAATGTACGTGGTGCATCACTACTACATGTACACATTGACATTTCACGCACACAAGTGTAATCACATTTTCGTGTCATTTATGTAATTTCATTTCCAATCTGTTTCACTAAGTCAGTGGTCGAAAGTGAGCCATGTAGTGCCATCTATTTGGTTATTACTGAACAGTGTTTATTTCGATCTGTCATGTGTGAGGCAGCGCGTTTTTATTCATGTCCTATATTTTGCTTAACTTAGAGTTTAAAAGAATTTATATATATTTTTTTTACAACAATATTTTATGTATATAATACTATTGGGTGTAGAATATTTAGTAAAATATAATAATGTAAAGTCAAGTTAAATCAATGTTATTTAATAAAAATAAATTAGAAATAATTTTAAGTAATCTGTAAATGTTCGAATTCATTAAAAATATAAAATTTACAACAGTGTATAAAGTTAGGACTATGTTTATATAATTATTTTTAATTGTGTTTATTTTTGAAAATAAGTATCGAATTATCAGAGAGAGGTGATGGATACCCTAACACCATATTTTTTCAGGGGAGGTGTGATATGGTAACGTAGCCCCTGGCACGTTCCATGGACATGTCAGAATGTGTGGAATATTAAATAACTTCCTAATGTTATATTAGCACGTAATAATTAATATGAAAGTACACTGTAACTAGATAAGACCAGAGTATTTACCATGTTAACTGGTGTTCATTTATTTAAAACAAACAGACAGCTGTAACAATACGTTATTACACACTTAAATAATAATTTGACAGCCACAAAACTTTGCACAAATGTATAATACAAGTAAAGGAAACACAAAATTAAACAATACTATTAAAAACTACAGCAACATTGTCAAAGAGCTATCCAACAAACAGATTACGAGTGTGTTCCATTCTCCAACAATCTTTCTAATTGCAATCTATTATACAAAAATTGTGGGTCGATGTATGACTGAGATATTGCATGAGTTTTTTTTTTATACAACTTAGAATGGCAAACAAGCTGATGGCCCACCTGATGGAAAGTGGTAACCGTCGCTTATAGACATGAGCAGTACCATGGATATAACAGAGTATACTATTTCACCCATGATACCTCCCATGCGTTGCCATTCCTGAGGATTCAGGTGTTATTCCTCTGTACCCAGAAAATTCACGCCATATCCCACCCTTCAAACCGAAACACAGCCATGCAAACACAATTGCTTCACGGTTGAAACACGAGTGGGATAGAAGTGCCTAAGCAATCGACTTTTGTACAAAGTCTCCCTCTGGTAAGTTGACGGTTAGATTACCTACGTTATACAGCCATACTGACCTGCAGCGTCCAGCTGTCCAGCTGTCCAGCTGTCCACTTGTTCACTTAACATGAATGAATGTTACTTCGATTTCACCGAGTGCATGTTCTGTTGCGGCGCAGGTGGTGGGCGAGGTGAACGAGACGGTGAAGACCGGCCTGTGGGTGGGCGACTGCTTCATCTACACCAACACAATGAATAGGATAAACTATTACGTGGGCGGCGAGATCGTCACCATCTCACATCTCGACCACACCATGTACATCCTCGGCTACGTCGCCAAGGAAAACAGGTGAGCTGTGTTTGGCGTATACAGTTTTTTTTTAGTTATAAAAAATAAAAGTTGTGTAGTTTCGGCATAGAATAGGCCGCCCCTTCCTTTCCTGTGGGTACTGTATGAGGCGGTTAAGGGAGATCGAGGGATGGGCAGCAGCAGTCTCTTAAAGCATCTCCAAAGCTTTACTACGGTTGCTAATTAGCCTGCCAAGCGTGGCAATAACTGGAAAAACCCAGGACCAGGCTTATGTTTAGCAGGTAAAGGCTGATATGATGATAGTTATAAATGTATATATTCAATAGATAGATAGATAGTCACATATTTTTTACCACATCTACCCTTCATACACTTTCTGTTTTTACCCAATGGTTAGCTGGTAGAGAATGCCATATGGCATTAAGCTCGCCATTTGTACAAAATTTTATTGTGCAATAAAGAATAAATAAATAAATAAATAGATAGATGTATAATTTATTTGCATCACTTATGGTACAGCACACAAATAACATTAGATATTTGTACATACTTAAAATAAAGCAATATATATACAAAAAAAAAAAGAAAGTACATAAAAGAGGTAACATAATTTTTCGTGCGTGTGCCACAGTAACACAAAATGCTCACAACTCAGTTTATTGCTTTGCCCTCAAAAGAGCAAAACACTGATATACTGTTGTGGTCAAAAGTCGCAAGGTGCTTTGACAAAAAAGAAATATTAATAAATGGATTAAACTAATTGTATGTGACCATTATGAATCACTATTTAATATTTTAATCTAAATAAGTAAATGAAAAATACCATTAGAAATGGGGCAGTCAGAGGTCACTCTCGATCAGATTCAAGTATTCAAGTTTCCGATACACACATATTAGGTATACCAGTTTTTGTTTAAAATTAAAACATTTTTAAGCTCTCTTTTAAATATATATTTAGTATTAGATAATCGTGCCGGTGATGGTATATTATTCCAACACTTCGTGACCAAGTAAATAGAATAAAGTGGCAAGGGCTTCTGTCCGTACACACATGTCTCTCGTTTCATATATTACTCTTTTTTTATACAACTTAGAATGGCAAACAAGCTGACGGCCCACCTGATATAAAGTGGTAACTGTCGCCTATAGACATGAGCAATACCATGGACATAACAGCGTATACTGTTTCGCCCATGATAACCCCCATGTGTTGCCATTCCTGAGGACTCAGGTGTTATTCCTCTGTACCCAGTAAATTCACGCCATATCCCACCCTTCAAACCGAAACACAGCCATGCAAACACAACTGCTTCACGGTAGAAACACGAATGGGACAGAGGTTTCTAGAGGGAATCGCGTGGAGGTCGACTTGATAGGGTATGTCGCTAGCAGTGGAACTGTTAGGTTCCCATTACTGACAATTCTTTTCCCCCTTGCCTTAGTGGATGTGGACATCATACAATGCATTAATTGCCAATGTTTTCAATTTTTTATCTCCGTAGTTTAGGCGGAGAAAAACGATAAATTTTTCCACCCCATTTCTTCCGTTTGGGGTTGAATTTTTAAAACGACGAAATACTTATGAATTTATTTGTGCTAACAACGTTTTAATATAAAATTTAATTTTTCTTTAAAAATGACGAATTACTCATGTAAGCGTCCAATCCGTGTTCGCAGTTGCACAACCGAGCCGCTCAGCATCTTTATTAATTGCACGTTATGCACAATTGATGCGCGACATATTTGAGTGTTATTTGGAAATCAATTAGTATGCATCTAAGTATCGTATCGGCGCCATAGCATACCGCTGGCTCGTACTCACTACCGTTTCTATTATATCCTACCATTTGCAAATTATTTGGTGTATACTTAATTCTAAATAAACTGTACTACGGTAAAAGTTTGTTAAATATAAAGTTTAGTCAAGTACCATTTGTTTAATCAAGTTTTAATCAAAAAAAATAACTCCGTATTACAGTTCTTTGAAAAATTCAGTCCGCGAGTGTTTGATCCACTTTTTGTTCAATCTAAGTCCACCGAACCTGTGACCATTTGGTTGCAGTGATTTATTGCATAGCGAGCTGTATTGTAACAAGGTGAGATCCAACCATTTTTATTATTTATACACTTTAGAAATTAATCAACCATAATTAAAATGTATGACAATTATTTTCTTAACGAAACCGAGATCTTTGAAGATGTGAATAAAGATTTAGCCAATGTTAAGAAAGTTGGCGCCGATCGAACATTTGCAGATTATTGTGCGCCGTGTGTATTATGCGCTATGTGGTCCCGGCATAGAATAGCCCACCCCTTCCTTTTCCGTGGGTGTCGTAAGAGGCGACTAAGTGTACTTAATAGTCGAGGGATGGGCAGTATTCCTTTTAAAACATCAACAATGCCTAACTGCGGTTGCCAACTTACTGCCTCAAAAGTTAGATAATTAAACATTCATAATGCGAAGTCTGTAAAAAATAGCCATCTTGAAAGAATGGCTAAACATTTTTGGAAGTAAATTGAAAATAAACACTGGAAGCGTTGCGTAAACAAGAACATGTAAATTAAAAAAATGTCCATACAGATGTGACCATCACTAGAATTTTTATACAAACCAAAAAAATGTTCCAAGTTTATATAAATATAAATATAAAATAAGTTATAAAATACAATATATACATATAAGCAATCTATGTACGTCTCAAGATCATTGACTTGTGCTATGTGTAACGTTGACCGCGAATTATGGGCATGCAGCAAATTTTACATTGAGTAGACAAACAGAAATTGAAAATAATTTGTTAATTAAATTATTGTGCAAATTGCATGATATGCCATTTTAATAAACCGTACTAGAGCAAGGAACGATGTCGTAAGTGTTTGAAATGTAAGTTTTAATGGATGATAATAGAATGGTAAGCCTGCCTGTGCTAACCTTGTACGCTGGTGGGACACTAATGAAGTGAGAACGAAAAGGCAACTCACTTAACCCACAGCGATGAATACACCTGGAATTCAGCACGGTGGTTTCCAGGGGGGACCACGTGGAGGTCGACCTGACAGGGTATATTGCTTGCATTGGAACTGGTAGTTCGTATTACTAACAATCCCTTCTCCCTATCTTTGTACGTTGACCCTATATCTAATTTGTAACTCATCAGTGATAAATGAACATAAGTAGTTTATTTTAACATGGCACAGCTACAATAAATGCTTTTATAGGCGGGATAAGGACTGTTAGTAATGGGGTCTAAAAGCCCCATAACTAGTAATAGACTTTATCAAGTTGCCCTTCACGCGGTTCCCTCTTAAAATCACCGTGGTTATTTTTTGTGGAATTCGCACGGTAGGCCAACTGACTTGACTTTATTCCATCTGATGCCCCACCAACGTACACTAATAGCACAGGCGTGGACACCATTCCATTTTCACCATTAAAAAAATTAAAAGAGCATATTCCTTTTTAAAAGGCCGGCAGCACCCCTGCAATGCCTTTAGTGTTGTGGGTGATTATAGGCGGCGGTAGTCACTTAACACCAGGTGAGCCGCATGCTCGTTTGCTCCCTGTGTTGTAAAAAAAAATCTTATAGTAAAATAACTGATTACTTAGAAACACTATGTATTACCGTTCAAAAATAATTCCCATGTAAAATGATATTGTCACGTCTGATATCGCCACTATCGAGACTTGATATACTACGAGTACAATGGAGTTTTACTTACGCAGCATCTCAACATGTATGTACGCTAGACGGCTAGACGGCGTCGTCGCCGCGGCCGCGTCCACGGTGTCAAGTATCGGGCTAATGAACTGCTCGGAGTGTTGCACTCACGTTTCGCAGAACATTATATTAAAGACATTGGAACGATAAAATGTTACCAACAATAAATATTGGCATTTCAATACGATACAGAGATCAGTTTTAACCAAAAAGAGCAACCCCATATCCTATACCACCAGGGGACAAATTTTACACTCTGACAGGAACCCTGGAATACGTTCTATTTCTTACCATAAGTTTGTATATGAAATGTCATATTTCTAATTTTCAAAGTGTCCAAATGTTTCAAAATTTCAAAACAACCCGTATACCTCTTTAGGGGTGGAATTTTCAAAAAAATCTTAGTGGATTTTTACATTATAAAATGCTTGATGCATGCCAAAATTTTAAATCCCACAGGGATTTAGGCTGTGCGTTGATATATCAATAAGGACAAACGATCTTATATTGTGTACCTTAGTGAAGCTTATAATTGTCGTTAGCGTCAATGTTTCATTTTAAGGGATGGGAGTGACATTACATAGATACGAAAGCAACTAAGATGTTGCTGCCGTATCTAGGAGAGAGCCTGCGTCTGCAAGAATGATGATGCAATAGTGATGAGTTGTGACGCCCATATCATAATGTATTCTGTGATAATCTAAAGTACTGGTTATGCCTATAGAAGGCATTTATCATTTTTCATCAAGCAGACCGTCAATTAACTATGTTGCTGTTGTCAATAGCGTTTGATTATTTAACGTGTTTGTGTGCAGACTGTACCTGAACGACAAGGAGCTGAACATAGTATCGTACTCGCTGCTGCTGTCCGTGCTCGAGTACCAGACGGCGGTGATGCGCGGCGACTTCGAAACGGCCGACCGCGTACTGCCCACCATTCCGCACGACAATCGCACCAGGGTCGCGCACTTCCTCGAGAAGCAGGTAATGATAACACATACCACTGGCGCTGAACTTATACATTTGTTGTAGCTTAGACATTGTAGACAGGTGTGTCATGATTACGATCCTAAATATGTGCTGATGTACAATGCATGTTGCCAGGGCTTCAAGCAACAAGCGCTAGCGGTGGCGACGGAGCCGGATCATCAGTTTGAGCTGGCGCTGTCGTTGGGCGAGCTCCGGCGGGCGAAGCAACTGGCCGAGGAGGCGGAGATGGCCGAGGGCGAGCCATCGCGGTCGTCGGGCGCGCGCTGGTCGCGGCTGGGCGCCGCCGCCGCCGCCGCCGCCGACACCGACCTCACCAAGACATGTTACCAGGCCGCCCACGACTACAGCGCGCTGCTGCTCTTTGCTGCCAGCACCGGTCAGTTGACCAACGTAACTGACAAATTACACACCGCATACTGCAAACACTGGCCATCAATATTACACAGGAGTCTCTTTCCATATAAGGAAAGTGGACGAATAGACGGACAAATAATTATAGAATATCGTTATGAGAACTAACATATATCTATTTAGAAATTATGAAGATGCTCCAAGTCGAATGTAGTTGGAAGGATTAGTTAGTTGCAGTGATAATAGTCTTATCTCGTTTGATCTGGTCTGATCTGGTCTGGTCTGGTCTGGTTTGCTATTAGTATTTGTGACGAATTATGAGATGCTTCTGTTTAGTAATGAATGACAGAATGACAAGGACAAAGGAACTATTATATGTTGGTGTGCTCGGTGTGAATGGATATTGAATATAAAGCGGTTGCAAAGTGTAAGGCAATGCTTATAAATAAGGTTTATTTTGCAACGGCGTGCGGACGCAGGAGACAAGCAACTACTACAGGACGTGGCGCGGATGGCGGAGGCGGAGGGCGAGGACAACATCGCGTTTGTGGCGTACTTCACTCTCAACGAGCTGGACGCGTGCCTCCAGCTACTGATCAAGCGGGACAAGTTGCCCGAAGCGGCATTCTTTGCCAGGTAACTGCTGAATCAGTTAGCTTGGTTTTAAGGCATGTGGAAACAAATGTGCACTATTTAATTCTTTGGGAACTCAGTGAAAAGTAGAATTAGCCCATAACAGTAAACACTTTCTCTACTTTGACTGCATTTGGAATCAATATCGCTTTTAAATGAAATTGTGTTGATGTTAATTTTTTTTTGATGGGTGAAAATGGTATGGTAACCCCGCCTGCGCTAACGGGATACGCTGGCGGAGCACCAGTGAAGGGTGATAGATGAGAATGAAAACAGGCCAGTTAGCCCATCATAATGAATTCATCAGGAATTAACCATGATAGTTTCCAGGGAGAACCGCGAGGAGGTCGACCTAGTTGGGTATATTGCTAGCAATGGGATTCTCAGTCTCCATTACTAACAATCCCTTCCCCCCTGTTGATGTTAATTAGTGACATATCTATTATTGTTCTCTAATGACTACCTATTTGAGGTGCTCTCACATATCTGCTTTAAATTGGATCAAACTAATCCTCACTGTTGTAGAGCATAACGTATTTGGCTATTGTTTTAATGACCTCACATTGCGTGGTGGCCCGCAGGTCGTACATTCCGTCGAAGATGTGCGAGGTGGTGAAGCTGTGGCGCGAGTCGGTGGGCGCCACTAACAAGAAGTCGGGGCAGTCGCTCGCCGACCCGGCCAACTACGAGAACCTGTTCCCGGAGTTTGCGGTCAGTTGCGCCCCTATATTTCATACATAGATTTCGGACACTGCTCTTGAATGCTTTAGTCACGTACGAGATTGACTCGATATTTATTATGTATTTATTTAATATAATTTTTTTCAATGCAACTTATAATGGCAGCACGCTGACTGAACTTAGAATAGCAATAGAGCTCATTACGCACAGCAATGTTCCCGCCGCGGCGCCACGGACGTCGACAAGACAAACATTCTATTAACGCCCTTATAATAAATTCCAAGCTGAAATTAAGGTGTTTGCTTGCAGGAATCTTTAGTGTTGGAGAAATTTCAACGGGAGTACGGTTTCGAGCACAGCTCCAAGCTGTCGAATATACCCACGGACTCCAAACAGTGCAATATAGAGAGGGATCTCGCGGTGGAGATGGCGCAGGCGGTGAAGGCCGGCGCGTGGAAGTCGGCGGCCGGGTCCAGCGACAGGAAGCTGAGCAGCTCCAGCGACAGAAAGTTGGACAGTCGCTGTGTGGTAACGGCGGACAGCACCAGCGATCTGAAAGTGGACAGCACTAGTGACGGCAGATACGATAGTGTTACCGTCGTCAAAGTGGACAGCTCCAGCGACAGTAAACCGGACACTACCAGCAGGTCAGTACACAAGAAGCACAATGTTTGTACGTGTTTTATAAAATGTACACTATACATACCTCGACTGCACCGCCACATCAATTCCAGTCGAGCAGATGTGATTACGTGGCTGTGTTTCTGTTGGTTGGTAGTGAAATTACACTGTACAGAGATGTAATACATTAGTAATTTGTAAAGGATTTGCAATAAACCATGGTGTCGGGCGAATAGTGTTGTTTATGTGGCGCGACAGCGTGAAGGTGGGTCGTCTGCTTATTTGCCGTATCAAGTTGTAAAATGAACAAATATTACACGTGAACACAGTACTATGTATAAATTTTAATATTACACAACCAGATTCTAAATCAGCGATTATACAATACTAAAATTATGATTTTTATTTTTGTAGATAACTCAAGATAACTAACTAAATTCTGCAGTTTAGGTTATATTTGAGTTTAGCCATAAATTGATATTGCAATAGGTAAATTAGTGAGGTTATTTTATAGACTGTATATGAACTAATATGAGAATTTAATCACCAAAGCGCAAAACAATTATGATTTAGTAATGTATTAAGTTACTTTTAATATTTGAGCTGATCAGTGAAGTAAACTTTAGCTGTAACTCCAAAGAGGACCGTGTGCTGTAAAAGAAATATGGCATATATGTGCGTAATAAGTACTAATCTACTTCTCGTAGATACCAATAAAATGTTAAGGATTACACCAGAGGATTTCATCAGAGGGAGACTTTGTACAAAAGTCGTTTGCTTGGGTACCTCTGTTCCATTCGTGTTTCTACCGTAAAGCAGTTGTTTGCATAGTTGTGTTTCGGTTTGAAGGGTGGGATATGGCGTGAATTTACAGGGTACAAAGGAATAACACCTGAGTCCTCAGGAATGGTAACGCATGGGGGGTATCATGGGCGTTACAGTATACTCTTTTATGTCCATGGTACTGCATATGTCTATAGGCGATGGTCACCACTTTCCATCAGGTGGTCCGTCAGCTTGTTTGCCATTCTAAGTTGTATAATAAAAAAAATTACAATTTTGTCGATGTGTTCCAGTTTATCGAGCCACAGCGACGGGCTGGCGACCAAGGCGAAGCGCAAAGATTCCATCGACATCATGGAGGAGATCGACCGCGAGATAGACGGCATCGAGCTGGACGGCATCGTCGACAGTGCGGTAAGTAGCCGCCGCGGCCGCGCCCGCATTCATATACATGTCTGAGAACAGTTTATATGAGAGGTATAGGGGATGTAGGGGCAACGGATGGTAAAATAATAATGTTTTGTCTGTCTGTTTGTATCACGCGTCGCGCAAAAACTAACTGCTGCTACTGCTCCAAATTGGATGCTCATTTCATGGTTGTGTCCCTGAAGGTCGAATTGAATGTTTGGCCTATGTTTTATTTTGATACACTATCTAGAAGTGTTTATTGCATTAGTTTTTTTTTTATTAAAAAAATCTGCGCATACAAAGTTGCGGGCAAAAGCTAATTGATTACTATGTTTGCGTTAATATATGTGAATTAAAATGTATTTAGCAGTGTATTTTGCTTGGGTACGTCTGTCCCATCCGTGTTTCAACCGTGAAGCAGTTGTTTGCATGGCTGTGTTTCGGTTTGAAGCGTGGGATATGGCGTGAATTTACTGGGTACAGAGGAATAACACCTGAGTCCTCAGGAATGGCAACGCATAGGGGGTATCATGGGCGAAACAGTATACTCTGTTATGTCCATGGTACTGCTCATGTCTATAGGCGACGGTTACCACTTTCCATCAGGTGGACAGTCAGCTTGTTAGCCATTCTAAGTTGTATAAAAAAAAGTTCCGTAATGCATATTCGTATCTTTCGTGTTGCTGGTCAGCCTTAGAGTGGACCAACAGCCCCGTTGCCTCGGGCAGTGTTTCGATTTTGTTTATCAACTATGTATAATTTTTCTTCGAGGTAAATAATAAAATGTTATACACACGCCACAAGTCGTTGCAGCACACGGCACATTAGTTTACACTAGTCGTGCGTTATCTGCTGTGCAAATAAACTGTAAACAAACATGAGTACAATGTTTTTATTTGTCTCTTCACAAAATGTCTGTAGAGTGAGAGAGATGGAGATAGAAGGCAACAGTTTGGTTTATACGTAAGTGAGGCAGACGTGAACGCAACGCCTATTGCAAATGTCTATTGTAGATAACTGTAGCCACTCGCTCACATGCTGCATGCTGCCGTGCCTGCCCTGCCCGCCACTATCGACTGCGCTCACTGCAAATGGTCCGTTAATTCAGAATGTTTTTTTCTTTTGCAGGATTTCTCGGATGACGCTGACTTATCGGACTAATGTCTATAGCATAATCTGTACTGTATTTAGAATTTTTTTTATTTTATATTTTATTATTATTATAATTATAATAAAAATTATGATTTTCCTAAAGTGCTAATATGTTTAAGATTAAAGTATTATACAGTTTTTGTTTAAAGTTTTCGTTTCTTTACCCATTAGAGTCACTCGTTGTAAAAATGAAAATCCATGTATTTAATAACTTATAAATATAGAGATTGCGCCCCATTTTTTCTGTAAAATTGTATAATATCATATTGCCAGCATGTAGCGGCCGAGCACCAACGTTTCTATAAATAAATGTGTGAAATAGATGTAAGAGTAAACATATATTTTAATGATTTCCCCCTCACTCCCCCCCCCCCCCCCACTTACTCCCTGCCATCGCGTTCAATTTGTTACTGTTACTCCTTCGACCACCCGTAATATATTTGTTAGGAGGTATTATTGTATAAGTTTTAGTGAGCACCTATGTACGGGATGGAATGGAAATCTTTCCCATCGTTAATGAAACTGAGTGCCTTTTCCCAAAAAAAAAAAAAAAAAATAAATTAGAAAATTGCTAAAATTTAGGACCTCCTTTAACTTTCCTTGTGTCAAGTGTGTAAGAGAGGGACTTTGTACAAAAGTTGATTGCTTGGGTACCTCTGTCCCATTCGCGTTTCAACCGTGAAGCAGCTGTGTTTCGGTTTAAAGGGTGGGATATGGCGTGAATTTACAGGGTACAGAGGAATAACACCTGAGTCCTCAGGAATGGCAACGCATGGGGGGTATCATGGGCGAAACAGTATACTCTGTTATGTCCATGGTACTGTTCAAGTCTATAGGCGACGGTTACCTCTTTCCATCAGGTGGGCCGTCAGCTTGTTTGCCATTCTAAGTTGCATAAAAAAAGCGCTTTAAATTGCGGTCGTATGTCGACATAAGAATTTTTTGAAAAAGTGTTCAGTGTCACTGGCTTCGTTCAAACGATGCTTGTCATTTATCTGCTATCCACTTAGGTCATCCAATATGGTGCGTCAATGTAACATTTTGGAAGGCGGCCGTCATCATTAGGAATGCTAGAAATATATTAAAAAAAACTAAAATTTGGCCAACCTCATTATTTAAATTACTTTATGTTTTATAGCCAAGAATAAAAATGGCTTAATATTAGCTAAAATAGTGCTGTTGTACTTACATTATTTTAGCTAACATTAAGCCATACGACGTTTCCTAACTTTTTTTTGTATACAAACTGGCAGTGGCGAACAAGGTAACGTGCTCACGTGACATAAAATTGATTTACAAACGTTGAATAAAATTCTTAAGTTCCTTGTAAAGATTTAATTCTGTGTTGTTACGCAACAATAAAACAATGTGCCACCACACTTCAATCTTACAATATCGTAGGAGCCAACTAAGGGAATACTTGCGAAACAGCCTGACCCAGAGAGACCGGTGCTTCAGCAGTGGAACGTTGATGGTTTTTTTTTGATGGGTTAAAATGGTATGGTAATCCCGCCTGCGCTAACGGGATACGCTGGCGTAGCACCAGTGAAGGGTGATAGATAAGAATGGAAACAGGCCAGTTAGCCCATCATGATGAATTCATCAGGAATTAACCATGATAGTTTCCAGGGGGAACCGCGAGGAGGTCGACCTGGTTGGGTATATTGCTAGCAATGGGATTCTCAGTCTCCATTACTAACAATCCCTTTCCCCCCGAACGATGATGGTTTGTATTATTATGGTAACGAGACCAAGGATTTGTGTTTATAATACCTAATCTTTATACCACAAAGGTGGTAAACAAGCATACAGCCCGTCTGATGGTAAACGGTCACTGTAGCCTATGGACGCCTGCAATACTAGCGGTGTGTGAGGTACACTAGAAGATCACCAGTTGAACGATGGTGACGAAAACCGCATTGGTAATCGCTCATCAAATCATGATCCTTTAGGTACCCAAGGAGGTATGTATTGATTGCACGCTCCATCACCTCGGCGAGAAGAGAAGCGATGGCGATAGGCCTATAATTCGATGGGTCCGATCTATCACCCTTTTAAGTCACAGTGTGCATAAGGGTGGTCTTCCAGTTGGACGAACATCGTCCTGTGGAGTAGGATACTGCGAAAAGACGCGTAAGTACTGGACACAACTCAGGAGCAACCTTGTCCATGCATCGGTTTTTTTAATGGATGATAAGGAAATGGTAACTCGCGTGGAGGTCGACCTGAGAGGGTATATTGCTAGTAATGGGTATTAACGTCCCCAGTACTAACAATCCTTTCCCGCCGATGGACCGGTTGTACGATGCAGTGCAGTTCTATATTGCATGTTGAGGATAATGTCTCGGCCTTTAGGTAACATTTCGCTGTGTAATTTCATACGACAACAGGTTTGCGTCTGCTTGCGTACACAACGCAGTTTTTCCTTAACAGTATGCCGATGCAGTGATGGGTGTACCAACGACACGGCAACGAGCCGGACAATTTTGCCAATCAGTTATTAATATGCAGGAAATACGCCACATACAGTTGTGATGTATGCTTTGCTTCACAATAATAGTCGGCGCTGGACAAAATTCACCTTGTGTCTGTCGATACGTGTGATTTACCTGTGAATACGTCTGCCTATATTCTCCATTTCATGTAGTATGTGTGTACCAAACTTCATAGTGACGGGTTAAGCCGTTAAACAAACAAACTCACTTTTAAATTTATAATTACAGCAAGGATTTTTTTATACAACTTAGAATGGCAAACAAGCTGACGGCCCACCTGATGGAAAGTGGTAACCGTCGCCTATAGACATGAGCAGTACCATGGACATAACAGAGGATACTGTTTCACCCATGATACCTCCCATGCGTTGCCATTCCTGAGGACTCAGGTGTTATTCCTCTGTACCCAGTAAATTCACGCTATATCCCACCCTTCAAACCGAAACACAGTCATGCAAACACAACTGCTTCACGGTTAAAACACGAATGGGACAGAGGTACCCAAGCAATCGACTTTTGTACAAAGTCTCCCTCTGCTGAAACAAAACTTACGATGCAACGCAACGCATGGGGGGTATCATGGGCGAAACAGTATACTCTGTTATGTCCATGGTACTGCTCATGTCTATAGGCGACGGTTACCACTTTCCATCAGGTGAGCCGTCAGCTTGTTTGCCATTCTAAGTTGTATAAAAAAAACATTATTTGTATTAATCTGAGCAATCAAAGAGCTGACTATACTGACGCTCCATTTTTTAAACCTATCTCCTAAATTAACATTTGAATTAGACATCACAGCGAAATCTTTATTGGAAGAACGAATATGAACTAATTTTGTTATAGATTTAAGTTAAATTAATCCAAATATTAGGCAAAGAAAGGTTTAGAGAAATGGCGTTGCAGAATCGACCCCACTGTAAACTACAATGCATGGTTGGGTAATATGGATATGGAATGAAGTTACCAACCTTAGTCCTGAATAGATGAGGGGCACCACAGCTGCCGCAGTGCATCCTGTGATGTCTATTGTGTTGTTCACGCCGGGCCGCTCGTTTGTCGGTCCAAATCGTAAAAGAGCGCAAGTAATTGGGTCGGTGCCGATGCAACGACAACAATAGACAATCGCACGTGAGCACCCCGCTAGGGATCATAGTCGTGAGTGTATTTTTGTCTATATGTAAACAAAATATAAATCGAGAAATTTGTGATGCCCGTAAACCAATCAATTATTAGCAAAAACATTACAATTAATATGAAACAGATGGTCGGTTTCTGCAGGTACAATGTTTGCTTCAGCAGCAGGCATGCAAATAATTATCCCTTTATGTCCTTATATTGTTATAATCATCAGATTCATCCACACGGTAATGTTTTGTAGATTCATCTTGTACTTTACATTTTTATGGGATAAAAATGGAATGGTAACCTCAATTTCGTTATCAGTACCTGCTGACGGCGCACCGGTAAGGTATAAGAGGTGAGCATCGAATAGATAATTTAGGAAGTAAGTCTTCAGTAGTTTTTAGGAGGAACCGAATGGAGATCAGCTCCACCTTCATGGGAAATATTGGATATATTTTAGTAATGGACCTAGCAACCCCATTGTAACAATATACCCTATCAGGTCATCCGAATACTAACAGTCGTTTGCCCCTTACCTTGTACATTGCATTTATGAATGAATGAGGTTCGGGTTTGAGGAGCGATTTGAAGACTGTGGAGCTGGAAGAAGAGGTGAACAAGTTACACTGGGTTATTATAGGATAATCTGAAGTTCGAAGACAGGAGGAGAGGATACGATGATCTTTGAATTAGATAACTAGTTCTACCACTAGGAAGGTGATCATCCGGCCCATGGTGGTATCAGTTTCATTGTCTACAAGTCATTTTTTAATGTCTTAAAGATCTAGATAATTAATTAAGTAATTATGCTCCTGTACCCTGTTATTTCACTGCCATTTTTAACTTTCAAACCGAACACAACCGTAGCACAACCATATAAGATTAATGCTTCGGGGTAGAAAAACGAGAGGAGCAGAGGTATCTATGCAATTTTTGTACAGAGTCTGATATACGTATAGTATATATAACGTGGAATTTGCAGTTTTGCTGCGGAATTAGGATTGCCGTATTAATTGCATTACAGATACAGGGTGAAACCGAAATGGCTGTTAGTCAACAGCCGACAGCGCCGTGTTAGTGAGTCATTGGAGGCTTAAAAATGTTTATCGTCTTTCGACCCATATTTATTTGATGAAAATGTTCAGATTCGGTAAAACTCTGCCATCAGAGGCTCCTAACGGTTTCGGTTTCACCCTGTGTGGTTCAGAGTGTGTAGTGTAGCGCGATTCTGATAGCGCATTATACACAAAGAGAGAATTATCAGCTGGCCCGGCGGCGTGCTGCTGTCGCGGCGGCGCGCACTCGCTGCAGTTCACTGCGCGCGATCAAGCTGCGCACGCGCTGTTCACACCTACTTCTCGATACGAAGGCGAGAATCGATCACTCCGTACAATCCACAATACGGTGAGTCGGATGAAGATTTATTATTCAATTATTCTCAGTGACTGGTGCAAGTTATATATGCAATATATTTATATATATAAACTACAATTATATCTGTTTGAAAATTGTATAGGTACAAATCTTTTATATAAATTAAAGTAAAATACGATTATATGTTATAAAAATAAATTTACTAAAAACAACATAAAATCCACAGAATATATAAATTAGATTTGTGTATTACGATTTGAATAAAAAGATTCTACATTTTTGGATCATGCTAAAAATTTAAAATATATTAAAAAAATATTAAGTATAATTTAAAATTTCGCTCTGCAAAAGGTATAACGCTTTTAACTGCGAACAAACTTATATACTTTAATGCGGGTATAAAGCTTATCGACTTCAAAATTATTTATATAAATCGCTTTACATATTGCGTAACACATAAAAAATGCCAACCGGGGTATGGAGAATCTTCGGCTTTTGGAAAATGGATTCGTAATTGGCGGGTGGAACGTGTCGCGTAACTTACAACTACACACTCACAATATTATATAAATATCTTACTTTTTTTTTCACATTTTTTTTTGTAATCACATAATGAATGCTATTTTAAATTTTTCACATTTTATATGTGGATAATTAAACTCTTCTGTGTATAAAAATATCGACGGCTAAGAAGTAACTCTATAACAGGTAGTTGTTTAAAAGTAATAATTATTATAATTTTAATAAATAAATAATTATAAACCTAATTAAGTTATATAAGTGCGTGAATATAAGTGAACATAAGTGAAAATCAGAATCGTCGCATCGAGGATTTGAAATGCGTTTATTATTATTATTTTTTATTTTATTTAATTTATTCTATGTTTACCGCCGCGTTGGGCCCGTAGGGCATATTCAGAAAATCCAATCCTGAGTCAATTCAGGAAAATTGGTCTCCTACATTGGCCCGACCGGGAATCGAATTTGGATTTTCATTTACGTAAATCACTGCGACACGGAGGTTGATAAAAATATTTTTAAAATGCGTTTAAAAGTATCAAGAATGAAGTAGTTCTTTTTACTTCATTTGGAAAACCGAAATACCAGTAGTTACATATAAAAAAACGTTTGTTATGCAAATAAGCTCGTTGGCAGGTATGCTATGTGGTCTTTGCGATATTTAATTCCTGACCTCATTTTTGAACGTCTATTTCACACTCAATTCCTATTACGGTAGGTAACATTTTACCCTAGATAAATATGCGGGTAAGCGTATTAAACGATAATTAATAACATTTCCTGTTTTTTATGCCACTAAGGTGGCAAACAAGCATACGGTCTACCTGATTATAAGTGGTAGCTGATGAACATCGCCGCAAAGTCTCATGATTAGTACAAAGTGTGTGGTAAAGGTCGGGACAGAAGGATATTGTCAGTATAAAGAGGAATAACTGACTCGTTACTAGCAATATTGCCTGTCAGAACGCCTCGTGACTATCGTGGTTAATTCTTGACTTGAACAGTACAATGGACTAATTTACCTGGTTACATCGTCACCTATCATCCCTTACTGGTACACAGCCAACGTAAAGCGAAGGTAGGCTTACCATATCAATATCATCTTCATCTATATAAAATAAAACAAGATAGCGATAATGCGTCGATCTTTCATTTCCATTTGTTTGTTTTGTTTTATACAACTTAGAATAGCAAACAAGCTGACGGCTCACCTGATGGAAAGTGGTAACCGTCGCCTATAGACATGAGCAGTACCATGGACATAACAGATTATACTGTTTCACCCATGATACCTCCCATGCGTTGTCATTCCTGAGAACTCAGGTGTTATTCCTCTGTACCCAGTAAATTCACGCCATATCCCACCCTTCAAACCGAAACACAGTCATGCAAACACAACTGCTTCACGGTTGAAACACGAATGGGACAGAGGTGCCCAAGCAATCGACTTTTGTACAGTCTCCCTCTGGTAAAGATTGAGTGATAGTGACAAAATTAATATTTAATATATATTTACATTGAAATATTTCATTATTTATATATTACTTATACATAAGTAGTTTTTAATTAAATTTGCCTACTTACGGCAAATTTATGTATTTATTTTAACAAAAGATATTTTATGTTCAAACAGAAGGCCAGCTGTGCGTTGACAGATTTATTATGTCGTTTATGAATATATATAAAAAAAAAATGCTTACAGTTGCAACCGGTTTTGACGATTTTTCTGCCTCCTTTCCGTATATGTGTGTATGGCCATTGATCAGTTCCGCCTTTTATATTACGCCTGCAGCACAACAACTAGTACAACAGTTCTTCAGCAATACTTACACATCTATAATCCACTGGTGACCAGCCCCGGCGTCATCATAACACAATACTACATATATCCGAGACCCATATTTCTATTTTATTATTTTATTAGCAAATTTTAAAATCAAATTAGCCATTATGTTTAGCCATTATAAACGAAAAAATCAAATATTTCCTCTTTATAACAATAGTTTATACTAGGAAGTGAGTTAGCAGAGGAAGACTTTGTACAAAAGTCGTTTGCTTGGGCACCTCTGTCCCATTCGTGTTTCAACTGTGAAGCAGTTGTGTTTGCATGGCTGTGTTTCGGTTTGAAGGGTGGGATATGGCGTGAATTTACAGGGTACAGAGGAATAACACCTAAGTCCTCAGGAATGGCAACGCATGGGGGGTATCATGGGCGAAACAGTATACTCTGTTATGTCCATGGTACTGCTCATGTTTATAGGCGACGGTTATCACTTTCCATCAGGTGGAGCGTCAGCCATTATTATATTTTTATTATTTGCCATTCTAAGTTGTATAAAAAAAAACTTATAATAAAAACAGCAATATTGGTTCTAAAAGTCACGACCGCGACATAACGCGATGCCATTACAGGTATAAAAGTTTTAATTATTAAGAATACTTATTAAGAAGCACCGTTGGCTTGCACTGTCTGTTGGTTTTTTACTGTCCTTTTGACCATTTATATGTATACCTCTGTACGAACCTCAATATTTTTTACACAACTGCTTATGAAAGGAGGGTTACGTTTTCCGAGTGCGTGTATATCCGAGTCTTTAAGGTAACGTGTAGTGTAGAGGCATTGATGGCTTACCGTTAGCTATATAATTAGTATACATTAGGCATAGGCTATATGATCACAGTAAAAAATAAAAAGGAAAATATAGCTACTAGGAAGATATATTATCAGAAATGTGTGAAATAATTTGAATTTCGAACTTTTTTATTATTATTTTTTTTTAATTCTACTGATCGTATCATAAATTGGAGAATCGAATTCAATACCAAATATCTATCCTATCGTTTCGAAATAGTAAGTGGCAACTTCATACAGTAACATGGAGTGGTACCTATTATTAGTAACAGATGCCGCGCATCGACCGAGCACCTTCAGGTCACGGTCGTAAGGTCTCTCCCTAGCATGACACCCGTTCCTCATGGTCGCAGCATGCTCACTATTGCTCACACTGCACCGAGAAATAATATTATGTTTTACCAACAGTGAGGAGATTTGTACGTACTCTCGGGCCGGTTGCTACTTCTAAATATCCGGTTTTCGTGAATACATAAGTAGGCACTTGTTTCGTGAACATATCGGTGCACGAGTACATATTTATTCATTATACGGATTTTTTTTACATTGGCAATGTTTTATTATGGGTACAATTTATAAGCGTTGTAATACATTTACATACTTTTATAAATATTACTCTTTAACTTCTTCATTACTATTTCGTTTATTATTCCTTAATACGGTAAAAATCCAAACGACTCCAGATACGAATCTTAAACATGAAAGCACTGCCAACTACTGGCCAGTGAGTGATGGGTATAAAACCTAAGATTTATAACGTACGAACTTTTACAGTAATATATTAGCTCTTTCAACCACTCATCATTTCGCCCTTTTGAGTTTGGTTAAAAACATAGCCTATGTCTTTTTTAACCTTCAAGATATCAATTCTAATAAAAGTAGTTCAGCTGCCGTAACAATATATATATGTTCGATTGCCATATGCCACTTTTTAACATCCAAAATCCGGGGAGAAAGGGATTGTTAGTAATGGAGACTAAGAATCTCATTGCTAGCAATATACCCAACCAGGTCGACCTCCTCCCGGTTCCTCCTGGAAACTATCATGGTTAATTCCTAATGAATTCATCATGATGTGCTAACTGGCCTGTTTTCATTCTCATCGATCACCCTTCACTGGTGCTCCGCCAGCGTATCCCGTTAGCGCAGGCGGGGTTACCTATCCATTTCCACCTATAAAAAAAAAAAACATCCAAAATCCTTTGGTCCTATCGTTCTGACTGCTACTAACAGCCACTGTAGTAGTTTCACAAATGAGATAACAAATCAAAGCCACATAGTATTTTTGTTACAGACGAGACACACACTTACATACGTAATTGTATTTTTTTGATGGGTGAAAATGGTATGGTATCCCCGCTTGCGCTAACGGGGTACGCTGGCGGAGCACCAGTGAAGGGTGATAGATGAGAATGAAAACAGGCCAGTTAGCCCATCATGATGAATTCATCAGGAATTAACCATGATAGTTTCCAGGGAGAACCGCGAGGATGTCGACCTGGTTGGGTATATTGCTAGCAATGGGATTCTCAGTCTCCATTACTAACAATCCCTTTCCCCCCGTATGTAAACGTGTTATACAGTTTCAGTCGTCATAGCACTCGCAGTCCCTTTTCAATGATTTAATCAATGGAAGTGAGTGACGTGCGCAGATTAGGGAATTCACGGGCCACTGATGCAGTATTTATGTTGTTATCATGCCCGAGCTCCGCGGTGTTTACTGAAAAATGACCGTGACTAGGTACAAATAATGTAGTTATATAGGTATGCTCTATGAGTTCAAGGTGTAACGAGCGGCGTCTACGGAAGGTCACATCATTGAGACAATACTCTGAATAAATAATTTGGTCGAAAATTAAAATAATTACTATATGGATTT